TAATCTTGCCAGGATCACCTTGGGCGACCCTGGGAAGCTGGCGCCGAAGAAATATCTGGCGATGACCAGGAAAAATCTACGCCTTACAGTAGGATTTCTGACTGGCCACTGTCAGCTAAGGAAACACCTACATAATATGGGGCTAGTGGACACACCTCTATGCAGGATGTGTGAACAGGAAGATGAGACTGTCAGGCATGTCCTGTGCGAGTGCCCGGAGTTATCGTCAATAAGAGTCTTGGCCTACACCTGCCGATATAAAGGAGATGTCTCCCAGCGACCTGTCCACCTTCCTGGAAAGGACAGAATGGACAACTCCTCGGGAGGATGTACAATGGGTCACATGTGGCCTAAGTGCGTGGGCTTACACTCACCCTCCCTACTCTACAGATACAGATACATCTCAAAGTTGTGCTATTATTAATTTTTTGTAAATCCGTTGCTAACATTCCTGTATGAAAAATCTGTTCATTCTTATTATTTCTTATACCTGTACCAAATAATATAGGATCTTATTGTATTTGTCGTCAATAAAAGGATTTATCTTAGAAATAAATAAGAAATTCCACTTCTATGAAGTTAACATATAAAATACATTCAACTTACTGATCATTGTTGTTGCTCCAGCAATGGCAGCTTTACTCCCGTGATAAAAGTCATCGACAGTTCTTGTTCCCATAAATTCGAAATCAAAATGAGTGTGGGGGTCGATACCTCCAGGAAGGACGAATCTTCCCTTGGCATCGATTACTCGGGTTCCTCCTGGGATGATGAGATTTTTACCAATTTGTTTAATAATGCCATCTTCAATGTAGACGTCTTCATTGGTTTGGCCATCCTCATTCACGATGGTGCCATTTTTAATGACCAAGCGATTCTGGGAGCTCTGAAAGAAAAACGTTCAATAAATCATTGTACTTGATACAATTGTGTACGACAGATTGGGCCAAATTGGATACTTTTGAACGGAAACTTCTGTTTTCAAACTAGATAGATGAAAACCGATGGCTGTGTCTGAGAGTCAAACTTTTTATGACAAACTCAATGGTGGAAACGACATATCGATATAGGTATATCATCGCTCCTCAGTTACATGTGCATTTTCGAAAAATTGCTGTAACTTTTTCCTGTCAAAAATTTCTTGTTTCTATGAAAACATTTCCAAAGCAGTTTTTCACGTAGAATTCAATGGTGAAAAAATAGTTATTTATGAATGTTATCAATAGTTATTGATGGAAAACATTTTTTTTAAATGACACCCTATACAGGCTGATTCACGGTGGATGGCACATTAGACGTTTCTGGTGAACCAGACAACGGATCACTTTGAAAATTCAATGGAGGGCATATTCGGACATTCTCTAGCCAACTAAAATATTTTCGACAATGNGTCTAATGTGCCATCCACCGTGAATCAGCCTGTATATTTCTGCGTATTTCAATAGAGCTTAGAATACTTGATGTTTGGCTAGTTATCTTTGAAATACAGAGCGTTAAGGTTTTTATTTTATTATTTTAACACGCTTTTATTAGCTTCACCTGTTTGTATGTATGTATGTTTGTTTGTAACTCTCAAGGTCGGGATCTGTATTTGACAGATTTATCGACATTATTGCCTGATCTATTCGCGGGCAGATGGCGCTTTACGTAACCTCCTTGATATATCGACATTATTACTTGATCCATTCGTTTATAATGGCACTCCCACATAGGTATTTAGAAACTTTAAGGCAAAATATTGAACCTCTTGTTGATGAATTGCCACTAAAGAAATGTTTGGTACTAGTGAAATAAATAAATATTTCCACATGAGTCGCTCATTTTCAACTTTAGGAAGAAAGATGATGTTGACAATGTTTTTACGAATCGAAATGCATGATGAAATATAGGGTGTATCATTTGAAAAAAATAATCACTTTATGAAATACTTTGAAAATGCGACTGCCAATTTTTTTTGTTTTCGGCATCGAGAAGGCCATTAAAAATGCTACTAGTTTGCCCATTTAACCGAATTCGTAGCATCAATAATAACGGAGCTGGAACACCCTGTATATAGGAAATCCTCCACAGACACCTGTCGGATATAATCCAACGCCCTTCGTGGTATTAGCCAGGGGAGTAGTTGTTTTCTGATAGGTGTCAGTACATTAACCTACAGTGTAGGGAGTTGAGACTGGCCTGAACAAATTGTCCATTTAGATGATTTTATTTATGTTATCATTTATCATTGACAAAAAATATTATCTTCGTTTAAAAATGGGTCGACTACCATATTTATTTTCCAAATGTTGATTCATTATGTTAGTAGGTCTGAACAATTGGTGATAACATCAGTTATAACGAGACGTAACGGATATTCTGTAATTAACTTTATTTATTCTCCTTACTTCGACGATCACCTGCTAAGAAATTTTGAAATAATTTCAGCTTTATTTGAATTAATGTACCCTTCGAATGAACTCATTAATGCAAATGAAATATCCGAAAAACAGTCGGCGTTCGACAGAATAAAAACACAGAAATACGTTCATTACAGTAGTTAGAGGAAACCATTATATGTTGGTACTTTTTACACCAGAAACATATTCTTCAGTGGATCATTAACAACTAGTAGGTTATAACCTACAGGCATGTTGGTCTTCTGACAATGAAAAATAAATTTCGAATTATTTCAACTGGCAATCAGCTGTTTTTCTCTAAGGTAAACGCTAATATCGTGATCAATATCGATATGCACTTTCCGAGTTATACTCGCCACTACAAAATATACAAAAAGTATAAAGCAAGCTTCAGTTTGCAACATCATTGATGACAATGTTCAGATCCAGATATTTATTTCCCAAGTGGATACATTTCTTTCTTTCCATTGATCGTCGTTTACAGAAGACGAGTACTTTGAGACCGCAAGTTGCTGGTAATAGTGGTAGTCCAACAATGGATACAAACGATGAGATTTTAGAATTTGTCGACGAAAACCCTGATATCAGTACAAGGGTAATAGCTGCTCAACTAGATGTTGGTCACATGATGGTTTGGAGAAGATTGAAGGAATAGTAGCTTCATCCCTATCACTTAACCGTTCAAGATTTACTAGATGAAGATTATCTTAAAAGAATGGGATTTTGCGACAGGTTCTTAAGGGAAAACAATCGAAATATCAATTTCATTATTCATATTCATAACGCTCACATATGGCCAAAGAAAATCCTCACGCAAAGAAAAAAATCAACACCAAAATACTTTTGAAGTCATTGTTTGGACAGGCATTGTGAATATTAATTTTTTAAAAGACCAGTGTTCGTTACAAACGATTTAAGCAAATTACTTACAGTTCTTACAGAATGATTTACCAGAAGCTTTGGAAAGGCTAAATTAAGGAATAAAGAAAATTACGTGGTATTTACAAGATGGAGCTCCAGCGCATTTCGATGACGAGGTTGGGGAATATCTTTTCGGAATTTCCCTTCAACGCGCTGGTGAAAACGCTTGGAATGACATGCGTCTTAAGTAAATATCCATGTACCATTCATCATTAGAATATTCACAGAAATTAAATACTACTTTCTGCAAGTCGCAGCAGTGTCCGATAGATGCGGTAACAACACATAGTGTGACAACGAGCAATACTTTATTCTATGCTTTTTCGACATCCCTTCCACATACCGGTGAAAACGCTTGGTGTGACACCAACCTAAGTAATGGGTTGTTTCAAAAGTTTTGTCCGGTTTAATGTCATATGTTTTTGTTGCTCCATATATCAATAAATATCTATTCTACATGGTATTGGTATGGTTGTTTGGATTATTGAAGTCCTTGATGGAATGATGCCCTCTGTACTCTCGAAACTTAAAATCATACCGGCTTGCCTCACTAAGGCAGACCACTCAGCCGGACAGTTACAGAAAGATGTCATTCTTGGCTCTCTGCGCTTGCTCAGGGCACATGATTCTCGGACCCAATGATCACTTACCCCATGGCGGGAGGAGTGTTCGTTGGTTGATAATGCTGGCGCGCCCTCCCGAATGTATCAGGGCTTCGGGGGATACGGTCTGACCAGCGCAAAGTACGGTTAAAAAATAAATCTGTTGGTCACCGTAACATGACTTCAAATTTAATTTTATGACTCTTCAGCCAATCATAAAATTTGGTTAGTAAAAATTATACAATACGAACCGCCAATTCTTCAGTCCACGTGGACTAATTCGTTGCGGCATAATTCCTTTGTATTGGTTTTTTGGCCTTTGACTTCGCCGACACCTTTAAGATTACTATATCGGTTACTTCGACTATAAAGAGGAAAAAAACAACTTTCTGTAGAAACCATCCTTTTTGTAATGGCAAGGTCGGGAACGGACAAGAGACTACACAGTGAAATAGGACGTTAGTCTTTTTTTATGTTTTTATTGTATAAGATCTAAACTCACGGGGTAGTTGATTGTAAAATTTAGGTGCATTATACGGGTGGAAATGGAAGATTTGTATTTGGGGATGACTGAAACTGGACTGTTCCTTGTGGTAAAACTATTTATTGTTGAGAATGTTCTAAGTAAGTAATCAGGTTGACGAGATATAAAAACTATATGTGTGTTGATGAGTAGATACAGTTTTCTAAGTTTCCCAACTTTTAACCATCCTGATTCTTGCATGGCTGAAGATATACAGGGTGTAATATATGTACGTTAAAATATTCATGTGACGTATTCCTGAGACAATTAAAAAAAAAAAGTCTCTATCAACTTGTGTCCGAAAATGCTTCGTTTCGGAGATACGGGGTGTTGAAATTGAATTTTTTTGTTCACTTTTTGAGCGAACAAAAAAAAATCAATTTCAACACCCCGTATCTCCGAAACGAAGCATTTTCGGACACAAGTTCATAAAGACTTTGTTTCTTAAAATTGTCTCAGGAATACGTCACTTGAATATTTTAATGTAATTATGTTACAGCCTGTATAGTCATACTTCCGAATACCAAATGAAAAAAGTCAGCTATTCTGGTCAGCTATTCTGAAGCTATAGACGAAGAGCATCCAATTGTCTTAAAGCAGGTCCATAAACACTGTCGCAATAAGACATTTTTTGCATGATCAGTTACTCGTATAGTCTCATTTTCAAGTTTGTGTTGAGTAAATTACGATTTAGATATACAATTTTCTACTTCTATTCAGTGATGCTGTTCATTTTTTTTTTCAAATTTCAAATGCTTTTTTATCTCTTTTCAGCTTATGTCGTTAAGCGATTCTCGGACTATTTTTCACTACGAATTCAAATTGAATCAAAGCGCTGCCGAAGCACTCCGAAAAATTAGCCAAGTTCTTTGCTTTTACGCAACCAAAACGATCCTTTTTTGGATGGGATCGTCACGTGTATGAAAAGTGGATCCTCTACAAAAACAGGAGACTTCAGGACAGTAGCTGATACACCAGACACTCTAGCTACTTGTCTGATAGATTGTCGATTATCCATTTGTACATGTCCTAAAACTGCAACTTCAACTCGTCATTTCTGACAGGACGGGATACTTCATGTTTTCTGTTGTGAACAGAACCTGAAGTTTGAAACTTATTCATTAACTATTTAACGTATTGATGGCTCACGTTGTGGTCTGGATGATTCGTATTATAAATTCTTGCAGCAGCTTTAGCACATTAATTATTTCGATAATAGGTTGCAACGATTTCTATTTTTTCTTGAGTAAAATAAACCATGTTGGAACACAGTGAACAAGGATGACTCAATAATAATTCGTGAAGTGACCAACTATCTACTTTTTGTTCTGCAACAATTAGATTCAACAAAAACTACCAGTGCAGAAAAAACTAACAGTGTCGTCCATTTCAAACCGTTTACTACTAATTAAATGAATTCTACAAATCTAGAAGACCTGCGACAGAGAATTGTTCGGGAATGCCGATTTGTGACTCCGGACATCTTCAATAATGTAAGAAACTGTAGACTGTATTATTGTATTGAACTAGATGGAGATCATTTTATCCGTGTTGCCATTGATATTACTTTTGTTGACTTCCTCAATAAAATGAGCGACAGTGAATTTTCTGTTTTTTTCCTTAATAAAACGTTCATCATTTAATTTCACAATAACGAATGAACCAATTTCGAAGCAAAATAACAGAAGTAATAGCAGGACAAAAAACCTTTCAAATGATGTATCATTCGACCCACCATGCCATTGAAAAAATAAGAGGGTAGCTGCAGGGGGGTGAAGTTTCAGGTATGATTTCCATATCAGAATTAGTCCCCTAGAAATAAAAATTGAGGTGTTACAGATCATCATGCGGGCGATCCTCGAAAATTGTATTCACCGAGATATTACAGTTCAAAGGAGACTCATGAAAACGGACAAAACTTTTGGAACAACCTAACAAATATCCATTTACCAGTCACCAGTAGAATTTTCACGAAAATCAAATATCACCTTCTGTTGAAATTTACAATTTACATTTATACACAAAGTAAATATTTAGGTGCAAACTATCCTAATTGAATTACTCAAGTATGTGATGAATCTAATATTTTACTATTCAAAACGACACAGAAACTTGTGAGGTTTTTTGAATAACAATTATTCGGACAACTCATACTGTAAATTCCAGAGGATTTTGTTAACTTGTTTTATTCTGTTTGAATCAATTTATTTTATACTCTTTATACTAGAGTTCTATTTCTGTTCTCTCAAAAAGTTGCATATTACTGGATCACAATAACACCCTGAGTAACAATTTTTGTCGAGTTTTGTCCGATTTGAAAGACGTTTTGGACGAGCTCTCGACAATTTCATTACTACAAAGCAATAGAAAGATCTCGCGGTTTTCATTATCCTTCCCAAGACCACTATTCTTCAGTGGCTAAGATATGTCAAGATACAGTGACAGAAATATGTGTGGTTTCGGTAACTGTCTTCTCAATTGATTAATATTAGAAAGTGATAAAAGCGAAAAAAGTTCTTTTGAGTTTCTACTCCTCCATCTTCTTCGTCACAAGGAAAATAAGAAAAATAAATACATCAGAAAAAACTCTTTATAAAAATGTTGAATAATAAATAGGAATGAAAAGTCTATGTGAAAGAACTACTTTCAAATATGTCAATGGTGAATTACACGGAAAACACTTTCTCGTTCAGCTTGTATATTTCACATGGTTTTTATTGAAGAAAGGATTTCAGATGAATGAATAACGAATACAAAAAATATTTATTTATCTGTTTCATAAAAGAGCAAAAACTAAAAATTAATGCATTGGCTTTTCACACATAATTTAAAAACTATTTCAATGCATGTTCGAGGACATTTCCGTTAACTTCCAGGTATTTTTTAAAACTCTCTTCATCAGTCGTGCTGTAAATTGTTATTTATACCACGATTGCATGTAAATTGGAATTGAAAGATAGGTATGCGATGATCTACAAAGAGTTTTTACTGATGTATACAGGGTACAACGCGATGAGCGTCGGTTAGCCGTATTTTCGGAAATATAGGATTCATATCCTGAATATTGGCAAATATAGGTTCTTTCAATATGCTTTATGAAATAAAAATAGCCACTGTCAACATTTCGAGTGTTTTCGAGCATTCATTTCCATTTTTCACACAAAATGAAGATGCTAAATAGTTGACATCACAATTACTAGAACAGTTACGAATATTATCTGCCTTATAGTTTGCATCACAAAATTATGTAGCTATTTCACAAAATAAATTGAATTTGCAGCATTTATGATCATAGGTTTCTAACGCCCCTATATGTTTTATTGGTACTTCTCAATCGTTTCCACACATAATAATTAATTGCAGGTTTGTTTTGGGTTGTTCAGAAACTGATCTGAAAGTTTGATAACAATAAAATTTTTTGACTTTACCGAAGTATATATAATTTTTTCAAAATCGCTATGAGCAAGCAGTCATTTATCCAGACAGAAAAACTCAGTGTGAAATAATACCTGACATAACAGTCGGTTTGTATTAGAAAAAGAAGCTGACAATAATCTACATATTTCTTCAATGTGTTTTCAGAATTCATCACTCACCTTCAGCATTCTGAACTCATTTGTCAATCAATTCTATGACCGTAAGAACATTGACAACATTTTTCAATACTTATTTCACCAATTCTTCAGATACTCGCATTGAATATTCCTTAAGGGATGAAAATACTTATATATGAAAACCAATTAATGTCACCAGAAATTTTACATGTGTGTACAAAAAGTAATATGGATAAGTTCCTGATCAGTGTAAGATATTATACACACAATATAGGCATTGGTAATTAATCAACTTTTTAAGAAAATATTGCGCTTAGGATAAGAGTTCGATCCTATCGTCCAAGCCTAAAAAATATTGAACCAATGAAACAACCCACTGTAGTTGTAAAAATAGGACATACCTAACTACTAACTCTACTGAGCAATAAAAGATTATAAAGATCTAATAATTTTATAACTTAACACCTGTTTAGTATGAACACCTGTAAAATGATGAATCCATGTCTTCAGCAGAACAATAATCAAGTTGTACTATTGAATTATTTAATCATATACGCAAAATGTTTTTGAAATCAAAATAAACTGAAGACTGCCAAATTATTTCTAAAGATACTTACCTGCAAATGAATCGGTACTTTTTTCACTGGAGTGCTCATGTTGTAAGCGAAATACACTAACTCAAAAAATCTATAAATTAAGTGCTGTTAAAGAATTAACTGACTATAATTGTTACAGTAAAATTTTAATACAGCTATAAATGCAATTTGCATTCACTATTACTCACTTCCGCACTCCCTATATCACACACCGATCACGTATTACTAAATTACTACGGCTAAAAATAATTATCAATAAAGTCGTGGGTCGTGTGTAGTGGTATTAGTCGTATAGTCGAAATGTCGAAATATCTGAGAATAATAAAGCATAGAGGAGCGACGAAAAAGATATTTGCGTGTTCCCTTTTCATTGACGCATGCGTGAATTACTGTCACTGTCGGTGATTGGTACTTGAGGCACAGAATATTGCTCGAGGCCTGAGTTGTTTTCGTTAATCTATAGACAAAATCCATATCATTTGCTCTCATAATATGTCTACAAAATTGGAAATTGACCTCAAACTATTTGAACAAAAGTGTTTAGGAGATCACTATTACTCACTTCCGCACTCCCTATATCACACACCGATCACGTATTACTAAATTACTACGGCTAAAAATAATTATCAATAAAGTCGTGGGTATTCGTATTAGTCGTATAGTCGAAATGTCGAAATATCTGAGAATATTAAAGCATAGAGGAGCGACGAAAAAGATATTTGCGTGTTCCCTTTTCATTGACGCATGCGTGAATTTACTGTCACTGTCGGTGCTTGGTACTTGAGGCGCAGTATATATGTCTACAAAATTGGAAATTACAATGACCCCAAACTATTTGAATAAAAGTGTTTGAGAGTAATTCACTTTGTGAAGAAGTTGTCGTTAGGGAAACGCATGTTAGAAGACGTTCCGAATTATAATTTTATCATTTTTCAAACTATATTTGAGAGTATATTTTTATTAGTGTATTCCATTATCTATCATTATCAATTAAACATCAAAACAGTCTCTGTTTTATACTGTTTGATGAGCCATCTAAGAACCACTCTACCAGGTCCTTGATAATCTATGATGAGTTCCACCGGTGCCACACACCACACGCCAAATAATTGAGGTTTATCGAATGAATTATATTTTAAACGTCTCGCGACAGTTGGAACTTGGCTCTCTTGGTGTGGGAGGGAAAAATCTTGGCCTCGATTTTGTTTGTAATTTGGACATTCGAATTATAGCGAATTGAAAGTCGGAATTCATTAGTTGGATGACGGAAGAATATGAAGCGAAGTAAACAGTGCTTTTCAAAGGTAATGGGCAACTTCAACTTTCAAGCAGCAAAATGTGTCATTTATCAATTATTGGCAATATTTAATATTGCCAATATTAATTTCTTTTATCCAATTTATTCCATTGTAACACTCATTAAGTTCTATTTCAGATAGTGTATAGATTTCGAATGTATTTCATGAGAAATTCGTTCAATACTCACACTAATTAGGTAAAGTGGAACTAGATGAAATAAAAGTTTGGTGACTTCGTTTTTTTTTTAATTCTTTCTCGGTATATTCCAGTGTTTCCCCCATTGAATTTCGAATAATTTGGTTACCAAGCTTAAATTGTACAAATTTTCGTAAAATTGTAAGTCAGGGTTAATTACTGACGGAGTTGCACACAAAACTAACGAACTTGTATTTTTATGGGTTTTTATGGTTGAAGCTTAGATAATCTTGTGGAATTTATTGTGGTGACTCCATTTGTCAATCAAAATGATTCATTTCCTATCTTTATTCAATCTCACTATCAATAAAAGAGAAGATAAATGAACTGTACATTTTTTATAAGCATGAAAAGCTAAGTGGTGGAGGGATTAAACGCACTGCGCATGTGTGAAATTTATGAAAAGCATAGACGGTCTAGAATAGAGCATCTCTCACCACAGAATAGTAAACAGTTCTGTGCTCTTGCACAGCGGTATCTGGTGAACACTTCAATCGTCCCAAGGGCATTTCTGTTTTGGCAAAATTTAAATATTCCATACTTTCTAAGAAATGTTTTCATTATTCTTGATCATTAGATAGAAAGTTGAAGTGATTTTTCTATCATTTTTGATAACTCATCATGACTAGATTCAATGAGCCTTTTTCCTGAGAATAGTACAGCGAACGTGTCACGAGAGGCAGCACTAGTAGTAGGGACAAACATAAACTGTTCACATGTAGAACAGTGTTATTTACGTAATATCAATTTATTAATTGAAAATATAAATCTGATAAATGCCAACAAAGCATTGCTGTTTTGCGAATTATACGTCGGATAATCGATATCCAGAAGAAAACGTGTTTTTTATACCATTTATAAAACCTCATATTAATGAGGTTAGATGTAAGAAATTCATACATGCTTCGAGGAGAGTGGATTTAACAGTGCAAAAAATAAATAATCAAATCATCAAGCAAATTACATATTAAAGCATGTGCGAAATGTGAATTATGGGTGAAAAAATGTGGCAGGAGTGACCGAGGCTTTAAATCTATTAATGATGTTACCAAGAATACTTATATTTGCTCACTACATTTCATTGGAGAAAGTGGTCCAACTGAACAAAACCCTGATCCTTCAAACTATCAGGAAATTCAACATACGTACATTATTCCTTATTGCATTTTTGACTGTAAATTTCATATATATTACGTCGTATTAAATATTTCCCTCTGATAAAACTTACTAAACATATTCAATTCAGTATTTATATATTTGTCTAATTATTAATGTCATATGTACAGCCTCAAAATATTATTGGCTTGATTTATTTATTAGTTCCATAAGTAATACTCTTGTCAACTGAAATATATTTTCAATTACATCAAATAAATTGACATTATTAATAAGAATAAAACTGTAAATAAGTACTATTTTTTTATATGTTTTTAGATAGTCAACAAATGCTGATACCTAACCTCTCAATCAGCTCACTTTTTTCCTTTTTGCGGACACCCATGACGTTTTAATCACCTTTTTAATTGTTCACAATTATAAGCCTCAACTGAATTATTAACGAGTGAAGCACCATCAATGGTTTTTTCCAATATAATTCATTTGTTTGTAGAAATAATATTCCTTGCCCAGCCATTGTTGATTAAAACAGTACGAATGTCTTGAATTACCGCCATTTCAATATGACAGCTACGCTTGCGCTCGTCTTATGATTAAAAGACCTATTACGGCATGCAAGCCAACGTTTGAATGTTTCAACATTGTTATCCTTTACAGTTACAAATTTTAGTTTTGCTCCAGGAACATCTTCTTGTGTTAAAAACATTGAGCCAAATTGAGTTCAACCTGTAGGTTATTTTCAAATTTGAATATTGTAACAAGAAAAAAGTTTAGAAAAAGGTATCTCACTGTTTAAGATATCTGAGAACCACACCAATTTCTTCAAAAAATAATGGCCTCCCTATGAAGTCGTGCGAGATAATGCGTGAATTAGACAGAACATTTTCTTCGTATTTGATTACGTGGTTTTTTTCTGCTACGACATTTTCTGCTATTGCGGATTTTCCCGGTTGCATGAGACGGCAGCTACGCTTGTGTTCTTGTAACCTGGTGTTAATGTTGCGTTTGTTAGTTCGGATATAAACTGAGTCACATGAACGGAAAATGAATATCGGTGGATGTCAAAGACTCTTTTTTGTCTTTCGCCGATCTGATAGGTTTGCGCAGGTGATTAGTTGGCTTGAAGATGAGCTCAATGTTGTGACGTTTAAAAAGTTTTTCAATGCGATCCGTGACTTTGTTTATGTAAGACAAGTAGACGCCGTGCCTACCATTGTCGGCTAGATCGTGGTAAAAGTTTTTTCTAGCACACGATTTTTACAAATATCAATCTGCAATCTGCAATATGTTAATAATACCTTGCTGATAATAAAACTCTTACAAAAACACCCACAGTTAAGTATTCCAACTTTAGGGCGTTGACATTTTTTATCGGCATTAGTGTGTAATTTACAACATGTGTTATTCTATATTAGAATAATGACGATGATCCAAATAGAATGATATGCAGATTTTTTCGCAGCAGTCCTCTTCACTTTTTTTAGAACTTTTTATCTTATCGTCTCTCATGGGGGACAGTTAAGGAATAGGTATACCCACGAATTTCGCTTGTTTGTTTATTTATTTCGAAAAATCTAGTGGCTGATTATGAAAAAGCCGCAGATATCTGTACTCTAGCTGTCTACATTATGAAATCCTCCACAAAAATCCCCGCCTCATTTGTATTAAAAAATAATATTTAGAACTGACGTCCATAACTTCATCTTAGACATAAGAATACCATCACCATCTCTCGTTATACCAGGCAACTCTTCAAAAGTTAGTTTTCATATTCTATAGCAGATTCCATGGACAGTTCGTCCCAGGATGTCCGAGCCATGTCACTAAAATATTATCTGTGGTATGTAAACTTGACTAAACTATCGAAAAAGTTACCTCTATCGAAGAGAACGAAATCCGAACTGGTTGACCTTGTAATACCAAACGTTTCGTCTGTCAATGCGGCGGACATAACTAGTAGTATGTGCGTTGACTGCGAGGACGAAGGTTATATCTCGAAGCCTAAGCAGCCACTGTGAAATTATCTCAGCGTATACAGTGGAAACATAAATAGTCCCCTACTTACTTATTTTGAACGGAATGAAATATAGAGGTCGGATAAAATTTACTTTAAAAAGTCAATTTTTACTACTTTCAGATGAGAAAGACAATTGTATTGCATTACTCTACTCGTCGCCGGCAGGTTGTTACTAATTTTTTTACAAACAGAAAGGGGGCCATGATTGATTTTCAATTTTCTATCCAATACTTCTTTATTTTTGAAAATCGGATCAGCTGTTCCTGAGTAATTAGCAGTTTCATATTAGATTCAAGATTCTGCAAATAAACTATAAATATCATACTTTCGAGAAAAACATCATTCAAAACTCACTCCACTCCATTCCAATGAAATATTCAAACATTCTGCCATACAATAATGAAATAAAATGAAATGTAATATCTTTTTTTTTCATGAATTCTGAAATTATTTGCGGTAGTATATCGTACGAGTCAGATGTCACATATTCTCTCAAAAACATCTAGAGGCGTCATACAAGGTGACCCAGTGGGCTCTTCTAAGGAATCACGTTTGCCTGTCTTGGTGAATTGTTTTCAAATAATATTAGTTTTCAGCAAGATTATTATTACTACAACGGGGTAGATTGGAAGTGGGTAGATGAAAAGTAACCAAATACCAGTGGATAGGTGAACGTGGTCCCTTAGAATGACCCGCTGCATTACCTGATATGACACCCTTAGATTTTTGTGAGAATAGGGAAAATCTAATGCTTAGGTTACACAACCACAGTCAATACTCCAGAGCTCATGGATAGAATAAGAAGTGTTCCTAACGTAATTACCCCAGAAACATTCCATAATGAATGTTAATAACTTCAGAATTGTCAGGAAGTGAATGGTGACCACATTGAAAATTTTCTGAAATGAGTTTAGTATATATTTTTTCATAAATTTATGATATTTATCGTTTGTTTAAATCCTGAAAACTAATATAAAACTGCTAGTTACTTGGCTTAATTAGCTGATCCGCTTTTCAAAGAAAAAGTTGGATAGAGAATTGAAGCACCTATCAAATGAGTTATTACAAGAACCCTCTCTTTCTATTTGAAAAAATGTTGGTAGCGACCTCTCGGCGACGAGTGACAATACTATTGTATTTCAAAAGTCAAGGGAGGGGGGACTATTCACATCTGCACTGTATAGCGACTTTTTTCGTTAGGTGAACCTCGATTTATTTCTTCTATTTGCTAAACCCGATTCTGTTGAATTTGGGTTAGTACATCTATTACTTATATAATTTTTTTTTCACAAAAAGGTCGTGTCGGTAGGGCCCTGACCCGAAGATCTGACACATTCGAAGAGCACGCCGACATCATCAGCCAATGACCACTCCTCACACCGTGAGGTAAGTGATCATTGGATTCGCGAAGCATGTGCTCTGAGTATCCGCAATCAGCTAAGGGTGAGAGCCTTCTGCATTTTTTTACCAAGATTGATGCCGTGGTAGGGCAAGCCAGAGACTCGAGAGTAGGGAAGGCATCATTTTAAATAGGATTCCGACAATCAGAACAACCTTTTGTACAGAGTGGTCTTTTCAAGTATTTTCGTCGAGTTGGTGACCTCCTCCCGGGTCTATTCAGGTACTCCAAACGAGTTATACCCTCGAGTTTTAGCACAACGGATACTGGCATGCATTCTCGCCATATACCTTCTTCTCGCAGGTTTACTACTCTGGTAGAAATGCATAAAGGTTATTCATTAGATCAAGCAGCCGTTGTCATTGCCAGGGTTGTCATCGGTAGACAAATCATCGTTATGGGCCCCATCACCTTGCCTCTGACCCCACCGAGCGAGTCGGTTGAGGGAGTCCTTTCCTTGACTACCATGGCCGAGTCTTGGGTCTACCGGATGGTTAGCCCTGNCTTTTAACGTGTGATTCCTAACACGGGTTGGACGATAGCAAGTGAAGATCGATCGTTCAGACTAGGGCTTGAACCACCGACCAACACGGCAGTCAATTCGCGTGAGTGAACAAAGCACACCCACGCCGAACCGCTTGGCTACCGACCGATCAAATATATAAACAATATAGATATGATAGATACAAAATATAAGATACGGTACGATTCGATAATTTGATGGATACGAATGTTTCAATCGATTTCGAGCTAGTATTAGGAATTAAACCAATAGGCAATGTGAATGAGTTCATATTTGAAAATGGTTGTTATTCTGTAGAAGAGTTTTTCAATTACATTTTTATATGATAGTTATTTTAACCTGTCGCTTCCATTGCATATTGTACCTTTAGTATTTTGACGAATTGAACAATTAATTTTTTATGTAACTTACTAGTCCTATCATAACCTCAACTGTCATACTTCTTCCCCCACCCCTCGGTGACTATCACTCAAACAAAGTAGTGAGTGTGACACATTGTTAAAAAGGTAATTTCATAAGGAATTCAGTCATGTCAATTTTAGCTACCTAACTTTCGATTTTGGCGCCTTTTTGCGGGAAAAAAAAACTGTTCCGTATTCCAAATTATGATACTTCATTCGCAAACTAATTTGACATAAATTTAGTGACAATGCATTTGGGGTTTTTCTAGGGGAAAAAACAAGATGACGGCTTCATAATGGTGGACAAGATTTGCAATTATGGTCCGATTTGATTCAAAATTGATAAGTGGTGGTTTTCAGGGTCGGAAATTATGAATTGTTTTTCAATGCAAAAAATCAAGATGGTGGCTCCAAAATGGCGGACGAAATTTGTAATTATGATTCGATTTAACCCGACACCGAAAACGAATTCTTCAAAACACATGTGTTAGAGGAGGCTAGGAGGCATGCTACGTCCCGATTTGTAATTTCACTTGCAGAAATTATAACGTTAGAGGAGGCTAGCCTCCAGTTGGTTGGACACTATGTTAGAAAAAAAATAAAGAAATGTCTTTTGTATCTTTGTTAGGTCGGAAACTTTTCAGACCACCCTCGTAAAGCGTATTTTTATTTTATAGTGTGGAAAGTTCTTTTGAACTCATTTTAACAAACGTATTTAACATTTACTGAAAGTTGGGAATGTGTTTATCGTCTAGCTAGGTGTACGTTCACGGAATGTGACTTCTAGTTTCCCGGGGGTAATATATTCACGAAATATGCGCTAAATTACAGCTATGACTTCTGAGTTCATCTCAATTCAACTCGTTCTGTTTTTTGAAACTTTCCGATGCCTTTCTTCCAACTTATTAGAATCTACAGTACTACAGTGGCGGGTTTTGGCTGTCCTTGTTCATACATATTTCCCTGCCTAAACCACTGTGCATACTGCTTTTGGTTAGTGCATTGGCTTGGGATATGGGGGTTGAGCAAACCGGCCATCGGATGTCTGCTTCCACGGAGCCCCGCTGGATACAGGAATGACAGAATATTACTTGTGGTTCTGTTGTTCCCTAACTGAATGGCATCCCAACGATGGCCTAATCCTAAGGTATGTATATCCGTTCCGAGAGGATGAATGACACTGAGCCTATCAGCTATCTCTACTGAACCTTCGAGATACCGGGCGCCCTCTAGCATCGCCTTGTCACGGTAATGCGGGGCTCTGCCGTGACTGATCTTCTTTCCCTAGCTACTCGTGGGACTTTTACGGACAGAGTAAACTTGAAAAATTATTTCTGACGCTGAGTCTACAGAGGAGATGGATGTCGAGCTTACGACTCCAGACCTCCCTGTAAATCATTTAAATCAGGAGCGAGAGCTTCTCAACTCTCTAGCTCCTGATCCAATAACTGAACCAAAATAAAGAGTTTGGTGGTGCAGCTAGGAAACGACTGAGTCATCTCCTCAACAGCGGGGTACCTTATGTAACCGCTTTGCACCTCCGGCGTATGCAGAATCTGTCTCAGGTAGAGGAACAAACCCCCCATGAGCAGGTTAGCAAACGTTTGCGCTCAAGTTATGATTCACCAAAACCAGAAGCGAAAAAGCCCTGCCCGTGTGAATCTAAGGCATCGTCAGGTGTAGCTGACGTGCAAAACCTTCATATGGGAAGGTTGTTGCGGGTATCAAAGTGGGAATCTTGCACCTTGACCATCCGACTACCTCATTAACGATGAAACAGCACAGCATATACTTTGTGCCTGCCCCGCTAGGGACCGAATCAGGTTTTTAGAGTTTGGCAGAGCCGTACTTTTACCATCTGACCTGAAAGACCACTCACCATACAAACTAATCGGCTTCGTTAAGAAGCTGGGTTTATTTGGTCGAGTGTGAATAGGTGTGAGCCACAATAAACCCTAGCGGGTTGCGGTGGAGGGTAGAATAGACCCATTGACTTTGGACCTAACCTAACCTAACTACAGTAGTCCAGATCCAACTGCAGGATTTATGAAGATTCATGTAGAAGTAGTGTTCCTCTTGTTGATCATGTGGTGACATTGAGATAGCTCCCTCATTGATTTGAATCTTTCACGCGCCATGAAAGTTCAAATTTGAACTGTTGGAACGTTACAGTGCATTATTGATTCGATTACTTGCTTAGCAACTTCAAGTTACAAACATTGATAATTCCAAAACAATTCTGAAGTCAGTACAAATTCAAAATGAGCAGAGGGTAAGTTGAAATGTTTCTCGCTGATGATGAAGTGAAAATCGAAATGTACTAGATAGTCTTCCAATATAAAATCAGTGCAAATTATAGGAAAACTAACAATAAACAACGTTTTCATGTTATCTTTCATGCTGCTTGAGAGGGTTAAAGGGTGATATTTTTGTGAAAACTCAGAATTTTATGAGTTCATATCGTTTAGAGAACTTCGAAAAAGCACAGAAACACACCCGTTTCACTGAACAGAGAAAATACATTTTGCATATGAGTCAAAATTGAGAGAAAAAAATCCGAGAAGAAAAATCTATGATGACCCATAAATTTGACAAAGCCCAACTTCTCAATGTTACAAAAAATAAGAACTGAAGTTAAAGGAATAATATTCCTACGTTCGAAATTAATGTATACAGGGTGATCTAAGAAGGTTTGAAGCACATATTTTTTACAGGAACGCCCTGTATTCTATCGAATCTGATAATTATCGTTTCAAAAAATATATTCATTTGAATTATGCTCAGGTCTTTTTGATACAAGTTTTTTGGCCCCAGTGTCCCAAATCAGTTCTCTAGAAGTCATGGAATTTTGCATATTCGATAGTGAAGATCTTAAATAAGGTTCTGGTACTGTGAGATTGGAAAACCTTGCAACAAAATTTCGAGTATACATGTGTACATCTCTCCGTAAAGAAAATGGGGAATCGCCGTAAACATTTAGACAATTTCAAAACTGTGAACACTTTTACGAATACATACCTACCTACATATTTTTGCAGGAATCTCAACATTTCGAGATGGCTAGAAGCTTACTCTCAGCAAAACGCGGACCTTACAACTCTACCTGGGAATGCAATATTGACTGACGTCCTTGGTGATGGAAATTATAATTTGGTAATAACAGATATTAAATTTAATGGGCGTAACCGTAGTAAGATGAAGATATACAAGGGAACATTAGTGATTGACTTATCACTGCCTGATATACCAAACTCTCTCATTTCGTTTTACACAGATCAATTGGAACCGAAAATACCAGGTAACGAAACATTTACAAATTGATTACAATAATAATACTGACAAATCTTCATTAAACCCCGGGGGTATAATCATAACCTTCATCATCGAATTGCCCTTTGTTGTCCAATAAGCTTTTATTGATTATAAAGCAATCAATCTTCATAATTGAAAATATATAGCAATGCGTTTCGTCAATAGCGTTTTTTGTAGGGATTCTCACCTTACCTTACCTAACCTAACCTAACCGAACCGAACCTAACCGCCAATTCACGATTTATTACGGTTTGGAACTCTCTGGCCCTACCTGCCTTATTTCGCTACTATAATTCCTTTTAAAACACTCTAGATTGGATAAAGATATTTTTTCATAAAAAAATCCGAATTTTTTGAGACGACGTTCTTCTGTAAAAATCTAAACTGATTGTAACTTATACAAAAAAATCACGTGAAACGTGGGATACAGATGATTTTCATGAATTCATGGTGGATGAAGAAGCCAATGAAGGGACAATGGAAGCGAACCAGCAGGATAAACAACGTAGGCGAGAACGCCAACAATTGATTTTAAACTTTAAGCAAAGACAAAAAAGAGAATTTCAGAAAATAGTTCGAGAACTCAGAGAAGACGTTCTGGAACCCAAGAAAATTGAGATGAAAAATGATAAGATCTCTCTGGCTTACCTCGTGTATACACGAGGCACATTCTATAATGAAAGCACATCCTTACTAAAATCCAATACTTGCGTGAAGAGGTTTTGTAGAAATTGTAATTGAATCAATTGTGAAGGCAATTATCATCTCAAGAATTTAAGACAATCAAACCACATTGTAATTCACATTTAAGTAAGTAGGTAATAAAGTACATCAAGTAATTGTCTAACTACATTAGCATCATCAATCATTTACACATTTGTATCATACACACTCGATATAATCTCTATTTACATTTATATCCTGGACCCGGATGTCACGCAGCTATAGCTGCATACGTGGTCATGTTAGATGTAGCCTAGAAATTCTAGGTCTTCTAACTGGAACCACAAATATGCGGTTGGCTCCTGTTGTTGACTCCGTGCGTATGTATGAAAATCCATAACGTATTCAAGAAACACTTTATTGCGAGAATTTTACTGCACATGTGTAGTGAAAATATCCCAATGAAGTAAATACGTGATTTAAATTTATTTGGAAATTGAAATTAAACTGTTCTGATTTGTTATGATGATTATGTTTATTTACGCAAAACATAATAGTATTATTTTCATTTTCCCAAAAAAAAATGTAAATCATATATACCTACTATTCGTAGAATTGTCTTTTATTTATTTGTCATGTATTTCAATATTTTTTTACAAAATAATAAATGAATATTCGGTCAATATTTCAGCTGTTGCTGTAGCTTGTGGTTCTGATTTATTAATTCACAAAAACAATAAACCATACTATAAATTTCAAGTTCCTCAGTCCTCAATGTCGTCTTTGGAAATTGAGTGCTGGAAGAATATTTCTGAAGGTGCAAATAGCATAAAAGATGAGCAGATAGAGAAACTAAAGAAGGATCTGGAAACAGTGCCATACGATAAGTTGAGTAATAGGTGAGTTAAATACTTGAGGAAAGCAAGAACTTAAAAATATGAATTAATTGTTCGGAATGAGTGTAATATCTGAACGACAATATTTCTCACAATATTCTCTCATAAAAAAATTATATTCTGTTCTTCTTGTGTTCTTCAGGTCTCAAGAAATATTAACAATGCAGAAGTCAGAAATAGCAGAAATGGTATACAACTGTAGCTCAAAAGATTTTTTCAAAGAATCGCCCATTACGTGCATGACTACATTGAGAAAAAACTCGAATGATGAGCACGAGGTATCTTGTCCGGTGTTAGCAACTGAATCTGGAAATATTTACATTTTGGATCCACAAGCATTCACCATAGTGCATCAGGTACGAAGTAAATTTAAGTACCTATGTTATGAACCACAGCCTGTTTTTTCTGTTCAAAATATGTTCTGTTTAAAATCTGTTTTTCCGTTATACTGAATATCACACTGAATGTGAGTTTCTTCGAATCAAAAACATACTACTAAATCTAAGAAACTTTGAAGATAATATACTACGTGCAATTTTTGAAATATCATTTTTTTATGATCACCTGTGAAATAATAATGATGATAATGTGTAAAAGTAGGGGAAACCGGGGTTGGTTGGGCACAGAAGTTGGTTGGTACATTCGTAAAATTTCGGAATCCGTTCGGTTAACACCAGCGTTGCTCGCATCTATCGGAAGGTGTTTGAATACGCGCCAGTTGAAGACAGTTATCGTTGATGTGTGGGCGTTTTTTTTTTAGTTTTACTTGGTGCACGTGGTTTTGTCACCCGTAAGTAAATATTTATGAGTTTGAAATATTTGTAATATCAGTTTTATTGCTTTTTCGATAACAACAGAGTATATATATTAAGAAAATTTGCACTTTTGTCAATACTTACCAAATATAAAACTTTGATTTATAATGTTTTAACATTTAGTTTTGACATTTCTAATGTAAAAAAAGCATTGGGGATGGTTGGTACAAACTGCAAGGGGCTGGTTGGTACAGTGTACCAAGCAACCCCGGGGGCTAGCTTTACTTTTTTTTTTGTTTTGCTACTAGCTGGCTTTTTTAGGAAACATTTATTCAAATGCGTACGTTTAAAAGAAAATCGGAAAAAGGCAAACACCCCCGGATATTATGCTAAGGGTGGTCAGAGCCGTAAAATTGGAGGGGCAATCTCTAAGATCTGCTGCCAATGACTTCGAAATTCCATTCAACACATCAAGAAGATATTGCTTCAAGTTTACACTAGAGGAACTGCAATCAGAAAGAGAAATGCCTTCAACAGTTGTTGGAGACTTTAAAAATAGACAGGTAGGTTTTTTAAAAAATATACTTGATGATCTAGTTTCTAGTAAAATGTTTGTTTTTAGATTTTCACCGAGCTTCAAGAGTCCAATCTCACAGATTACATAAAAAAAGCTGCCGATATTTACTATGGTCTTACGCCCAAATAAATGAAAAGGTTAGCTTATTTATATGCAACTTCTTTGCACCTGACGGTTCCAAATAGCTGGAAGAAAAATGAGATGGCAGGCCCCGACTGGTTTACATAATTTTTAAAGCGAAATGCTGGATTGGCTATAAGGACACCTGAAGCCACCAGTTTGTCTAGAGCTACGAGCTTCAATAAAACAAATGTACACAGATTTTTCAGCATTCTAAAAATTGTTCTTAGAAGGTATAACTTTAGTCCTGTGGACATATGGAATAGGGACGAAACAGGGATTACTACAGTTCAGAGACCTGACCGAATTGTGAGTAGACGTGGTGTCAAATAAGTGGGAAAAGTTACTTCGGCAGAACGCGGTACGCTTGTAACTTTGGCGTGTGCTATTTCTGCTGCTCGAAATACTGTGCCACCTTTCTTCATATTTCCTCGTGTTCAGTTTAAGCTCCATTTTCTCAGAGATGGCCCGCCTGGAAGTGATGGAAGTGCCAATCCTTCACGCTGGATGAAAGATGTTCATTTTATACAATATATACTGCATTTTATTCAATACTCCAAAGCGTCTAAAGAAAACCCTCTCCTGCTTTTGATAGACAACCACGATTCGCATGTATCTCCCGAAGCACTAAACATCTGCAAAGATCACGGCGTAACAGTGTTATCCTTTCTACCTCACTGTAGCCATAAGCTCCAACCTCTGGATCGCAGTGTGTATGGACCGTTAAAGAAGTATGTCAATGGTGCTTGTGATTCTTTGATGACTAATCGTCCGGGTGCAACGATGACCATTTATGACATACCCAGTATTGTTCGTACTGCACTACCATTAGCGGCAACTCCAAACAACATTACAGCTGAATTCCAGGTTTCCGGAATTTTTCCATTTAATAGGGATATTTTTCCGGACAGTGAATTTATGGCTGCTTATGTGACAGATAGACCAGATCTTGAACAAGATTTGCAAGATATTGAGCAAAACGTAAATCCTGGTGAATTATTGGGAGTTAAAGCAAATCTACCTGAACTTGGTCAAATTACACCCATCGAAGAGGCTTTAAACCGTGTCGACAACCCCTTGCCAGACCAAGAGACTAATCCCAACGAACACGTGCAACAAGTTGGACCAAGCAGAATTGCAGAAAGTAAGGCGCCCACGCTCCAGAATTCTCAGTGTCTCCAGTCATCTAACAAGGTAGCAACATGTAGTTTTACAGATCTCGAAAATTTGAAGCCGTTTCCAAAAGCCGCAGAAAGGAAAGTGCAACGAGGTCGCACAAAAATAAATTCTGAAATCTTCACAGATACGCCTATTAAAGATGCATTAGAATAAAAATAGAAAATAAAACGAGATCTATAAAAAAACAGGTATTTGGCAAAACCAAAAAGAACACAAAAAAACAAGCAAATGCGAAGAATTCAAAAATCAAAGACGATTCAAGCAGTGACGAAGAAACCTTCTGCCTGCTTTGCGTTGAACCCTGGTCAAATAGTTTGCCTAACGAGAAATGGATTCAGTACACCCAATGCAAATTGTGGGTACATGGAAAATGCGCAGATGCGGGCTTGTTCTACGTTTGTCGTAATTGTAATTCGGATGGTTCTGACTAGATTATTCACTTTTTTAACGAATAGGTACCGTTTTTTTTGTATTATAATTTTTTTTGCAGGCTGATTCCTTCATAAAAAATAAAAACAATAATCATTTTCTCAGTTTTTGCCTTGACCAACCAACCCCAAGGTGTGTGCAAACCATCCCCAAATACGGGGTTGCTTGGTACACTTGCATCCTTAAGAAAAAAATTAAATTCTGGATTTAGGATAGGTCCAAACATTATATAATTCGAAATTTATATAAACAAGACAACACTAATCTGGAAATCAAATGTATTTTCTCACTATCTATTAATAAAAAAATTAGAGAGGCTTCCATTTGAAAAGCGTACCAACTAGCCCCGGCTCCCTTATCCTGAAATTTCGATGAGACGTTTCTTCGAATGAAAGGTATAATGGCCCTTAACACTAGAAATATTCATTTGATAATACTTCTCTCGTATAATTTTAAAAAATAATTTATAGGCTAACACGAACACAACGAAAGTTACCCCATTTTCAATGAAATCGACAGGAATTTTCAACGTTGAGTTCAGAATTTTTGTGGCTTGTAGAGAGGGCCATATATGCGTCTTGAGAAGGGGATGGCTAGAAGGGAAATCTATAATACATATGACAACTAACATAGTAGATTTCGTTGTAGTTCCCGAAGAGTTATTTGTGGTTGTAGCTACGACAGATAAACTTATCAGCTGTTTCACTAAAAGAGTAAGTAATGAAAAATTGTAATCCAATTCATGATTTACCACACTATGAACTTTTCGATTCAAAATTCATATAATTTTTACAGGGTAGTAAGCTTTGGTCCATAACAATTATCGACCATATCACATGTATGTGTTTAGCTCCACTCTATCACATCAGAATCAATTTAGTCGCCGTTGGTCTCAAAAATGGCTCAATACATTTTTTTCATGGAAGAAAGTTTGTCGATCAGACTAGTGTTACTGATGCGCCTTCCGTAATCACATTTGGACAGTTGGGTCAAGAGGAAAATGTTCTTGTTGTCATAACAATGGGTAAGAATTAGTTTAAATCACTATTATTGATGGTGCATTCGGGTACTATAATACCATTCGCATAATTTCAAAGAATATGTTCTTCAGTGTAGAAAACTGGTGACAGTTCATTAACATCAATATAAACGGAATAAAAGTATTTTATATTGAGTAATGCTTTTTTTAATAAATAATCAGGACGATATGCTATCGTCTCCATTTCGGCTCCCCGGATATGCAATGAACATGTACATGTATTTTTTTGAAATTATCCATGTCGTTAAAAGTAAAAAAAAAATTATTTCGGATCAAACCCGAGGACGAGGTACTAACCAACTGTGAAGATTCCTACATTGACGCCTGTTGGATATAATCCAACGCTCTTCGTGGTAGTAGCCAGGAGAGTAGTTGTTTTCTGATAGGTGTCAGCCCTTTCATCTTACTGTGTAGGTATATTCATCATCCAATTATGACTTCTATCAGAAATAATAGAACTAAGTCAAACGGTAAAACCACATGGAGATCAAAATCCTGTCGGCTCCTTCTACAAGTCGTGCTCACAGAACATTGATCTTGATTGTGATTCTTGTGTTTTGAAAGGTGAAGCACTACATTTTATCTATTCATCGGTTTCTCACTTTTATATAATCACACCAAAAACCACTATTCTCACAAATTAAAGATTGAGTAGTTGAAAACACAACAAACCTCATAAAAATATTCATAAAGTTATGTTTCCCTTTCACATGTACCTGAGTGGAAATTTGGCAACCCTGTTTTGTGTGGACACAGATTAAATATAAATGCGAAAGCTGCCTCCCGCCAGAAACTAGGTTTTTTACGCATGTGCAGTTACAGGTGGTTTTAACTTCAACCTCACTTTTCCCTTTCCACTCAACGTTCCTTTGTTATTGTTTACAACTTTTATTTCAGTAAGTATTGGAATATAATAAAATTTGTGAATTGGTGAAATATCTTTTATACAGGAGAATGTTTCGCAAAGGAGGAACAGTTTGTGTTGTTCCTGGTTGTTTTACAAAAACTGGGAAAAATACAAGATTGTTCAGAATTCAAGAGAATTCTATAGGTAGGTAAATGTTAATAATTTTCATTTCTCAGCATTATCTCAACGCGTTTTTTTTACATTGTATTTATAATCATTTGGAAATGTCCCATGCAAATAAATTGATATTTTGTTAATGTTTTTTAGGGCTGCTTGTTGGCTACGGTTATGATACAAAGGATTTATTAGGTATCCATGCCTTGCATAGAAACTATAGGGTATGTGAGAAACATTTTGCCAAAGAAGTCATTTCTCAATCTGGAACTCGTAAACATCTATTCCAAAATGCAGTTCCATCCATATTTCCTCACAGTGCCACTAAGCACTTCTTGGAAGTTATCAATGATGATAATTGCGAAGGACCTCCTAAGAAAATTGCTGTCTTAGATGGTGAGTACCATTTTGCATGTTAATAGTACATATTTTTTTGACGTATACGGACACTTACGTTGTGTCCCAAGTTTACATATTGATTGTAATTTCTTCTGCATTTCTAAATGATAATTTGTTATTTTTGGACATTACTAGTAACATCGTAGTGACATCGTCATGCACGCAGAAACCATAACTTCTTCTCCAGTTGCTACAGATATGTCAGGTATGTTTTTATGAAATTTGAGGAATGAAAACAATATCAATTATTATCCTATGTAGGGTTATTTTGATTTTCTTTAAACTCATGTATTTCTTTAGACATATGATGTATGTACCAGTTTAAAAAGAAATTAGAGTAAATCAAGAGTTTTATCAAATTATATATCACTATATAAATGAATTACATTACAGTTTTTTTCCAGTCCCAGGTCAGAGTTCTTCACCTTTTTCAAGTTGTAACGTCTCTCCAACAACTGGTACTCAAACACATTTTTGAGCTGTGGAACTCCACGAAAGACGAAGTTGCGTGAGAAACTAAGAGCTATGACAAGGAAAACATGCATGAAAACATCCAGTCATGAGAGAGATTCGACTCTAGAGGACTTCAATGAGATGTATGACAAGTTTCTGAGTGAACCTTCATCAGGAATTGTCAAAACGTAAGCCAAATTGAAGAAATTAAATCCGTCAGCAAGAAGGTATTCCACCGAATACAAACAATTTGCATTAACAGTTCATTTTTTGGAACTTTGAGCATATCAATTCATGAGTAAATTGTTCTGTTTTACAACAAAATGTTCGGAGCAATTATCTCAAAAGCTTACATTTAAACCAGGTTTTCAAAATGAAGCAGTTTTCAAATCTCTGGAGATCAAATCACGAACCATGTTAAATCAGGACAGGTCATACTGGTCGTGATGAGACTGTTGAGCTACATGATATTGGAAAGGGCAGAAAAGAAATGTTACTTGCTCAAAATGCTTGTGTTATTATGGTGAGAGGACTATATAATAATTGGAAGCAGCAAATAGCATATTTTTTGTGAATACACAGTTTTCTGCTGTAGAACTACATTGTGTGATTGATGAGTGTATATCAAAACTGTTTACAGCTGGTTTTATTCAGTTATCTAATATTCTTGGTGTCACATCTACTAATTGTAAGTTTCAAGTTGATGACAGGAATATTATATATTTATTTTATACATGTCATTTGATAAAAGCCACGAGAAATAATTTGATGCAAAACGTTGTTTCTTTTGATGAAAATAAAACATCATGGTCCTTCATAGACATGTTTTTTCAGCAAGTTAAAAAACAAACATATAGATGTGCAGCTAAACACACATCTTCACATATTTGCCCTACAAATTTTGAAAAAATTAAAGTCAAACTTGCTACCCAAAATCTTAGTAACACAGTAGCTAGTACAATGAATACTTATGTGAGTTTGGGGGCTCTTCCTGCAGATGCCATGGTAACAATAGACGTAATTGAAAAATTTGATAAATTATTTAAAATCTGTTTAAAATCTGTTTTTCCGTTAATCAGGTGTCGCACCCCTACGAACGACAACCCTCAGAAGTCGAAACTTGTGCGAGCTAAGGATTAACGAGGTCTTACCTTTTAACGTGTGATTCCTAACACGGGTTGGACGGTAGCAAGTGAAGATCGATCGTTCAGACTAGGGCTTGAACCACCGACCAACACGGCAGTCAATTTGAGTGAGTGAACAAAGCACCCACGCCGAACCGCTGGGCTACCGACTGACCTGATTTGATTTATTGAATTCTTCTGACCATAATCACCCAAATAAATTCAAAAATGTTTTTGCTGGGTCTGATGGGATACATATTGTGTTCTCAGAAGGACATCTGCTCAGTTTGTAATTATTTTCCTTCCAAACCTGACGAAGACGTGTTTAGCCTTCTCGATGGTCTTCGTCGAATGGTATTTATTAGCGACCTCTGGAATATTCTGTATTATCAAATGCATCATGCACAAAAATCAATGCTTATTCATAATATAGCTATTGTTGAGGTCACCAACTAATAAACACGTCCTATTTTCAAATATTACTGTATATATTATATTGCACAAAAGTACCTACTCATGATGTAAATGTCGTCAGTTCTTTGATGAAAGATGTTTTGTGGTACTGATATACTTTACAAACCTTCATCATAATTTATCCTCTCTGTGTATTTTCATGATATATCTGGTAATTGTAATTAATTGTTTTTTTTATTTTGGTTAAATTGAATATACCTGCACAGTAGGTTGAATGGACTGACGCCTATCAGAAAACAGCTACTCCCCTGGCTGATACCACGAAGGGCGTTGGATTATATCCGACAGGCGTCAGTCGTCAGTGCAGGAATTTTCACGGAAAATATCCCGCATATGCAATTTGCAATCCAACTGAAAGAGTCGACCTTCAATTTTGGAACGGGCACACTTGCAGACCGGTTTCGGGCTCATTAGCCACTCATCAGTGCAAGATAATGGCCATCATCGACCTAAAGTCAATGATATTCCATAATTGAAAATCTGAATTCTTTCAGAGTATTTCATTTCTCTTCCTAAGTTGGAGCGAACAACAAAATGTCACTCAATCTAGTGGATGAGGTACTAACCAACTGTGAAGATTCCTACACTGACGCCTGTCGGATATAATCCAACGCTCTTCGTGGTAGTAGCCAGGAAGGTAGTCGTTTTCTGATAGGCGTCAGCCCTTTCAACTTACTGTTTAGGTATATTCCAGACTGTCTTGAACGTTTAAAGTTCATTTCTTTAGATTTGTTTACTGCCAGTTTTTATGAGAAAATATACAAAATGATTAAAAATATTCCTAATTTTTATCAAATTTCACTATTGAACTTTATTGATGATATCTACTTATCTCTTTAATCAAATTTGTCAATATGCAAGTTTCTTTATTTCATTATAATGTACCACAAAAATACCATCACTTTTTCTGTGAACAGCGAAAGCACGTTTTTTCAGTGTACATTAAGAGGATATAGCTGAAATCAACCAAACCTTTTTCTCCGTGTATATCGAAGTGGTATACACATCATATTCAAGGTTACGAATTTTGAGCCATCGAACATCAAAGGCGGCATCAAAGCTTTCGCATCTATATTTAATCTGTGGTGTGGATTGAATTCTGAAGTTCGTAATTTGGGTTGTAAATATTTTTCTTTTGATATAGTGAAGTGGAAACCTTTTTTGCGAATTTTTAATAACGATAATAATAAACGTATGGAGTTGGATATTAATCAAGGGACGATGGAAAGACAGGGTAGTTGTTTACTCTTACGGTCTGCAAGTCAAAATTCTTTGGATGAAAGTTCACAAAAGCACATATCCCAAATTCATCCGCACACCAAAGAGCGCCCTCCGTACAAAAATCACCTCCATACCCAAAAGGCTTTCGATGTTATGAATGTTATGAGGAAACAAAGACTTCTTTGCGATGTCACCCTAGTAGCCGATACTGTAGAAATACCAGCCCACAAAATGGTTTTAGCTGCGTGTTCTCCATACTTTTTCGCGATGTTTTCAAGTTTCGAAGAAAGTCGGCAAGACCGAATAGTTCTTCAAGAAGTGGATCATCAAGCTCTTTCTCTCTTAGTCGAATACGTTTACACCTCAGAAGTGCATGTTACTGAAGAAAATGTGCAAGTGTTACTGCCAGCAGCAAACTTACTACAGCTCACTGATGTTAGAGACGCTTGCTGCGATTTTTTACAGGCGCAATTGCATCCGACAAATTGCCTGGGTATTAGAGCTTTTGCAGACCTCCACGGCTGTTTGGATCTTCTTTCCCATGCAGAATCCTACATCGAATTGCATTTCCCGGAAGTCGTGGAGTGTGAAGAATTTTTGACACTCTCACAACTGCAAGTGTCTAAACTGATTTGTAGTGATAGGTTAACTGTACCTTCCGAAGAAAAAGTATTTGAATGTGTTATCGCTTGGGTTCAACACGACCTCGAAAACCGTCAGAAACATCTATCTTCTTTGATGGAACATGTTCGTTTACCGTTAATGTCTCAAGTAAGTAATTTTTGTGAGTAATTTATTTAAAATTGAAATAACTGATTAGTACACCAAACTTTTACTTTAAAAAAGTTGTCAAAATGTAAATCAATGGGAGCAATTCTATTTCTAATATTTGTAATTAGTAATAAAAATAGTTGATTCTAAGCAAAACTGCTAAAATATAAAATGCGCCTATAGTGTCACAAGCATCAGAGATTAAATTATACACATATATACATGAGCGCACACATGCCTTCCATATTTCATTTTTTTACATGTGCAGCGGTGAAATTAATTCATTTAAACAAATTTTGAATGTGTTCAAAGCCAGTGAATTTTTCACTTCATTTGAGAGGTTATTGATCATTTAAGCTTCAAGATATTGATGATTTAAGCTCTTGAAGAATAATGTTTTCATTGAGCTTATATTTCGAGTTCGAGCTATATAGAAATTGTTCAAGTTTCTTGTAGGATAAGTGTGGATCTCATTATATGTAATTAATGAATGATAGTACCAGAACTAAAAATAACCTAGTTTTTTCACTCACAAAACTAAAGAAACAAGCAAGATAGCAAGAGAGAGAGAGAGAGAGAGAGCAACTATTGCAGATTTATTCAGATAACACTACAAATGTCTGTGGAGACGCCAAAGAATTGAAAAAGGCAGATAGAGAACTAGATAGGGAGAAATTGAAACAAAAATATAGACTGGAAATCAATTTGCTCAGTACTCCCCCTTGTAGGAGTTGCATGGAAAAGACTGATACGATGAGTGCATCTAATTTTAAATCAACAAAGACTGACTGATAACTTCCCACTTTATTCTCTGAATGTTAAAATGTAATCAGAACTCTCATAAAATTAGTCGATTGCTTTAGCACATAATCGTTTTCTTTTGGTAATTGAAAATTTTGGCAGCTTGGCATTGTTGCAGTTAGTGAAAGATGAATTTTGGAGAAGATGGTGTGAAGAATACTTACTGATCACTGATCAAAAGAATTAAATGGCAGGCCACTCAAAGTCGGTTATTTTGTAATAATCATTGGAAAATATTGATCCTAGAAAGTAATGGAAACTAGGAAAAGTTGAAATTGTTTTCCTTGGTTTTAATAGCAATAAATGAGTTGCGCAAGTAGATACTGTAAGAGGGGCATATACAGTACCAGTAACCAAACTGTGCAAACTGAATATTGAGAAAAGTGAGAAAAGAGCATTTCTCCCCCTCAACGGTGGGGAGAAATGTTGAACGTTATTTTACGTTATTATTGTAGGTACTTTTTGTACCTTCATATTAAACTAATTAGATATATGCAAAAAGATGGAATAGGCAGATTGTCAGAGTTTGAAATAAAAATAAAAAACTGTTAGAAATGTCAGGCAAAACTGTATTGAAATATGACAAAATAAAATCGTTAATTGTAACAGGATGAAATGTTGGTTTCCAAATAAATAGACTATAAAACGTCACTTCAGGTTTATAAACCAAAAACATATTGAAATAGTATAACAACAAAGAACATGGTAATAGACTAGAAAATGAAGAATGCTGTTTTATGTTGCATATTTGCTAACAATCCTACAATCTCCAATTTTTTTGAATGAGGTAAGCTTTCAACCTTGAGTTGAAAAATGATGTATTACTATCAATTCAAAAATGTCAGTTATGCTGAGAATGAAGAATCAGTTTAGTTTATTTGCAGTATTCATTTTATTTGTAGTAAAAGAATAACTATCACTACTTAATACAATACTTGTAAAGTCAATCAACTATTCCTCTCTACTTGATAATATTTTCCACTTTTCCTCAGGAATATCTCGTGCAGCATGTCGAAGAAGAACCTCTTTTGAAAGCCGATCTTCAATGCAAAGACTATCTCATCGAGGCTTTGAAGTATCATCTACTAAAAGGCGATACGAAAACCTCCTTTCGTACCCCTAGGACCAAACCTAGACAACCAGTAGGCCTACCGAAAGTTTTGCTAGTAGTCGGGGGTCAAGCTCCAAAAGCTATAAGAAGTGTGGAGTGCTACGATTTCAAAGAAGAACGTTGGTTTCAAGTAGCAGAAATGCCGACTAGGAGATGCAGAGCTGGGCTAGCAGTAATGGGTGGAAAGGTGTATGCTGTGGGAGGCTTCAACGGGTCCTTGAGGGTGAAAACTGTCGATGTATACGACGCCTCTTCCGACGTTTGGACCAGCTGTGACAGCATGGAGGCTCGGAGATCTACTCTAGGGGTAGCTGTACTGAATAATTGTATTTATGCAGTTGGAGGGTTTGACGGATCTACAGGCCTAAACACAGCTGAAATGTTCGATACACAAACATGTAAGTGGAAAACGATAAGCGCCATGTCGACTAGAAGAAGCAGTGTTGGCGTTGGGGTCCTTTATGGACAACTTTATGCTGTAGGAGGATATGATGGTGCGTCCAGGCAATGCTTGAGCTCTGTCGAATGTTACACTCCGGAAACAGATTCTTGGACATCCGTTCCTGATATGTGTTCCAGACGAAGTGGAGCAGGAGTGGGAGTCCTGGATGGCATTCTTTATGCAGTTGGAGGCCACGATGGGCCTCTAGTACGCAAGTCTGTTGAGGCTTACGATCCTGCCAAGAGCAAATGGACTCCTGTAAGTGAGATGGCCCTTTGTCGTCGAAATGCAGGCGTTGTAGCCATAAGCGGCTTGCTGTACGTTGTGGGAGGAGATGACGGAACCAGCAATTTATCCTCTGTTGAGGTATACAATCCAAAAACTGATTGTTGGATCATGTTGCCCAGCTGCATGAGCATTGGCCGAAGTTATGCAGGTGTGGCAATAATAGATAAACCGATATGAAGGTCACCTAATGCTGGCAATGTGGTTTCAGTTTCGGTTCTCCCAGAGAGATACGGATGTTTCGATGAGAACAGTAATGCCGAAGGTGCTGTTGGCTACGAAACCCGTCAGTCTCCTTTACTGCACAGAGAGAACATTTACGAAACAATCTGCGTTGAAGCCAGTGCCAGCAATGATTTGGAGGAAAACATATATGAGACTATAGAAGACATCAGGCAGCAACAAGTGGATGCACAACTCCCTGAAGATCCCACTTATGATTTGAATATTGATCAACCAAGTTGCAGCAGCACTTATGGGAGGATTGGAAATGCTTACGGTAGAATCGATATTATTGGGCATGGCATAGGACGAATCGAAAGGCATCTGTCTTCTTCGTGTGGTTCGATCAACAGTAATCATTATGCAATTGAGAGTTTGTATGGAACAAAAGATGGCACTGGGCGCATTAGCAAGGTTTCCGTTCAGTGGCTCTTGGCCAATAAGTGGCTACCATTATGGATTGCAAACACAGAAACTGGAAGGGATTACAGGATAATAGATTTTTTGATAGCTCAAGGATTGGAGAGGGGGGAAGAAGAAATGAGAAATGAAGAGGAAATGGTAAAGGGTGAGGAAGAAGAGGAGCAACAGCTACCAGAAGATATATAGTATAAATGTTTTCTGTTTGCAGAAGTAATTCCGCTGATTTTTGAAACTTGAAAATTCATTCTCACTTATAGTATTCAAATAGAATTTCAATTGATTGCAGGTTAAATGAATAGATAGATGTCAATAAAGGTAATTTTTAATATTGTATTGAAATTTTAAATTGCATAAATTTTTTAAACTAGTGATATGAAAATTTGTTTGATAGATGTTTGCGTACCTATTGTTCAGCTCATCAATTGTTCTACAAATGATTCAATAACGAAGTCTAAAGATGGTGGTTGCCGAAATTTAAACTTTGAAATAGGATTTTCTTTATGTATATGGATTTCATTTCAAAAAATGAGTTCTAAATTTGATCTCAATTCTATGATTTGTTATGTATTTTACTGAAAATTTGGATATCTCTTACAAGAATAGTGCTGTGATTTATGTTGTAGGATTATTGTTACTGCAATTAGTTCATGGAAGGTTAATTTTTCCGACCATTCTTTTTGCTGGTGTTTATTTTTTAGTCAGTGTTAACAATTAGGCTAGAACTATTGTATCGGGGTTACAAGTACTATGTGTAGTTGAAAGAATGAATGTATCTTTGTATTATCTGAGGCACATATTTTATTTTTACACTCTGCCATATTTGACAGGTTAATTTTTCAATTATTATTGATTGATTATTACTCTCTCAATATTCAAAATACTTAAACGAACTGCCGACTTCAACCTGAACACAGTAGAAAATGTACCATTATTCCAAAGCAAACCTTTACCACTTCCCAAACGAAGTAAATTATTTCTGGAACAGAGTATAAGGGAAAGAAGTGCAGCTTTAGGTGAGTATATATTTCAGTGCAAAATCATTGAAGTTTCAAGTTCACCTTTTTTTCAATATCGAAAAAAATAAGTTGCGATTTTTAAGAAAAAATCTTACCACTCCACTGGATCCATGCAGGGAATGTTTGTCGACACGCGTTCGTCATTGAAAATATTATAAGGGAATAAAATTAGAAAAATATGCCATTCGATTACCCCACCAGTTAATTTTATATCTTTCATCAAAATTCTGACTACTTTAAAGGTTTTGATTTATCACTGTCCAAAATATCTATTGGAGTGACATATATATACAATGCCTAGTTTGTATATCTACCAAACTCTGATATATATAAGAAAAAATATTTCAATTATTCCTAGAAATGAGCAAATCCATGAACATTTCACCAGAAATAACCTTCAACTTTATCAGCCTTATAGTAGATTGACAGTATCGAAGAATCACCCCATGTGCTGTGGGATTAAACTATATAATAAGCTTAGTAATGACATTAAGTCCTCACATCAATGTCTTTAAAAGGAAGCTTAAGGTTTTTCTATTGCAAAAAGCATACTACTCTGTGGATGAGTTTCTCCTTGAGTCATAATCATAATTTGATTGTAGCTTAGTGATTTTATTTTTATTTAAGTTATGCTTTGTATTTGTTTTTCTATAATAGTTTGACCTGTTGTATCAGCCAGTATTTTATGATGATGTTTGCCTAATGTGATTGTAAATGAACACTGATTCAATAAATGTTTGATTGATTGATTGATTGATATAATTGTTAAGTGGGTATTGCATCAGAATTTCTTTGCTTATAACTAACTCAATGAAACAAATTTCGATGGAATTTTGGATAACGATAAATCAAAACCTTCTGAATTCAATTGAGTAATAATTTTTTTTTCGATTTTTGACATTGAAACATGAAAACGAAAACTAATTCATAAAATTTGGGATTCCATTAGACTTCTCGAATATCTATAGCTAATGAAAAAAAAAGTCAATGGGTTGACAAATATGTTTTATGAAGAGGGCTTCATTTCAAAAAGGGCCACATTGCAGATATGTTAAAACGCATTCCAGTCGGCGATAAAATAGCATACGAATTTATAATGCAAGATTACAATGTTCGTGAAAAAAATGTCTCAAATTTCACAATCATTCAACTAGGCAGGTGCAAACCTTTTATGTTTCTTTTCACAGATTCAATTACTCATACATCAGCTTATCTCCAGAACTCTTCAATTAGCCAACTTTTTGAATAACCTTTAACTCTTCAATATATCATACCAAAAACCATATCGTTGACCTAGCTATTTAATATTTTCAGCTTGGGCTGGTGTATTGTGTTTAGTGTTACTTGCCTGCAAGAAATAGATTAGTTCATACTATGTGAATTTTTCTTAATTGATGATATCTTACTATTTTGAAACTGCTTTGCATCGTAATACACTGTAATACTTCGAATTGGCCTGCCCATGTATACATTTGAATAAATAAATATAGGTAGGTAATATTATTCCAGTTTTTGTCATTATTCAATCTTACAAATAATCCATTTTATCTGAATTTAGTAAAAAAATTCAATATAACGAAAAATTTTGTTCATTTTTATGCTGCTTCATTTTGCTGTAACAAGAAAGTTTTATTTTGGTTTTTATTAGGTACTCATCGTCAGTACCTATGAATATTACAGGAGTTTTTTCCCAACACCAAATCGTTATTTCAACACCTCGACACGTGTTTCGATCATCAAACCGATCTTCCTCTTGAAGATGATCACTTGGTGATCGAAACGCGTGTCGAGGTATTGAAATAACGGTTTGGTGTTGGGCAAAAAACTCCAGTAATATTCATTACTACACCAAAGGTTCCAAACAGTGCATCACAAAATCAGTACCTATCAAAAATCCTTCAATCTTCCTAAACATTGGTTGTTTGTGGTGGCGATGATGACTCCTTTACCAAACGATATTGAAAGCCAAATGAGAAATCACCATAGCCCACTCGACTACCTAAGCCCAAACTAGAAGATTTATTTGATTGTGTTCATCAAAATTCACGTACAAATACACCAAAATGTTTTTTGATAATCATATTTCACAACTTATATTCAGCTTGGAAATACTCCTTCGAAATGTAAAAATTAAAAAACTAATGAATAGGTACAGTTTATTGTATGGTTTTCACTATAAAGGGTTTTACACAAACCGCGACACGTGTTTTTGAATTTATTTATTGAATTAGGATTCCCTAATATACAGGTTAGCTAACTTAAAATATAATATAATCAAACTGTGATTATATATGATGAGAAATAATCACTCACACGTACTATCTGTTTCCTATTTGATAAAAAATTACTTATCCATTCATAAACCATCTCCTCAATCCCATATCTCCTCAGCTTCTGAAGCGAAATACTTCTATCAATCGTTTCAAAGGCCCTTTCGAAATCTAAAAAGACAGCTACAACATATTTACCTTTATCTGTTTCATTAGTAAATTTAGTTAATGATAACTGTAGTGCTGTTTCACAAGAATGTTTTTTTCGAAAACGAGATTGATTGCTAAGCATGATTTGATTTTTGTCAATAAACTCCAATTATTGATTATATACTATTTCTAAAACTTTCTCTATTGGCGGTAAGGTATTAATAGGTCTAAATTCACTTGCTTTTATAGTGTTTGTAACTTTAGGTATGGGTATAATGGTACTTATTTTTAATAATTCGGGCAGTTGACCATTCTGGAGCGATGTATTGATTAAATTGAGGATTGCATGACCAGCTGTTTCAAATACTTGCTTTAACACTTTAGAATTCAAGATTTCATGGATACTACATTTATTATCTAATGACCCAATTATCATTCAAATCTCTTAAGATAATCAATCTGAAGATGCTGAAGGGCAAATATAAATTATTATCTAAATTGAACCATGGTTTGGAAATCTCAATACCTTGGACAATATTTGGATGCTGTTTACAAAGTATGATGGGTCGATTTCTGTTAATTGTTGGTTTTCCCAATCTGAAATGTTTTATTTCTTCCTTATTGACATTGAAGTCCTGCAGTATATTATTTATGGTTTCTCTTTCTTGTGCTGATCTTTCAGTATGGAGGTTTCCCTGAGGTTCATTCACATTATAAATGATAATATTGGCCGCTCGTGATTGTCTGTACATAATTTCTGATATTAGATCTTCACTTCCAAGCAAATTAGATTCCATGTCAGAATGTGAGTTGGATACACTCATGTCATCAATTTTTTTTTTGCATCTTTTCATTTTCCTCTTGAAGTATTCTATTTATCTCCATAATATCACTTAGCTGTTTTATGAGTTTAGGCATTTGCTTGATATTATTCATACATTGATCACAGAAATATGTAATGCATCGACCTGATTTAAGGAAAATAGCTGTAAGTTCGGTACTTGTAAGTTCAGTACATGTTGAATGTACTACATTATTGCAGCAGTCACATACGACAATATCTTCCCCTTCTAAATCCTTTTCACACTTATTACCAAGTACTTTACCCATTTTACTCACAGCTTACACAAAGCCATACAACAGCTTTCTCAAGTATAAACTCATGCTGTATTAATTAGTTTTTTAATATGGATTTTCATCAATTATCGGCCAGTTCTATTCAATTATTAAAAATTAAACTTCAATTGAATTTCCATTTTCATCAAAGTATTTCCCCCATGAATGTAAAAGGCAGTAAGTGTAAAGAACATTCGTTTTCATTTTAAATAAGTTTCACAAGTAGGGTTTAATATTCTTGCAAAAACTAGTTTGATATAAAATGAAGCTCTTCAAAACATAGACATCAGCAGCTTCCACGCCAGCATCTCTTGGAATACATCATCAGGAGACTTATAAGACTGTAAAAGATAAACGTTTTCATTCGAAATGCGCTGAAAGGACGCGTCGTTTAATAAACAAGAGTAAAAAAAATCAGTGTAGAAGCATGAAAAAATGGATATAAACAGGGAGTAGACACACGATATTCTTCTAAAATGTTCTGTATACATATTTTTTTCAGAGATACATCAAACTTTCCAGCAAGATCTCATCAGGATGAGGTTGAATGCTGCTAGAGAATTGCTTCAGCAACATACTTATCAATCAGACATTGTAAACCAGAAAGAACAAATTAAATTATCGGCTCAGGTTAGTGATTTTAACTGGATATTTCATTAAAATGAACAACACAAATATCTTCGGACACTACTCCATTATTCCATTATTGAATTTAATAACTTGTTTTATAAACGCTGTCTGTTCAAAAAATTAAATGAATTTGTTAATCGAATTTTGCTCAACAATACAATGAACATATACAAGAGACCGAAATGAAAAACGGATTGCCACACTTCACTAATTTTGTCCCCTTGTCCCTCAGAAATAATACACTTATATGTTTCACCAGCAAACTAAACATGCTTAACAGCTGAAACTGTGAACATATGTTCGAGACTAGTGTACCAACAGAAAAAAATTAAAAATTGCTAACTGATTATACGTAAGCCGCGAAATTTGAACATTCACCTTATTTTTTGAACAGATCTCGTATACTGCGTTAGACTTATTTATCAAGGGATCTATTAGGGTTTAGGGTCTAACATGCAACAGTCCCGGCCATTCTTGAAATCTCAGAAGAAAAATTCTACAGACATTTATAAGTATAACACCTCCATTGTCATAAAAAGTATAGAGGAAAAAAAATTAAATCACTAAATTTTGTCATTAACAAGGAGGAATGTACTTTGAACATTTTTAAAAATTTGGATATTGTACAAATAATTCGATTGATTAACATCCCATTTTTGGAAAGTGCTTATCAAATAATGGTCGCCATTAACACGAAAATTACAAATTTGAACGGGAAGTGACAGAAAAATAAAAAATAACTCTTCCCTCCTCATACCACTTACATCACATCTCATTTTATATACCTACTTAATACACTAGAAGTTATAACTTGTCTAATATATTTGTTGACATCTGGTTTACATGAATGTTCATCATAATCAAATCCAAACAGATTAATTAGTTTTTGAAATTACTATATGGATCTTCATCAAGTAACGGCCGAATCAATCAGAAAATCCAAGCAGATTAATTATTGAATTTGATTATGCACTTGCCGTAAGAACTCACATAGAGTAAGAGTTCTAGGTTATTTTCACGAGTTTGTTCTAATTGCAGGTACTAGGACTGGGAACAAAGTTTACCGTTATTTTTACACTGGAAAATATGGAAGCCAATACGGCAGTAACTGGTATCAGTATGATATTACATGTAAAACCATCAAATTATGATTGCACTCCAAACAACATAACAGTGAGTTTAGAAGCTCGTTCAGAAGATTATGATCTACATTTATTTTGATAAGTTTTTTCAAGTTCTAGGCTATGCCTATTATTGAGAGAGGGTAATGATTCGTATAATTACATATAACCAGAAAACTTACAAGGCGAACAAAATAATTTATTAAGTTGCTGTAAACATTTGAATTTCAATAAATTAATCATAATTATCATACAATCTTCATGGGGATCTTGTAAATGTTAAGAGATAAGAGAATTGAGTAAAATGGGAGCAAAGTTGTGCATGCCAAAGAACTATTGAATTGTAACTTTTTTTTTTTCATATTTAGAAAAAAAATTTAACGTTAACTAGGTTCTTTGTCCGCAGAGATATTGCAAGTCTTAATCTAAGAGCTGATAATGAATTAGAAAAAGATACTTTTAAGTATCGCCATTTGAGTAAAAAAAGAAAGACATTGTATGCCACTCAATATATTTGCAAAAAATTTTGACAGTTCCACTAATAACCGCCATAAATTTATTGCAGCTCTTTGCAGAAAAAACCAAAAGTAGAATTTCGATTGTTTTTTTTTCAAATTTATTTTCGGAACTACAGTTGACTTTTTTAGCTCCAATTCAATAAAACGTGTCTCAAATTAAACGACTCTCCTATCTTACACTATTTACGAGATACCAACTTCGAAATTCAAATTAAAATGGCAGCAAAGTTTTTAAAAAAATGAAACTATTTTCCACATATTCTTTCAGATACCATTGCTGCAACCTAATTTCTCCTATAAAATGAAAGTTGACGTCGAGGAAAAATCGAGTGGGAATCAATTGACTGTTGTACAATCAACAGAAAGCTCTATCATACGGGTTTTCATAATGAGGAAGTTTCAATCTCAACCAATTCTGGCGGCAACCATAAATATGCCCCTCTCAAATGTACCAGTAATCTAAAAGAATAGTAAAAACAGTGTTTTTCTTGTTAAGATACATTTCTTTATATTTTTGGCAAGTGTAATTATTTATTGCATTTCATATGGTGAGTAGAGTTCAAAAACTGCTTTGGTGATACTCCGCCCATTCACCTCAATATTTTTTTGCATATTATTTATGCTTGTTAAATTATGTGAATAAATATGTTTTATTATTTTTCATGAATCCATTATTTGAATAAATGTTTACCTACCTCATTAAACAGTTCACATTAGCTTTTGGGGGAAAACTGATTATGTGCACTTTTGATTTTAAATCTTGATGGTGAAAAATTTTCGAAAAAATTGATTTCTTTTTGCCTTGAAATATGGTTTATGGTCATAAAATTCCAAAAACTTCAACTCTTTTCGGATAACATTATACAAAGTTACTTAAAAAAGTTGTTATAAGAAAACCTCAAATTTAACTATATTTTAAAGAAAAAAATCTAAGTCCAATAAGTATGTTAATAATGTCAAGACTTTGCAATAGCCGAACTTGATAAGTTATTTCAATATGAAGATATATATTGAAAGTATATTTGAACAAACTTTGAAAAGGTTTTGGTACCCATTACTTTGAAGTTTCAATTTAACGACACCTCAATCTTCACTTTATAGCAGTGGGACCATTTGACAAAATTTTTGTCAGGCCATGGACCATCAAGTTGGTTAATTAGTTTGTAGTTAATATAAAGTACCTTACGATAACTACAAATAAATACAGTACAGTAAATAAAATCTGTAACTAACAAAAATTGCATTATAAATTAATGCGATTTTTGTGGTTGCATACTCTTTACTAAATTCTGAATCCTTTGTTCAGTGTTACTTGAACTTTAACGCATATCAGCAGTGGCATCCAACCGATTTCGGTGCTTGTTTTTAATAATCAGAAGCGCCGAAGACATAGATATGTCGAAGAAAATAAAGTTAGGTAACGAATAGCAACATCGAAGATGATTTTTCGATGAAAATAAGGATACAGACAACGTCATTGTCTGTATTCGTTTACTTTCAGTTCCTGGCTCTTAAGATATAAGGAAAGAATAGATTTTACTCTTGGAGGTTTCTATGACAAAATACTTATTTTATACCTTTTATCCCTTCGTATGTGACAATGTTAGAAACCATTTTGTTGACCAACCTAGTTTTGGTGAACCAGTTAACTATCTAAATCACTACTNTTTTTTTCAAAGACTGTTTAGTCTTAATTGAAAAAAAAAAACTTTTCTAAAATTGATTCTGGTTGCTATATTTCAATCGCTTCAAAATCATTTCATCGGCCCCTTTTACCCCTGAAAGGTAAATTTGGGCGGGAAATAACCCATTTTCGATAAATTGAAAAACAAAGCTAATCACCACCACAAAAATACTTTCAAGATTATTACCATTCTTTAAATCATCATTATTGCAAATCGATCATTTTCAAAGAATGCATGTACATAAGGTCGAGGAAAATGAAACACTCATTTAAACAACATGTTTTATAAACCATACATATCTTACTCACATGGCATAAGATAGACTCACCTAAAATCTTCGATTCATGAGATGTTTCTATAATCAACCGCTTGATAAAGCTTATCTGTGGAAGATACCTAAAATTTATCATTCAACTTTCAAATTATTTCTTACGGGATTGAACCCCCATCACTTTCGAGACTTGACTGATGCGTAGTCTTGAATGGCCTCTTGATTTTTCAGTGCTTTTCAAGATGTCGATTGTAGCCGACTTCTACAGACAAAAACATTTTGTGGTCTTCAAGAGAGTTGCAAAAATTTTCTCAATTCTCTTGATGATCTTCATGATTTTCTTTTTTCGTTCGTGAATCATTGATGAATAAAGCTTCACGGTTTGATCGGGGTTTTATACTTGTGTGAATATCTCAATTTCTTTAAGAAACTTCAATTTCATCCACTACCTCTTGATAACCCTTTTCAAAAAAACACAAAAAACAAAATTAGTTTCCAGTTGTACATTTATTTCAAAGTCACATCTAATTGATAAGTCAAAAAATAATAAGCTAAGGTACTTCAAATTAACATCATTTTAATGTACACACTCATGGAACTGGAGATTCCAGTTCAATTACATCAAACAAAAACGCGTAAAAAACTATGGAGTTTATGCCTTCATCAAAATGTAATTTGATTAATGCTGGAATAAACTCGGTATCTTTAAAACTAAAGATCTCCTCTATTTAAACGTAGTCCCTCCAAGAAGATCAATAACGACCTGAAATTCATATTGTAAACACGAATTAAAATAAAGTTGCGAATTGTAAATTATAAAAACAGCAATCACTTACTCAGATTGATTATTATATGGAGTAATACAAAAACAGAGTTTCACTAAACTGATTAGTTGAAATGAAAATACACTAACGAATGGGTTAACAATAACTAAAATGTCCAATATATACAAGAAAACAAAAACAAAAAATTAAATAAAAATAAAATAAAGTAATCAAGATAAATGATGAAATATTAAAAATGAAAAAAGATTATTGCTTATCCTTTTTGATCTGTTTTCCTTTGTTTTGATCAATTCATCTGAATAATTGTTTTAATTATCACCTAGTTCTGAAAAATTGAAATCTCGAAAAACAATTTCATCATTAATAATAATATGAAATAACTTGATGATTTGTGTCCAGTACATCACTTCATGAACTTGACATATTTTTAGTATCACATTTGGTAATATTATGAAAAAATTAGATTGAATTACTACAAGTTGAAACAAAGACAAAATTGCAGAGAAAATAAATTTTTTCGACTTGGAATACACATACTAAATCGTTGGAAACGTGACACACAACTCCAAACACCTGACTCACTCTTGCATTCATAAATCTCAAAAAGGTGTATTGTGCGAATGTTTAGATTTATACAGCACTAGAAAGGGTTCACAAAATATGCAGTTATGAATTAAATTCTGAAATATAGGTTCAATGTACACAATAATACTATTCAAAACACTTCAGTTAAGAATTTTCAAATAATAATTTTGTAATAAATTTTTTTGTATAACTCCACATAAAATCCTAGGAGGTGCATTCATTGCCGATTGATTGAAAAAAAATTACACAAATTCATATATCGAACCTCTGGTGTAATCCGGAAGTGAACCATATCAGTATATTTCGTTTGTGTTGGATTTACTTCATAAATATAGGGAAGGAACATTTATGTGAGTGACAAAGAAATATATCAGAGAAATGTTATGTTCAACTAGGAGTTCCTCAGGGTTACATGTTGGGACCACCATTATTTGTTCCATTTATGGAATTAATTCTTGCTTTGAACAACTCAAAGGACTTTATTAAAAATCTTAGTTTTTGAATTACCTATCAATTTCAACAACCTGATTTTTCTGACAACCTTATGCCATCCTGTTTTTTCTAAATATATTGACAGGTATAGGAACATATATACAGGAGAAGCAAGAATGGTCACCACAATTTTTTTGGTGCTTCTCTTCTCTGTATCCTTTGTGTTTCACACGTTCTTTCTCCAGTTCCCTCTCTTTCTCGTATTCTACAACAAAAGCTAGTTTCAAACAGTCAATACTATTTTTTTTTTCAAAAACTACATCTCATGATTTTATCTCCACAAAATAATATTTTTGTTTTTCATTGACTATAGGGTGAAATATTTTTCGTTTCTGTTAATCACTCTGAATGGTCTATTATTATAAGATGTCTGAAGGGCTTTTTTAACAGTGTCAACTCTAATTAACACATGGGAACAAGTTGATAACTCGTTTTGCATGAATAATTTTTGTTTATCGTAACTAGTTCCAGGTGTTGCTTTCATTTTTATCATGTTTTCTTTAAGATAGTGAAGAAACTGTTGATAAGTAGGAGAAGGCACAGTCCTTTCTATTATAAGTTCTACAGAGATCCTGAGGGTTGTTCCATACAACAATTCAGCATTCGAACACTGCAATTGCTGCTTTACTGAAACCCTGATTCCCAGTAAAATAGTAGGAAGGTCCATCCACTTTTCTGATTCATAGCACTTCAGTACTACCTTCATTGTGCGATTAAATCTCTCAATCATTTCATTGCCTACCTTGGTCTGTAGTTATTCTTAATGGAACTCCAAAATCGAGAAATCCAACCTTCATAAAATTTCTTGGCCACCGTTTTTGCAGTTACTTATATTGGTTATAGGAAAAGCTTCAGGCCATCTTGAATATCTATCTATCTAAGGAAGTGGTCCAACCAAGACGATATTAACATGCTCGAGACGTCTTTTAGTTATCCCATAAGCACCTACTAGACTTACCACATGTTTACTAATTTTGAATTTTTGGCATTGAATACAGCACTGACTCCATTTTGAATATCTTTCTTCATATTCAACTAAACACATCTCTCCCTTATCAATTTAGTGGTAGCTCTTATTCCGGTATGAGACAAATTATGCATTATAATGAATATTTTTCTTCTGAATGGTTCAGGTACATAAGGTCGGACAAGCTTTTGTGAAGTGTCACAAAAATGGAATCTCAACCATAGGGAAGTTTACATTCCTTGAGTTTTAGAGATGTGTCTTCAGTTTCAGTAATTTTTGCAACTCGTCATCTTTCTTTTGATTCAACTTCCATTCTGAATAGTCAATATTCTTCATAAAATCGATGGTACACCCTGGATAAAGCATCGGCAACAGTAATTGTCTTCAACTCTCATACCTCAGATCAGAGCTTTTGTAATTGAAAAAATGAATAATTGATACCCATACAATGGCAAACATTGGAAAAAGAATAATTTTAGATCTTATTAAACACCAATGAATGCACCTACAACTGATCTACAAAATATTCAATTCTTCAATCAATACTTACGTGGAGAATAACTTCTCGATCTGGAATAGCGTCTCCTTCTACTGCTACTATAATATGGCGATGGTGAACGGCGGTCTCTGTAGCGGGATCGACTGCCACCATAGTAATCACTAAAAAAATCAAATCATTTTTAATTGAAAAAGAAAACAAAAAGAAATATACAAAAAAGTGTGAATCAAAGACTACAGCAGTTAAATGAAATTCATTTTTTGTAATTAATAGCATCTATTACTTATTATGATTCATTAAATAGAAATTACTACTGAAAAAAAAAATATATGAAAATGAAACGAAATGAAACTAATCAAATTCGATATTAAAATTATATTATTTTCATGTCTTCTACTTTGAACTTAATGAAAACTTGATATAAATAAAGTATTACTCACTCTCTATCTCTGCGTCTCTCAGAATATTTACTGAAAAAAAAAACAGAAACTTTTAGAATAAACAAACTCAACTATCATGAAAATATGTACAGTCCAACTAATCAGGTCATAGTATATATTCAATTGTACAAGAAAGCCTTTCACCAAGCTTATTACTTTACATTATGGTGTCTATTCTTCTTATAAATTTATCTACCAAAAATACCAAAATGAGGCCTTTTTCAAGCAAGTAGTGAAAAAGACCATTTGATTTTTGGAACTTAAACACAAATGAAGAAGAAACAATAGTGTCCATGTTTCTTTATATATCTCCTGATATTAAAAAAAAAAAGTGAAATTAGGTTAGAGAAAAACAGAAGCCTTCCAAATGTATAACGATATTGTTTTATTAATTCTACTGCTTATTATTATCTAAAAATACTTGCGTTTTTTTTATGTAAATTCACTGTACTGGTCTCGACCTTTGAAGAAATAAATAAATAAAAAAATACCTAAGCAAAATTATTTGCATATGCAGTATGAAATCATTGGTAGCATTTTTAGATAAGCGTAAGGTTTGTATGAATAAATAGGAAAATTTGTAAAGTCAACAACTTTTAATAAAAAAAACAACACATAAATATATTATTTATATCCCAAACATATTCATGTCTTGTTTGAATAAAATATTGAGATATAAGATTTCTAAAAAAAAATCTACTTACTAAGTAGGTTTTCCCATGTAAATTCCAGGAGTTGGGGTATGAGCTCTTTCAGTTATAGAGAAATCTACTCTGATACTTTTTCCGTTAATCTTCATGCCTGAACATTGTTCCTTTGCAACTTTAGCATCCTCAGAACTCTCAAAGTACACAAAGGAAAAACCCCTTGAACGACCCGTCTGAAGAAAAGATTTAAAAAACGTTCAAATATTCAATTGAAAAAATGTGACAGATCCAAAGATTCCAAGCAAACAAACTCACCTTTGCATCGATAACAACTTGAACTCTTTCAACAGGTCCATATTTCGACATCAAGTGATACAGTTCATCCTCCGTGGTATAAACGCTCAGTCCAAAAACACCCAAACATCTGGAAGCCTTCGGGTTGTCCCTGGTGCCTAGATGACGTTTGCGACTTGACATGGGACTATGAGAATGGGATCTGCCTCTGTAGCCTCCCGAACGTGAACGGCTTCTGGAATATTTTGAAGATCTGTAGCGTTTGTCTGATCGAGAACGGCTACGAGACCTAAAAGTTATGAAGATTACGCTCGGCATAAGGATTTTTTTATTCAATTATTGAATGATGATAAAACTGAAATTCAACAATCCAATCCGACCGAATCACAAACTTCATCTAACTTTTTAACCCAATTATTAGAGAAAATAATAATGTTTTATAATTCAAATACAATAGCAGACAAAAATCATATTGAACTAGACTACCACCCCCTAAAAAAACCCATAAATATACAGGGTTTGTGTTTTATTATTTCAAGATACATAAAGGTTATTCAACAACTCCTTCATGTATATTAAAAAACAAATAAAACATAACAGGAAAGTCATTATTTATGGAGGAAAGGAATCAGTGTTTTTATCAACTTTTTTTTATAATTGTAATGGAGAACTTCAAACAGGTGCAGTAAGGGTAAAGATAAGTTACTGCGTAAATCCAATATTTTTTCATGAAGAAAAAGTTGATAAAAAAATAATCAACAACTTTTTATAGGAACTCCTAAATGATTGTAGGTTAACGTTTTTCAGTGGACTTCCTGTTTTAGAGTATCAAAGTTACCTGTACTTTCTATCTCTATCTTCCCGTCTACCTCTGTCACGATCACCATCTCTATAAGACTTTCTTCCACGACTTGGACTTCTAAAAACACAAAAAAATTACTTTTCACTAAATAAAATTGCAGAAATTTATTTTCGTACAAGTAAAATATATGAATTTTTTCAAAACTACCAGTAGTTGAACCATTATGTAAATATTATGAACAATGTATGAAAATGTTTTATAACATATAATAAAGCAGGAATTATAACAACTGAATGTTACTAAAAACAATGGTAACACCCTGTGTAAGCACCATTTTCATTAAATTTTACTAAACCGTTTTAATTAAGCTGAACTTTTTGAAAATAGAGTTATAAAAACGGTTATATCACCTAATTCAATTCAAGCAGTGTGATAATTTGTTTATACAATAATTTCTGGAAATAGAAAGTGAATTTTCTTTTAAAAGGAAGGCTAATTAAAAGAGGTAAAAATTAAAGTCTGCTACCTGCTTAACATAATAAGAAAAAAGTTAACTGCTGAATGAAACTAGAAGAGAAACAAGTTAATTTGATTATATTCTCTCTACCAGTAAAACATATACAAGAAATTATCTGTACACCAAAATTTAGTGTGGTACTTTAGGTTACTCAAGTCTAAGTATGATGATGAAATAATTATTTCATAAACATAAAAATTCATGAAATGATAAATTGCGAAAAAAGCTTTTGGCTTTCTACTATTTATTTTTTATAGGGAATGCTATTTTATTTACCTAATTTTATGCATTCTGCTTGGAGAACACCCCAAAGTATTGGTATAATGAATGTTTTGTGAACCCCAAAAATACACGCCACTGGCGTGTATTTTTTGGTAGAAGTAACTGCACAATAAAAATTAGCACCTAATTGTTTGAATACAAATAATCACGTTTTCCTAGTAATACTTGATGATTGACAAATGCGAGGGATTGATCAAACATTATGCTTACCTTGAATAACTTTTTCCCTTGTGATTTCTAGGAGACTCTTCCCGCCTAGCGTGAGGTGAATGGTCATTCATGTTGGTACGTTTTATCTGTCAAAAATGATAAGAGAATTATAAAAAATTCATTCGAGATTAACCAAATTAAAAAACCGAATTTTTGACAAGCATTTTTGTTTTATCGTTATTACTCTGCCGGTTGCACATGGCGCTGGAACTATCAAGTTACGCAGTAAATATCACAGTGAATATGAACAAATTGTTTCATCTCTATCGCTCGCAATACAAATAACAACAAATATATACAATTTAATGATGAAATTAGTTGTACTAACTTACCTATCTATTTCTACAGCTTCAAACTTTTACTATGAATGCTCAAAAGTTACAAGAAATTACCATAGCAGCGTCCGAACACAGAACTAAGAACTAATGAACTCACAGTACGACGACCAACGACCAGTGTTCTAATTTGAGAATTTTCAGTTGTGCCAAACTAAACAAGTGTGAAAGTAGAGACTACTTGTCATTTTCTTCTCATTTGAGACCACAGAACTATAACTTAGTTCCGTGTTTGGGACAGAACCTTTGCGCATGCGCAATTTTCTATCCTATCCATTCACTTTCATTACCTTTATAATAAATCTATTACTATTGGCTAATTTTACGTTATTATGTTAAAATACAATCTATTACGTTTTCTCACTTCGATTATTCTACTATATAATGTTTATCGTTGCCAGAGTCAAGAGTTGAACCAATGGACGATTCCAGTACCCCTATTCAGTGTTGCCACTATATAATTTTCGGGTCTAAATCGACTGACATTTTCTAGCCCTTTTTTGGAATGATTCAAAGTCGAAACAGATATAGTTTGTGATATTATAGATTTCTGGATGTTCCCGGATATATGAAACAAAGTATTAAAGTTGATATGGACAAAAATAAAAAATCCTAGGGAATTTTACTTTTTTGGTTGCTCAATTGTTCGAAACCTGTCACCTGTCACCTATATATGTTGACCTATTGTCACAAACATAGTATTTCAGTGTACAGTTTGTTTTGCCGAGTGGTTACGTTTTGATAGTGTATTCTGTTGGTGTTGTATGATATTTTTTTCCATAACATTATTATTACCAGATGATGTTCAGGTGCCCTATTCAAAGACAATTTATTGATTGAAGACCATTCAGTTGCAGAACTCCAAAGATGGTTAGACTTTTCTATCAGAACGATCCTGTTCTACTGAATACAATAAACAATAAGTGAATACGACAATAAAATTTCATATGGTATATGACATGTGACGGTAAAATGACCCAATTACCACTATTAAACAAAGTACAAACTTAAAATTCCCTAGGATTTTTTATTTTTGCCCATATCAACTTTAATACTCCGATTTATATATCCGAGAACATCCAGAAATCTATAAAATTACAAATTCTATCTGTTCCGACTTTGAATTATTCCAAAAAAGGCCTAGAAAGTGTCAGTCGATTTAGACCCGAAAATTTTACAGTGGTAACACTGATTAGGGGTATTGGAATCGTCTGTCCATTAGATCTGAGCTACTGATGGGCCGGTATTTGAAGAACGGTATTTTGGAGCGCGATTTTATAATCCGTACCGTCGCGGTATTCAATATACACGACCAGTGCGTTCCGCTAAGCACTCACAACGACCACGCTCACGACCACGATCACTCATGGAATTCTTTATTGATCTCTTTAGACTTTCTAGATGTACATTAAATTATTTACATGAGCTGATACAAGAAGATTTAGTCCGACGTGTTCCCGGGTGTCCTACAATTCCTTCCCGTCATCAATTGATGATAGCTCTTTGAAAAATGGCCACAACAGATTCTCATAGGTTATTTTTTTTTAAATTAACCATTTTAGTATCATATACCATAACTCACAAGTATATCTTGTATCAAGTTTCTCGTTCGGCATAATAGAACGATATTGTTGTTGTCGCCATGTTTGCTGCTTTTAGTTTTAAAAATTGCGCTCAGTTTCTCAAAACGCTCACATTGACCCACCTCTTGAGATAGGTCGTCGTGAGCTAGGCGTGAGCATAAGTAATGACGTTATTAATGACGTTTTCGCCGCAACCACAACGATCGCGGTCGCCATGTGGAACGCCTGAATGAGTATTTTAGGCGTTGTGAACGCTTAGTGGAACGCACCAGACGATATTTTGCAATAGACGGTATCGCGGCAATGGTGTTCTCGAAGCAATGTTGCTATCGAGCAGTGATGCCGGATAATCTTTACGAAAAGGAGAAGAAGAAAATAAGAAGTAACCCGCCAAAAGAAAAAAGATCTCTGGCTTCAGAAAAGTTGTAAACTAAAGTTTGTACAGAATATAGCGATTGCATGTTATCTATTCCAGAATCCTGAATATCAAATATTTATTAGGATTCATAAAAATTTAGATCAGGTTATCTAATTGGATTTTATATTCGTTTTTACAAAAAAAAAGGTAATTGAATTGCTTCTTTTCTTTATCTACTCTAGTGTTTCGTAGTTATTGCGTAGATTTAATATATTACTTTTTATTTTAACTTTTCCATTCTTATTCTACATTTCCCCACCAAATATCAATAACAAGGCCTATATTTGAATTTAACACTTTTTTTTTTGGCAAGTGATTATTTTATAGAAAAACTATTATCTTGGCAAATACTTGGATTACTTCGATTAACAAAGAATTTTATTGTTGAAATCAGAGAACAATGGGCTACCAACTAACCAATCTCCAATGAAAAGACTTCCAACCCTATTTATCACCATTAGTAGTGTGTTCAGTATGAAATCAATTCATGCACTAATCATATGTAGTCAATTAATGCACTAATCATATGTAGTGAGTAGTAAATCATAAACAGTTGGATCTTCAATTTTCAATGGCAACATTCATGCACATCATAGATATATTAAATATACTTACTCATAATATCCATCTTCAGATGCAAAATATGAATTCTTACAACTCGAGACTAGTGCATGAATCCACTTTTGAGTCAATAATGAATACTACTGGAGTTTTATCCCAACAAGTGTTTCGATCAACTTCAAGAGGAAGATTAAACAGTTCAATCTACCTCTTGCAGATGATCACTTGGTGATTGAAACACGTGTCGAGGTGTTAAAAATAACGGTTTAGTGACGGGATAAAAGTCCAGTAATATTCTTGACAGGAAGTCAAGTTTCCCCAAGGAAGTCAATCATTTGAAAAACAATTTTGAAGGAATTGGGTATAGCAAAGCCAATTTAATGTGGGCAATACGACTCAGAAAAGAGAATGCCAAGACACCTTCAAATTAGCTTCTTTTTGAACTTCCTGATTTCTCAATATGGTTTTCTAACTTCTCTCATTTTGAAGTTGTTTTCTATTACCTCCAGTTTGAAGAAAAAAAAGTGAAGTATTTTTGATATTCTATAGGTTTTTTCAATTTACTTTTCATTAGGTATTTTAATTTCGCCTTGTATTTGCATGTGTCAGTGAACCAATGGTTTTGCTGTCTTTTTCATCGTTATCTCCTGATTTGCCTTTTTTTTATTTTCTTCGTGTCATTTTGTAGTTGAGATATTTGGGAAATACTGCAAAAGTAATGTTTATTTTTAGATGGCCAGTAGTAGCTGTACTGGTAGCAAATCTGACGAAGAGGAAGAAGAAATGTCGTGTTTCAAGAAAGATGCCCTTTCTGTTGTAACATTCAGAGTAGTGTATGACAAAATGAATGTAGAAAAAAATAAATATCCAGAATTCAAACCTATAATGGCTCATCAAATTTTTGGTGACAGTGAAAGCATTTTTGGATATCGATCATTATCAATAAACCTATATTATCTCCACAATTCAGCACGGTGCTACGTGGATCTTCAAGCATCAGGAGAAATTAAAGGAGGTTTAAACCAACCTGATGACATCATGAAATCCTTGGATCAGTATCTACCAGAAAACTACACAACTGAAAAAAATGAATTTTTAAAAATGATAGAAAATGAAATACACGATACCATCTTTGGAACGGTTTTGAATGAATTTAAAGACACTAAAAAGAACGAAATCATCCCTAGTCAGGAAGAGTACGCTAAATACAAGATTACACTTTGCGACACAAAAGATGAAAAATTTCAACAATTCCATAGTAGGTTTGAGACTTTTATTACTTGGTTCATTGATGGAGCCAATTTCATAGATCTGACTGATGAAAGGTGGATGATTTTTTATGCATTTGAAGAAGTATTTCATCCAGAAACAGGAAAGCCCTACATCACTCCAGTTGGGTACTGCACCGTTTATAAATTTTTAGCGTATCCAAATAAAATTAGAGCCAGAATAAGTCAGTTCTTCGTACTTCCTTCCCATCAGAAGAGAGGGATTGGGACTAGTCTTTACCAAACAGTGTTCAAACATATTCAAGGAATTGCTGACGTTGTGGACATCACAGTAGAGGAACCAACTCTAACGTTTCAGAGAATACGAGATGTAGATGACTGTTCCATAATTTATAACAAATTGAAAGAAACTGGTATAAGTTTGACAAATAACAATTTGAAAAAGATCTTCAATATTATAAAAACAAATAAAATATGTAGGAAACAATGTTTGAGAATATATGACATTTTGAGGGCTTATGAGGCTAGTCAAAATGTAGATAATTACAAAAGTTTTTTGGCTTGTATAAAGGAACGCATCCGTTCTGAAAATGAAAAGGAAACTAGGGGTAGTAAAAAAAGACAAAATATTTTAGGTGCGGCTACTAATCTAGATGTCACAGAAAAGAATGCACTGATAGAAGCTAACTATAAAAAATATATTGAGGATATTGAACAGTCGATGAAAAATTTTAGAAAAAAATTGAAAATAACCATTGAATAGTTGTGGGTATTTTTCTCTCCCAGTAAGTCCAGTTGCCAAAAGTCTGTATTTGAAATAATTAGGTTTCTTCACTGTTTTCAAGAAATATTATAATATAGTAATAATCAGTAACTTTTTTAGCATTATTTTGAAGAGAGATGGTAAGACTTTCAGGAAACTTCCAATAAAACAAACTCTGTCATTTTAAATTTTTGCATTCATTTTGTAGTCAGAAAAAAACTGAAAATAGTTTTCAATTGGTGTTTGTATATTTATTTAAAATTAACTTGTTTTGTATTTTTCCTAAGTGTCTATGTTCATTTAAAGTTTTTTTTCAGTCATGTATTTTTTAAAATAAAATTGACTAGTTTTAAAGTTATCCACTTTGTGAAATTCTCATTAAACAAATGATTTGTCTATGAATTATTCATATTTATTTCTTATCTTTACTGCGGTGGCTGTATTTCTTGATATTGCAGGAGCATTGACAATGCACTACACAAATCTATAGGATCATCTCCGGCTAGGAAAGGTATAGAATCGACCATAACTGGCTGGATTTATGCCATGCTGGTAAACAGACAGCAATTACGACTCTTCAAGGCGAGGCCATTAGGTTCAGGGTCACCAGAGGCTGCCCTCAAGGTGAGGTACTATCTCCACTTCTGTGGTCGCTCCTGATGGATAGTCTGCTTGATGCCCTCGACAGAAGAAAAGTAGATCTGCAAGCTTATGCAGATGACCTTGTCATCTTGACGAGGTCCACGTCGGAAAGGGTAGCTTGTAATATCCTCCAAAACACAATGGACGTTGTTCACAGTTGGTGCCTGAGAAAGCAGATGTCTGTCAACCCCAGCAAAAGGGTGATAATCCCCTTCACCAGGAGGAGAAAATTGGACAATATAACGCCACTATCACTCAATGCTGACTTCATTACATTTGAAACGAAGGTGAAATATCTGGGCATTGTCGTTGATAAAAAACTCACCTGGAACCCTCACTTGGAAAAAGTTTTGCACAAAGCCAGACTGTCCCCATGGACATTTCGAAGGATTTATGGTAAAACTTGGGATTTAGGTCCCAAACAAATCCATTGCATTTATGTGACGATTGTCAGACCAATGATCACTTATGGTGCAATTAATTGCCTGGTGTCCGAATGCTTTACAGAAAACGGCCCTGGCGAAGCTCTTTAGCTTACACAGACAGGCTTGACTGGCCATCAGTGGTACTATCAGTACCACACCGTCAACGGCCATGGAGATCCTTCTAGATCTACCTCCTCCACGTTTTTCTGGGGAGAGAGAGGCTAGATGGACTGCATTTAGACTTGTGCACATTGCCAATTGCACAAATCAATTTAATGCAGATTACAACAGACTTTTGGTTGACACTGGAACTCACAGCATTCTGGAAATGTCCTCTGACTTTATGCCTCCAACTGTCAACTACGAACTGCCTTATAAATTACTGTTCCCAAGTAGAGAGGACTAGATCCTCCGGGAGAAGGAAATATTAAGAGCAGATAGTTATTGGTTCACAGATGGATCAAAAACACCTTCTGGTGCAGGTGTTTTCAGTCGCACGCCCAGGACATATATCAACCTGCCTAGGAACCTATGCGACTGTATCTCAAGCGGAAATTTACGCTATTGAACTACGTGCCGAGAGATTGGAAGAATCCAACCTCATACACAAGTCAATAAAAATATTCTCGGACAGTCAAGCGGCGTTGGAAGCTCTCGGCTCCTACCGAGCAACGTCTAAATTGGTAACAAATTGCCAAAAACTACTCTCCTCGATAGGAAGACTCAACAGATTGTCTCTGGTCTGGATTCCTGGCCATACTGGCCTGGAAGGCAATGAGACTCCCTTGCAAAGGAGGGTGCTACAAGCAGCTTCATAGGACCAGAACCTGTCATTGGCATCACTTTAGGCTTTGCCAAACAAATATTGAACACTTGGATGGCAAGAAGATTTATGGGCTTCTGTCAGAATCTTCCAGGAATGTCTTCACACCAAGGCGTTCAGTCACCCTTCGAAGTTTGATACCAAACAGTTGTTGGACTACAGTAGGGATGAACTACGATGTCTTACAGGTCACTGCCATTTGAATCATCATATGCAGAGATTCGGACTATCGCAAGACAGTGTGTGTCGCCTCTGTTTGGAAAATGATGAAGCAGGAGAGCACATACTTTGTGCCTGCCCCGCTGGGGACCAAATCAGGTTCTGAGGGCCGTACTCTTACCATCTAACCTGAAAGGCCACTCACCATACAAACTAATCGTTTTCGTTAAGAAGCTGGGTTTATTTGGTCGAGTGTGAATATGTGTGCCACAATAAACCCTTGCGGGTTGCGGTGGAGGGTCGAATGGACCCACTCACTTTGGACCCAACTTAACCTATCTTTACTAACAAGGTACAAGTACAAATAGATTTTGGTTCTTTATTTTGCAATAATATGTGATGTGAATATGTTTGTTGGAGCTGTTAATATAATAATAAACTTGATTTCTAACTAAAAAAATAAATTAATACAAGGTATGTTACTATAAAGTAAGTAAATAAATGTATCAATAAAAATATTGTATGTTTGTAGAAAATATTATCATCTATATAAACTACAATTGAAATATTATTTGGTAGTAGGTATTCAATAGTTCATTTTCTATAATTATTTTTCAATTGTTTTGATTTCATTTCTGCTATTTATTGATTTGATTCGATACCGCAGTTTATTGCAAAATTTTATACACATAAGGATTGCTTTTTATACAGAGAGTTTATGAACCTACCTGATACATATATCTCGTTCAATATCTGTAATGTTTCTTAAACATCAGCTCATCATCTAAGTATATGAGTATACCCAAAAAATTTTATATGACTTGTTATTGACTATCTAGAAAAGGTCATTAGAGTTGAAATAGCTTTCTTTGAAGTTATATATTTATGTTTCTATATAAACCGTAGTTTCTTGGAAATTAATAAATGTTTATTATAAAAAAAGTACAATATGTTGCTTTTTTCGATATTAAACAAAGCAAATTTGAATCACATCACTGTTGAAGGGTCATTCAAAAACATGGTAAATTAATGTCTATTTGACCGAGATCATTCAGATAAACGATTAAAAAGATTGGTCCAAGAACAACCCTGGGGGGCCCCACACTCATCATTTGAAAGAATTGTGAGAGGTCTTTGTTTAAAGACAATTCAAGTCATCTTTGAATAAAACAATATTGATTTTGCTGCTATTAAATATTCTTAAATTACTTACTATCGCTGTGTAGCGTTTCTTGTAAACAATTTTAGTTTCCATTATTAATAAATGTTGTTCAAATTGAAAATGTTCGTCTAAGGAAACAGCTTTTCAAATTATCATATTTTGTTTTCGTAAGAAATTGTTTATAATCAGCGCAGTCGCTTTTTGTGTCCTTGCAAAAATTTTCTGGTAAATTATATTTTTAGATTATGGAAAACCGTCTCACCCAGAAAACTGACTAAAAAAACTCATAATCAATGATACACAACGAGAGTATTTTTATAAATTTTATTTTCGTTAACATTTAAGTCACATATTCAGTTAGTGCGAGAGTGTCCCTTGTGCATCTGTAGTCATAAAAGAAACATGTTCATGACGTACCAATATACCAAGTGACCTGAGTGACAAAGACCTGTAACTGTTTTTCAGTCTACTCCAGGCAAATAAATAATGAATTTCAAAGTTCAATCATACAATATATAATTTGCCGCAATACAATTTTTTTAGTGTTTAGAATACTGTAAAATTATCACAAGTAAAAAAAAGTTCAATAAACAAATGTTTATTTTTCAACCCAGTGAACTGTTGAAAATATGTATCAAGACAGTGGTGCTCCTTATCCAGATTTGCAGGTCTGATATAAAACAAGAGTTACTTCACCACACAATTCGCAGGTCAATTTTGTAAGCCCATTTCCAGAATCTTAATGACCACATACACACATTCAGGTGCAAAATGACTAGCGTAGTTTTCAGTAATGATATAAATAACAAGCTTGTCGTTATAAAGGCAAATGATAACTTTCATAATTTTGAAATTTTGCACCTGATTACATCAAGCAACAAAAAGAAGCTCTCGCCATTTTGTTACTACCATACCCTTTTAAAAGATCTGCCAGTGTTTCTTCATCAATTAAAAAATTAAATTATAATCATGGCATTTTCGGAATCGGTAATTAACATTACGAAATTATTTTTTTTCTAATTAGGGAGGTAAAATCAATTTGAAAAGAACAAGTTGGACTCTTGTAAATTGCTTTAGTCTTCAGTAAATGGAATGAAAATATCATATACAAGAAGCCAAAAACACATGGTTGAGATCATATCTCCATTAATTCGCTAATTATACTCCAAAATTTTTGAACAGAACTAATTGTTGAAGCAAAGTTTAGTAAATAAATGTTATTACTGTTCATATTCTAGATTTTTGAATTGATTTGTATCTTTACTGAATTTTTGTGTTTTTCTTGAGTAGGTTTGGACATTAGTAATAAGCCTGATCGATAGTTCTAGAAAAAATATATGAATTCCAAAAACTGGGAAAAATTGTTCAAACATGAGGTCAAGAACCTGCCTCATCAACCCAGTCAGATAGTATCCTGTTTCAGACAGAATGGATACTGTAAAACTTCGCAGCCAACATCCTTTACCTGTTCTTTTGAATTCACCACTTTCTTCATTCAAATCCAACTGTGAACTCAGCCGACAGGCCTTCCAGATCTGAAATTATCTCCTTGTCGAAAAACAATATGTATACTCCAACTCAAATCCCCTAGAATGACTTTTGTTGTGGAGTGATCATACATTTAAACTAGTCTGTCTAGTCTAGAGTTCATTTAATAGTACTCGGAGTCCAAGTTGGGAACAGCAATGGACCACTCTCATGTAGAGCTCATTGCATTTGCTCTCCAGTCGGCGTCTTCCCGCTTAACGATTGTTTTACAAGGTGGGTACAATGACTAGGTTACCTTCATCTTTGGTAAAATAAAAGTGGTGGTAAAGTTTTTTTGTTCATACATCACATTCAGCAGGAACTCCAATGCCAATTGTTTGAGTGTAATTGAAATATGTACTTTAAGTACTACTAAATGTAGATTTGTGGTGAATGTAGATTTGTTGTGTAATACTGTTTCTATTTTATAGTTATCATTGTTCATATTCCAGGAAGTTTTTGATATATTTTTTAATAATTCAATATGATTATTTTGATATATCAAAACTTTTTTATATTGCATTCCCAATTTCCAACTGATTTGTATCTTTACTAAATTTTTTATTTGTTTTCTTTCAGTAAGTTTAGTCATAAGTGATAAATCCGATCATCTGTTCTGGAAAAAATGTATGAATCTCAAAAAATAATATATTTAGAATTGAATAAAAATAAGTGATTTCACCTGTTTAGTGTTTAATATATTAGGAATTATTGAAACAACTCTAGCGTTTAATACAAGTAGTAGTAAACTCAATCATTTGAAATGTTTAAATACTAAAGAGAAGACAGCTTATAATTCCTGCAATGTTAATATTTCACAAACCTGTATGCCACCAACTAAAAAAATATTGCTTTATAAAACACCATTGTGTCAACATAGATGATCAAGCACAATAATATTGGCCTATATTAAGCATACAGTATTTTGGTAATCTTTCTTTTGCACTACACAAGCAGTGAAATTCTTGTGAAGGAAAAGATACTTTCTCTGAAAATGAAAATTGCACATCACTTGGTGATTTGTGTTCAGTTATTGATTTTAATTCAAAAAATTTTCAATAATGGGATTATCACAGTCACTCTGAAAATATTATTTTTCAAAAGGTATATGAAAAAACAATTTTTTTTATGATAATATAAACTCCCAATATACGGACTGCTGTTAAGTCTTGTGAAGCCTGATAAAAATTGCAAACAACAAACATCAATGCTGCCAACTTTCAGGATTATATATAATACATTTCTGAAAGCTGTTAACAAAATCTATATTTTATTAGAATGATTAATCTAAGTTTAGGTTAAACATAAAAAAGGTCTTTTCCTGCACAATACTCAAGTTGATAGTGTACACATTTTTTTCTTAACACCTTCAGTAAGCGGTTCTGATTCATATAACGCAAAAAAATTAGAAGATAAAAATTATATAGACTTATAGAACTATTAATACGAAATTATATAATTTACATAACTTGTAGAGGCAAAAAGTTATTTAAATAATCTAGAAAATAATGAAACATAGATGCCGACTTTCAAATATTGGTTATATCATACCCACAGTTCATTATCAAAAAATGCAAAATGCATAAATATATTGTTGATTTTTAAAGTTTCATTATTTTCAAAACGAATTAGAAAAATTAAACTCAAAAATGAATAATTTTACACCTTAGGTCTAGAAGTGAAAAGGTAATTAAAATTGCATAGCTGGAATATTTTTAAAATTATATGGAGAATACATTTTTTGGAAAGATTCACTAATTCATGAATAATATCAAAGCGAGTATTGAATTCACTCGACATGAAATAAAAATATATCTTACCTCATATAAACCAAGAACAAATGCAAGATGGCAAAAGAAATATAAATTACGTTTTGAAATCAATTGAGATCGGTAATATGCATTTCACAATTTTTAAATTGTTTGAAAAACAGAAAAGCAGATTATGAAACATTCTATAGCTCAAAACTTTTTATTTGATGAACATCACCTAAAAAATTGATTATGTTCTACTATCAGTTTCCAAGAATGGACATATTCTTTCAGAATTAGCGTTAAATTATATTATCCAATATTTGACTATTAGAATCAAGTATTATTTCAAATGTGAGGCTAGTCTATGTTATTATTGTCACAGTAGAAAACCCTACCTAGATACCATCTCTAAATTATGGATGTCTCATTCTCTAAACTGAAATCCAAATAGAATGAGTTACAACAAAGCAAAATTAACAAAAAGGGAGATAACAGTTCAAGAGCTACAGAGTTCCATTCTTCAATAAATCAAGCCAGTACCTTTACGAAGTCGGTATCTATGCTGATCAAGCACAGAAACAGATAACATTGTATAATTTGATCAACACGCACAGCCTCCATCTGGATCTTTGAGCTCATTCGGTGTGTCTTTCAAGACGACTTCTTGCATATCTTCTGGTGGTTTATTTTCTGTAGAATCCATACCAGGCAAAGCGGCCGCAACTCTTCTGAATAGCTGCTTCACATTATATCCAGCTTTCGCGCTAGTTTCAATAAACATTACATTCAGTTCTTTAGCTTTCCTCTCACCTTCTTCCGTACTAACTTGTCGTTTATCGGACAAGTCAGTTTTGTTTCCAACCAGCATTATTATCACATCGCTGCCTCTCTCAGTTCTCACGTCATCAATCCACTTGGATGTCTGGTGAAAGGAATTGGCATTAGTGATATCATAGACTACCACAGCAACAGTGGAGTCCCGAATGTAAGAAGGTATGAGGGACCTGAAACGTTCCTGTCCTGCAGTATCCCAGAGCTGCAATCTAACCGTTCTGTCTTCAAGATACATTGTCTTCGATAAAAAATCAATACCTATAGTTGCTTGGTAAGTATTATCGAAGCTGTCATACATGAATCTGGTTATTAGAGACGTTTTGCCTACGCTTTGTTCTCCTAGAAATACTAATTTAAACTTCCTAAGAGGATTGCCGAAATCTCCAGATGTTGACATTTTTTATAGATTAACTTTTGTAGTTCCTTCAAAAGACGATTTTTCTAAATATAATTAGTTTTCGATGAAAATATTGCATGCACGTCAGTCTGAGCAAAAATCTCCTGAACTCCCTAATCACAATGTGAATTTAGCTTTCTTGTTTGATCTGCTTAATCTGTAATGAGAACAAAATCATAGTAAGTAAAATTTATTTTCCTATTACTATTAACAATAGAAACTATTCCCAACTAAATTATTTTTGAACAATCTCAACCAGGACATTTTAATGTAATTTTTCAAGTTCATTCAATTGTGTTTTAAGGAGAGATTTTTCAATTCTGTTTTTCACATTCTTTCTTTTCAAAATAGAAAACCACTTGACACATCAACTATTTCTCAAGATTGTTTCTGCAGATCAGCAATTCAGGCTAAAAAACATGAAATTCCTAGTTTTCTTCAATATCAATAATATTCTGGAAGATTTTGTAAAACTAAAGAAAAAAACGTAAACTTTCGACATAAATAATGTCGACTTAAGGGTGGATACATATGAGAGGCGAGAGGTTAAGTTTTTAGTAGTAACAAATTCTTATGAATTAAAACTGTTGAAGTTTCGAATATAAATTATTTTTTTGCAGTTACTAAAAAAACACAATTTGAGGATAAGATATTCCGTTAACTTGAACATATTAAAAATTTTCAAAGCAATTATGAAATTACTATAACACAATCATTATGTTTCAAAAAAAAGTGTATTTCAATAATATTTACTAAATTCATACCTAGTCATAGAAAAAATGTATGAACTATATTTTCAGGGATGAATTGAGTATGTTATTTGAAGGTAGAAAATGAAACCTTTCACGGGAGGTGTTCAAGTGACTTGCCACATTCAATTCTACCAAGAACGGTACATGTCAGAAATACGCGACGGGCTGTGGCTGCTCATCATCACAGGCACCGCTCTTAGAGCGCCTTAAGGATTTTCCTGCAGTGCTTATGTTTTGTCCTTAAAAAAATCCAAATTTATATCTTCACATAATTTGAGAAAAATAAATATTAAAAAAGTAAAATATTCACCAATTACATAAATATCATACATATGAAGACAATTGAAATTGTCTTGAGTTAAACAGAAAAACAATATTGTGTTTAAAATTTTGTTATCAATGGCTGCGACTATTTCATACATTTCACATTGATTTTAACAAGATTTGTACATATATTCTATATTATTGGTTTGAACCCATTATATCTGTCCGAAACTTTTCCAATAAAATATAAACTGTTACATATCAAAAAACAATTATGGTTCATATTGAACATAATTATTTATTAAAATGTTGATGACAATATGTGAGTAATTATCAGTAATCTTGCAAAATTTTCTATATCTGTATAACAAGTGTTTCAGAACAATAATTCTGTCACATATTATTCTAGAGATAATTGATTATTCAAAATGAACCAGGGTGAAAATAAGGTGGGGTATCTACTTCTATAACTTCTTTATGCTTCGACCGAGTAGAATATCAATTTGAAATGATTCTGCTGTATAAAAACTCAATATTTATAAGGAATATTGTAGATGAAATGATTTATACTCACATTCAGACAATGGCCTTAATATCCTGGGAGTATCTGTTCATCACATTTTTTAATGGCATTTAATGAGTCAATGAATACTTCAATGCAAAAACGTTCAATACGGCTCAAAAAGGTCCAGATATATGCTCATATACGATTAATTTTAGTTTAATATTTCATTTTTTCAATCCAATATTTTTTACGTTCACGTCAAATTTGACACGCAATCACCAACCCATGAACGTAAATCAAATCATCCCCAAAATCCACTGTTGTTAATATCGAAAAACTTAAATATCAACGACGAGTCACTTCAACAGTTGGACCAATGGTGAAAAATTATAAAGCACCAACTCTAGTTAATGAGTTCAAAAGTTACTTTTTGACAATCAATCAATCAATCAAATATACTTTGTATCTCAGAGTCATACTTTTGAAAATATATTCTCACGATATAAAATATGATCGCGATCAGAACTGAAATTAACATTTTCAGTACTTTTTCATTTAGGTATATCAGCAATATTTTCATTATCACAAAAAAAAACATACAACTACGTGTGACCTATCTCGAATCACTCGCAGTTATGCACGAACAATTCTCTTAAAATTGGTATACTTGAGTTCATGCTACAATCATCCGCAGGCATTTTTAGATCTCAATTGAAGAGATCCAAATATCTTTCAACCCATTCTTCGAGTATTTCTTCGAAATCGTTCTCTGTAACGTCAGCTGCTGATATGTTGTGGACAACGAGTGATACATGCTTTTTTATGAGTGACTCTAGAGTATTCGCCATAATTGTTTCTTATATTTTCTGAAGATATGTTCCAAAAATAACATCAGGTTGTTCAATCGAAATAAGTTCCATTTGAATCAATGCACTTTTTGCCAACGTAACACAATCAATTCCCTCAGCTTGAAAATTGTGTGATCGGGATTCGATGTAATCGACGAAGGCCATTTTTGCCTGGTCCTGATTCGCGAAGGTTTACCGGTGAGAAATTAACGAAATGCTGAGAATATGATGGTCGGTTGGCGAGAAGCCTCGTGGGTATGGTGGGTGAGGCAGAACGTCAACGCGCAATTCATTTAATTTTAGGATGGTGATTTGTGAAACGTACGAACGGACGTTGTCATGAGCAGGATCGAACCTCTTCTTCTGATCAGTACCGTACCGGCTACTGCTGACGCAATTTCCGGTACATTCCGTTGATTTCCCCACAATAGTTCTCTGCTGTGATGGTTTGGTCCAGTTGCAGAAAGTTATAGTGAATCACACCACCCGCTGACCACCATACAGTAACCATGGTCTTTTTTGGTGAGTTTTCGCCTTTGGAAAATGCATGTGTGGCTTATCGGTATCCAACCACTGTCCTGAACGTCTCCTATTGTCGTAGAGGATACTCTTTTCATCACACATGACAAACCGATCCAAAAAAAAAATAGTTTTTTGCTCAAAAGCAAAGAAGAATAGACCTCGAAACATAACAATTTCTGTCGATCGTGCAGATCGTTGGGCAACCACTTTTCGAGCTTAGTAACCTTTCCAATACGTTTCGAACCATATAAAAAAGCACTTGGGATCTGACGTCCAGATCTTCCGCCTTCCCACGCATCGCTTCTGATGGGTATATCTCCACCAGGATCCTCAAATCCTCATTCTGGATTGCTGAGGGTCGACCACTTCGAAACTCTTCGACGCTAAAATCTCCAAAACGGAATTTCGCAAATCATTGATACTATAATCGCCAAATGCCTGGTTGATTTTTTGGGTTGTTTCGCCAGCGCTTTAGTTCAATTTGAATTCGTAGAGGAAAATTGCCGAAAATTGCTCAACGATATCATATAGTAATGAATTGAAAAAGCAAAAAACTAAAATTTGGGAAAAAATTAACACCATCAATATATGATAGAGTACAAAATTCTCTGTCGATCAGTATACACCATGACACAGTAGAATAAAAAAATATAAAAACACATAACTTTAAAACGGATCAAACTTCTGAAACAACTTAATGCATCCTAACCGCTACTAACCAGAATTTTTTGACTGCAGACACCTGGAGAATAAATTTTAGTTGGTTACTTTTGAAACACGACGGTTGTGTTGTTGATAAGTCAATAACTGAACCATTTTCGAAGTGGAAACCATACACTGTGATCATACATTTTTCATTTATTTAACTTATAATATCCAAATTGAATATTGAAGTTGTCCGTTCCTTTAAATTGAATATTGAAGTTGTCCGTTCCTTTTCAAGAATGGCTTTTGAATTCTCTGATGAATCGTTCAATAAAATTTAAAATCTTCCTAACCTACCTAATATTAAAGAGTTTCATGTGTTGACCATAAAATATATTTACTATTCTATACATCAGTCTGTTATCATCCGAATTCAATGAAAAAATTCATGAATGGGTAATTGTAGAAAGAAATGAAGACCCGAGTCGTTCTTTGAGATAATGACTTGAGTACAGTTTTGTGTTCCTAATTATAAGTGTGTGTTTTCTATCTATTAAATTGTTCAAATGTATTGAAGAACGTACCTGCGTCCATTGGTCGACGACAGTTAAAACTTCAGAAACAAGTGGTCTTTTAATTATGTTAGTTTCAACGTTCACCAAGTTTTTACTTGGTTACTGCTTGGTTCACTAGGTTTTTTACAAATATTTCTTGATGATTGCCCCTAAGTAAGTAGTTTGTTGTTTTCATCACCCGAATGAGACACTCGTTGATAGCTGGAACTATTCAGTGTTAAAGAGTACCCTAACCAATAAAAAAAATTATTAGTTTTAGAAAATGGCAATGAAATGTTATGAAAATTGTATGGGTGCACTCATATAGGTGTGCAAAATGAAAAATAACTTTTTATTCCTCAATTGCAAAAACTATCAGTTCAGAAAGTTCATTATATTTTTCTCAAAACAACATAAAAGTCTTGTGGTATGAATTTCATTAACATACGAATCAACTTCAATACCTGACAGAAATGAAGAGAACTATAAGAAATATTTATGTGAATGGTGAAATAACTAGTTTTTTGAAGTGAGAAGAGTTCAACTGAAAAAAATAAATAAAAAATCTTTGCAAAAAACATCCTATGTGAAAATATGGCTTATGAATTCCGTCACTCTTACCAATAACACATTAACGTCAACTGTCTGTGTCAATTTGTCATGTTTACTGAAATATGTCATTTGGTTTAGACATTTTAATATTTTCTTTTAATCTGAATTGATGATTATTTCTTTTAATGAGAATCAAAAAAGTTTAGTGGTTTTTGTTGGTTTCTATTTCGTCTAAGTGATGATAATTCATATGATTTTCTTCAGGAAGAACTTTCAGAACAGTCTTATCTAGGTAGGTATGTTTTAAAAAGAATTGATGTGGTACTATATTCACTTTATCATTAAGTTTGTTTTCTATAAACTTATCGGAGGGCAGAAAGGTATAAGCTATGTATATTTGGAAATATTTCGACTACAATCTCGTAGGATGTAGATTTGATTGATTCTTGAACTATGGTTTCCATATTTAGATGTATGACCTCCTACTTAAACTTACTCCTGAAATTTTATTGCATAAATTACAATATTTTATATTATGAAAATATCTTTAAAGATTTCTATGTCTGCTGATCCAATCATTTTGGTTGGTCCAAAATTGAGGAGAGGAACTTTCAGGTAAATTTAGATTTTTCCCCCACAGTGATATTTTTGATCTAATTTTAAATGGTTTTTTGGTATTGGTGTTACCACATAGAGCTAGGTAAATATTTGGAAGCACCCCTACCTAGGTGTCATTTAGACTTCAGAATTTGGTGTTCAGTACAATATCTGTTTGGTTATTGATGTAAGTATCTTCCATTTGTTTCATTTTTCTAATACAAATATTTCTATACTAAAACATGAACTACTTTAACATTTTTGAAACAATATTATAAAATTATAAAAATATTATAGAAAGCATTAATCAGAACTTATCAAAACTGAAAAAAATTAATATTTGAATTGAAATCAAAATCAGTCTGATGCCTGTTGAGTTACAGACATTAAGAAAATAAATCTTTCGAAATAAAATTTGAAACATTCATCTATCCCAACGTTCCTAAACAGTAGGATCTTGTAAATGCCAGCCGGAAAACAACTAGTTTTCTGGTTAATACCACGATGAAGATTCAAATATAATTGAAGACTTGAGGATGCTGTTTCGTTCATATTCTAATTATTTCAAACAGAAAATTAATAACGAAACAGATGTTTCAAAGGATGTGAAATTGTTGGGTCGTGACGTGAAAATGTTTGGTCCAAATTGTAAGACATACAACAAATTATCAACTTAAGGAAAGGACCGTTTCAGGTTAAGATGTTATGAAAGCAGAAATGTTGCAATTGATTATGGAATACCTAACCGACTGTTTGGTTTCATCTTTATGGAAAAAAATAAACTGTTATCAAAAAGTATCAATATGTGAGGCAATAAGAACTTTAACGATCAACATCTACGGAGCTCTGAACAAAATTAAATCTTCTATTGGGTTATTTATCAAACTTAGAAAGACTTTTGATAGGGTCGACTGTAAAAGCATATTATCAAGATATCTAGAACATCGTAAACCGAAAGTAATATTGAAAAATTGCATAAGCAGAGAGAGAAAAAAAAACAATGTATGGTGTTCCTCATAGGGGCCTATTTTGTTCACGATTTACTTAAATAGGTTTTTTGTCTAGAAAGTCAAGGTAAGGTTATAAGTTATACCAACATGATAAGTAATTGGTTTGTATTAAAAATACATACTGGAGACAGATCTCTCACAACTGAAGTTCGGTTCATAAGTATGTAAGATTTATCTTTTTTTCAGTAGCCGAGAATACTTACTTCCTAATTTTGAATTGAAAATATGTAGCATACTCTACATATACTCAATAAAAGGAAAATTATCACAGGTTTGTCAAATGTGATTTAAATTAGGGTATTCTGACATGGTTCAGTGTTTTGAAAACCACTAGAGAATTCTCTAAAGGATATTTTTGAAGATCTTTCATAAGGGGAGTCAAGTTATGCTCTGTATACTGAAACTGGAATTTTTGTCATAGACAGTTATGTTCGTGTGTTCACTAAAATATTTGAAGAAATCTTGCTACTCATTCATTTGTGATTTGATATGTTTTCTTTGTATTCACCTTCTATCTCTTCTTCTTCTATTTGATATTTCACTTTTTGCAACTGGAAGTAAAGCTCCAACTTATCAGTCGATTTATTGTGGTTTTTTTATCTCAATAGACATAAATAATAGTCAAATCTTAATAAACACTGCATAAACTTGTTTCAGTTTATCAGGTGTAAACTACAGTTACAAGTAATTCAGTTTTTACTAATATAATTTATTCATCAGATATTATTCAATTCATATTATAATTAATGTACACAATTTAAACACACTTGTGGTTTACAGTTTTTTCACTGTTATTTGTTGGTTAACCATTTGGTAAATATTGTTTATGGAAAGTATGATTCGTTTGGAAAATGTGTTATCTGAGTGAAAGGAAATCCATTTTATACTCAACAATAAATCTACTTTGGAAATTATCAAAGATAAAAATCACAAGGTAATGAGAGTTATGAATATGTCTTCGGGAAGTTATATTTAATAGAGTTCCTTAACATATGAGATGAATAACTTTGAATGAAAGCCAAATAATAATTTAGTTCAGACTATCAGACTGTCAAATGAAGATGTCTTGTTCGCAGGGATCTTAGAAATATAGTCTGTTGAAAAAATATTTGTAAACGATAATCATTTGCTGCAGTGATGTAAATGTGGGTAATATACACATCATACTAAATGAGCAGATTACAATCTACATTCATCAAAACAATTAATCCTTATTTGAGTACATCCTTTAAATACCAGGTGAGTGAGAAGTATATTCTATTTGTAATATTCTCTTCAGTGAGTTGAAGAAAATTAAAAAATCTTTTTCCTTCAACCAGCTGTCGCCCACCTACAAACGACAACTCTCAAAAGTCGAAACTTGTGCGAGCTAAAGACTAACGAGGTCTTGTCTTTTAACGTGTGATTCCTAACACGGGTTGGACGATAGGAAGTGAAAATGGATCGTCCGGCCTTGCGGTTCAAACCAGCGGTTTGCACATGGGTCGATTGACTGAGTGGAGCTGTCCAACCACGTCAACCCACTAGGCAACTGTCCTTTCGCTCAGTACTTGAAAATATACTAGTGAAGATACACTCAATGTCTCTTTGTTCAAACTGTTTTAAGAGATTCAGTTATTTTTGTTTCTATGTGGGTTACATTATGTACTTGTAACAAAATAGAATAGCTCCACTTTAAGGAGCTATTCTAATTTTGATTCGACTGAAACATAATAGTGTGGTTCATTAACAAAGGGGATTTTTTATTCTTTGCACAATTGAAATTTGAAAAGTTGGTGCACGATTGATGAACATTTAAAAAAGCCTCGAGTCAAAAAGAAGACAAGACAGGTCGAAAAATATTAAATTCATTTAACATTAGAAAAAAACAACAATGTGTTGTTCAAACTTTTTAATTACTCTCATGTATATTTTTTGAGTAAGTTTGATACGTGAGAAAACTGAATTAAAACCCCAAATTTTAATTTCAAATTCTTATGAAGAATCTTCAAATACGTTATTGAAAAACAAATCAAAACTGAGGAAAAAATGTTATATGTGTGTGTTCAATGAATAGTTAACAGCTGAATGTTAAACATTTGTTTTAAGTTTAGTGTTTTGAGGTTGGCAATGTTTCGAGTTGTTCAATAGTGAATTTGTAGGTGTGAGAGGTCAATTTTTCAATACAATTATTATAGACCTGAGAAAGAAATGAATATGTAAAATGAAATACTTTTGCAAACATAAACCACAAGAAATTACAATGATTAGTAAAACAAAGCTGACATTTGTTTTTTATTTTACCGTTTGATTCAGTTTTAATATTTCTAATAGACGTCATATTTGGGTGATGCACTTACATATAGCCATGGGCTATGTCCTTGTTAAGATACTATAAGTGGAATTTCAACGCCATCATTTATTGATTTGAGCAAAACTTTTGCAGGCATGAAAATTTTACCAAACATAATCGGTATTTTTCATTTCTTTTATATATAAATTGAAATTATAGTTGCTAAAACTGATAAGAGAAATTGAAGGATTTTACGAAAGCTCATAATATCTGGAAAAAAACATAAGAGAAACATAAATTACAATCTGGGCGAAAGTGGTCGACAATAAAAAGGACGTTGCTTTTTGAGAAGTATCTGATTCTAAATCATAATCACTCAATCGCAGCAAAGTTTCCACAATTGCTTTGTAAATCTCTTTGAATCCCAATAAATCATCGTGATTTTCCATCCATCCACCTTGTTTCGGGAACATTTAATTCAACATACTTTTCAAAGCCATAAATCTTGTGTCGGAATTATTCAGGAAAATGCACTCTGCAAGCAAAGCAAGTTTATAATTTTTTTATCGAAGTTTTGGGGGGTGCGTTAACCCCCCTTCTCTGAGTACGGATTTGAAATAAACCCATAAAAATATTTCTAATGTGGTAAGATCAGGTGATGTAACAGGTTAATTCCACTGTTCCTTTTCTTCCAATTCACCGATCTGAAAAGTTTCTGTATACAAACTGGGGCACAGTTGCAGGACTTTGTAAGGATGGTATTTTATCTTTTTCAAAATATACAGACTTCCCAATATAGAAATCTTGCTGTAGTTCCCATAATGTGTTATGTAGATTTTCAACTTCCTTTGAAATTGTTGAATATTTTCAGGAACTGTGAATGTAATTTGGTTTGGTGCATCCCTGTCTTCTCATAATTCTCCTAATTTTCACCCACTGTATGTTTCTGATATTGTCAAATAATATGAGTATACGAAAAGCAGACAGAAATTCAGTAAATTGTGTAATTTACTTTTCAACTTCAATTATTACATTTTGTAGCGTATCCTATGAACAATATCAGTTTCTATTTTCATAATCAAATCAAAATATACTTTATTGTCCGAAGATTTGCATCTTATTGACAAAGTCCAAGGAATACAATGTTAATAGGTATAGAAAAAGTACTAAAAAAAGTATAAATGTAGATATAAGAAAGTTCCAAAAATGTATTATCAATGAATACACCGAGAAACCATTTAATTTATTTTTTAATATGGCAACGTCTATTGAAATTTCATCAAGCGAACATTTGAATATTATATTCGTTTTTGACGCATTGAGAGAGAGTAAATTTGCATCGCACCAGCTCTTCACCTTCTTCAAGTCGGATGATATCATTTTATTTAGCTCCATTGAATTTTTTTCATCATCATCATCATCAATTTTTTTCATCATCCACAAATAGAGTGAAATTACCAGATATATTAATCATAGATATGTCATTCATATATAACAGAAACAGAATAGGGCCTGACACAGAACCCTGTGGTACACCAGATTCAATGGCCCTGTTCTCCGAGAGTTCCGTTGTCCTCACCATTTAACTCCGACCTGAAAGGTACGATTCGAACCAAGTGTTCGTTACACCTTTACATCTATATTTATGAAGTTTTTTTTTAATAAAATTTTATGATTGACGCAATGAATGTTTGGATGTCATACTGAGAGAGTATTGTATTTGTAAGGGGAGTAGGTTTTTCAGATGGGTTTTTTTTCTACTCTTTTGTATTAGAGAAAGTACTCTGCACATTTTTTCTTTTCTTGTCCACTGTTGTTTGAAAGTTTTCAATTTTTTGTCACTGGAAAAATAGACACAAAAAGGTTTTTTATTCCTAACTGAAAACATCAAGAATTTAATGTACTCTTACAGTATAGTGTATCCAAAGGTATGTAAATACTTATGAATCAACTTTCACCCAATATAGTGTTACGCCCTTGGTAAAATTGTTTTTATAACAATCCAGATGCACACAAATGCTCAAGAACATTTCTCAGTAGGAGACGTAAAAAATACGTTCTTCAATATTATCAATAATTCTGTTCATTGCTCTATTTCGCTATCAATAATTGGCTTATCTGCTTCGTATTTTATCAACCAGAAGCACAACGACCTCTCAACAGTGAATCTTGTATATTCACTTGTTTCTCATTTCGTGAAACTAAGACAATTTTTTTGGATTTTTTCAAATCTCCTTCATTAATTCCTAATATATTACTATTGCAAATCATTTCTTTGGTTTTGATGACATTTTGTTGCGTTCATGTTTTTATATTTGTCTCCTATTGTTTGTAAGTTCAAATTGACTGATTTATAATTAGTGATTATTGTATTATTTACGCTTGTTTTTTTTTGACCTCTTACCTACCCTATTTATTGGTTTTTTCAATTAAATAAATGAACTTTTAAACAAATCCACCACCTACACCCAGTTTCATCCCCTGATTGAATTCACAAGAATTATAATTTTCAATTTAGGTGTTTATCAAAAAATTGAATCACTTCTGTATCTACAGGGTAATGCACAAAGTTCTTAAAATATTTTTTTATTTGGGTAGTTTCAACCAATTCCGACATTATATTTTAAACATAAAATCTTACAAATATTAAGGGAAATGCTTGAAATGGCAAGTGAATTTTTTTATACGTGAATTTATGAAAAAACACATTCTCAGTAAAAATGTATGCCTCACCCAGAACAAATATTTTTATTTTGAATTACTTATATAACACGGTGACACATAATTGAATTTGAACTTTTTACGTATTAACTAACATATATTCGAACATATATATGAACAAAGTCGGGTAAATAGATTCATATGTAGGAGAAAACTTAATTTTCAACAGTACGACTGCCTATACTTCAGCAGCTGGAGAGAATGGTTTGAAACACAGTTTTCAATTGATGGATTTGGTCTCCCAAAAGTCCTGATCTAACAAATTCAGTCCCAATAATGACAACAAAAAAAGACTTGGTACCAATACATGAAATTCAGAATACAATAAGTGGAATATTATTCCCAACCTCCAACGTAACAACCTGCATAGAGAAAATACTTAGTACCTTTTGTTTTGTTTATATGTGTCTGCAATAGTTGACACATTATAAGAATATTGATTTTCCCTCTTCATTATTACATAATAATAAACTAGTGTTTTTATTGTACCTAAACATGGTATAAGTACTGAACAAAAGACATTTTTGTGGAGGAAAATCAGTTTTTGTCTACTTTCTTTGGGGTGAACTGAAAAGTTTGCTCGTTCTACACGTGTATAAAATTCTCCATAACAATTTTCATATTGTGGAAAGTGAAAATGTCCAAAGAAGGTGAATAAAAATGGTATAAGTATTTATTAAAAGCAACATATATCATATGTTTGTTTTTGGTTAGATAAAGTAGTTGTGGTATTACTCAATTTGGGGGTTGTCAATCGTAGGGGGATGACAGCTGCAAAAACCGTTATTAAATCTCCCATCAGAGTGACTATTCTATAGAGCGAGTAAAAGAATGAAAACCAAATTCTTAGAATCAAAGAATTGATGAGTTCATAATTTAAATAACTAATACAAATAAAGATATCAGTTGTTTACAAAGATAACAATCTTGCTAAAACGGTTTCACATAGTTTATCTCAGTTGTAGAGTGTATTATTGACTAAACAATGTGAATTTATTTAAAGGTGGTTGACAATATTTCATGGTGCACTTCATTAGTTCGGACTTCCATTGTCTAATATGATATAAAATGACAGTTATCACCCGAAGATGATTGTGGATACTAGAGTTTTGAATAGTTCTTTACAAGATACCCTGGGAGCCGCCTTACAAAGATAGCGAATTGCACGTTTTTGAAGAACAAAGATTGAGTTAAAATGTGAATTTAGAAATACGTTAGGAGTTGAGTCACTAAAATATACAACGGTAATCCCAAGCGGATTGATACTTGTTAGATAATTCAACAGTTTCCTAATGACTATTCCACGCAAAATTCGTTTGGTGTTACACGAAGCAGTGTCTCAGGGCCAACTTTTATCCACTGGTATATAAATGACATGCATATTTTCCATTTTCTGATTTTATAAACCTGTTTGCAGATAATACAATATTGTCTGTTTCATGTAGTGATATGAATAAGGTTATCAACAAAATGAACAACTTACATATTTTCAACCAATGAATCGTATTTCATTAAACTAAAACCTAATATAGGTGAAACTAAAGAAATGCCGTAATCTCGACCACATAAGATATGTCAAAATAGACCTTAATTTCCTCAAGAAATAGATACAGTCAAACTCTACATTTTCTACTAGCCAATAAATAGTGTGTGAACTGTGCAGGTATGGTGTTATTCCAAAAACCAGAGAAAGAAGCGATCCCAAGCCCATAATCTGAAATTAAATACCAATAAAACGCATGCCATAACGTTTACACGAAATGGTACTAGTAGTGTTTGTAATCTCAGTAATGGATTAACAACATTGGAATCTTCTCCTCAATTGTCTTTTCTGGGCTTAACAATTGACTCAAAATTGAACTGGAAGAGTCATATAAATAATATTGCAACAACTTTATCAAGATACTGTTTTGCTTTGAAAGTCATATCACAAAATATTTCTCAAAATGCAGCACTACTGGCATACTATGGATACGTTGAAAGTCGCATTAGATATGGTATCATCCTTTGGGGAATGTCTGTGGACACTCAGCGAATATTCATTCTACAAAAACAATGTTTGAGAAAAATTTTCAATCTACCTAGAACAGAGAGTTGCAGGGAAATATTTACTGAAAAGAGAATTCTTACTCTTACAAGTATGTATGTGTATGAATGTGTTATTTTTGTTAAAGAAAACATGTCATTATTTGAAATTTTTGATAGGAATCACTCTCATAATACCCGCAATAAAAACAGTCTTCTCAACTTAATGACACGTTTTTCTTTTGTACAGAAAAATGTTCCTTTTTCTGTGATTAATATTTATAACAAAATACCTGATTCCATCAAAAACTTGCCTGTTAGAAAAANAGTTGTATTATTTATATGAATTTTGTTGATTATATTATATTTTAAGTTAGCTAACCTGTATATTAGGGAATCCTAATTCAATAAATAAATAATAAATAATGAATTCAATGTATCCAAGATTTGAATGACGTTTGGAAATTTAGAAAATTCCAATTTCGTTGCGAATTTTTTAACGTTATTCAAGAAGATAATAAAAATCCAAAAACACTTTCTCATTACTACTTAAACATTTTTCAATCTAGCGTTTCATCTCTGAGAAACCATCATCAATTTCAATTTTTTATAATTATTAGTAAAGAAAAGAATCAGTCACCATAATCGTTTAATTACTCTATATCTTGGACCCATTGTTATTGTGTATATAGTTTATAACCTTTACAAATTATTATAATTATGTTGAGGGTAGAATTTTAAATACACGATTATTATTATAATTTTCTTTTCTCAGTTTTTAAGAAGCAATCATGCCGGCCCCACCTCCACCGCCCCCTATGGCCCCGGGGGCCCCGCCGATACCTAATTTCAAATTATCGAAAAGCAGTGCCAATGAGAGGAACGCCCTACTGAATTCAATTAAGAAAGGAACTAAATTGAAGAAAACGGTTACTAATGATAAGAGTGCACCTTTCATTCCAGGTTAGTTCAGTATTTTTGGTTATTCAGTAACACTCCAGGGCTTCCCATGAGTCATCAAAGTCATATCATTTTTTTCTTAGTACGATCATTTTAATCTTTTTTTTTCATTTATTTTCCTCATCGACAATTTACATTGTACAGGAATAGTCAGTCTTAGTGTAGATCACAAACAAACATAATATGTTAAAAGAAGTAAACTATCTTTTTCTTATTCTATCTATATCTTATTCTATTATTGGTTTATGAAAAACTGATTCAATGAATAGTATGCTTTTCCTAATAATAAAAATTTTAATGATTTCTTGAAATGAGTTAACACAGTTAACACAGCATTTGATACCATATTTTAAGATTAATTATTACTATTTTTCTTTTATTTTCCGTAATTCTTTTATTATCATGAGAAAAAACTGTTTATATGAATGCCTTTAGAATGCTAGTTTAAGGCACTGAAAGAATACATATTGATGGTGTTCCCTTATTGTGTCAGATGTGGAATAACAATTATTAACATCATCCATCTGTGCTCTTACCAATGAGTCCTTTGATTGATCCAATTAATTAATCTATTGGTTGAAGCAGTGCATTATAAATTTTCTATCGAATTTTAAGGACTCACCTTATTTTGCATATTCTCTTTTTTTATCTTATAACTTTGGTATAAATTTCACTAGTTCGGATTTCCATTGTCTACTATATATTCATTTCAGGTTTATTTTGGTTAATATAATTGTTATTTTCAGCTACTCATTTTCAATTCTTCTTTTTTAGTTGTTTCAGGGATTTCAAATCATTTTATATAGTAGACAATGGAAGTCCGAACTAGTGAAATTCATCATGAAACNCGCTGGTAAGTTGTTTCAGTTCTTTTTTTTATTCGCAGAACATACTGCACACCTTCTAATGGGAGGTCTTGCAGTAGGTTTGGATTTCGGTATCTTTTTTATGAAGTGTCTTGCCGTTAGTCGTAAAGGGTTAGTATAGAACAGAATTTGTTTCATTTTCATCAGAGTCAATGTTATCTGGCGGTTTATCGTGTTCTGGCTCATCATCCTTTTCCCGCTCATCGTCGTACCCCTCTTCATCTTTACTTTCTCCACTACTGAAGTTACACTCGTTATCATCCACGTCAGATAAATTGTCGGCTATATTTTTCAACTCTTTTTGGGTTAAATACCTGCAAGACATGTTTACAGTGTTTACCCTATGACAAAATGATACTAACACGTTAAAAGGTAAGACCTCGTTAATCCTTAGCTCTCACTGAGGGTTGTCATTAGTAGGAGTGCGACAGCTGGTTGACGGAAAAACAGATGTTCAAACAGAAATACGTACCTACAAACAATAATATTTTGCCTATCAAATGCGCAGCTGCTGAGATTGCAAATACAGAGTTCTATTACACATGTCCAGCTCGCCGTATTCTTAAGACACTCGTGAAGCTGTCCATTATCATATAAACTTGTACGACACTCGTACTCACATAGACGAACGTATACATAAGGCACTCATATAGAAAGGGTTAATATGGATTTTCATCAAGTATCGGCCAGTTCTATTCTATTATTTTCTCTGTAGGAAACAGTGATGACATCTCCTCTTACGAAGACGCCATGTATGGGATCATCAGTTGAGTCCAACAATGCATTTGTGGTTCAGCCTGTCACCACTGCTGAGACCTATTGTGGGTCGAAACAGCGTTATCTGGTGGGTGGTCGTTCGTAGGGGTGCGACAGCTGGTTAACGGAAAAACAGATTTCAAACAGATTTTTTAAGCAGATTGGCTTCTCTTTGATTTTCAGAGTACAAAACAAATAAGAATATTCATGAAAAATATTTAATTTTCAGATTACACCCGAAACAAATGTACAGCGACAGCCTTTTTTTAATAAAGAAATCACTTCGAACGGTAGTGGTCTTCATAAAAATAAGTCATCTCCGAATACAAATTCAAATCTGACGGCCAACCCAAGTACGTTACATCGTAAAGCGAAAAGTAATGTGAACCTGAGTACGTTAGAAGTGAGCGATGATAAGAAAAATGGATTTCAACCCTTTAAGCCTGTGATCAATCATGGAAAGCCTAACTTGGCTCCAAAACCACCTGTGTTAAGTAGTGAGTGAATGATTTTTTTTTGATTAACAATTGTTACTTTTTTGATAATTTAAAGAAGAGAAATAGTGTATTCTACATCTATAAATCTAGAAGCTTAGATATTTCATTTGACACACTCCGTTAAAAGTAAAAATATTTTTGGTGAGGAGATGTAGAATTCTGTATATACATCTTCTTTTGGATTGCTATTCACACTATATGAGTTACAGAGGCTGAGAAAGAGAGATATAGTATAATATTTGTTCATTGTCTAAAATTATCATTGTAGGTTATATGTTGTGGCTATTTTATGAATAACAGCAACTTTTTGTGTATGATACTTCCTATTTTCAGAATAAATAACGAAGATAATGTAATGAAACATAGATTAAGTCCACTACTAAAGTTGCCAGGAGGTATCTAGACATATACACATATAGAAAAAACAACAAATCTAATAAGAATTAGTAATAGTAAAGAAAATAACTTTTGTTTGATTTCTACAGTTTTTTATTTGTCACGACTGGTTTCTCTTTGTTAAACCATTTTGAAGTAAACTTGAGAAGTATATTTATTAAAAAAATATCCAAAAACTACTTGACAACAAAAAATGTAGATTAGAAATAATTTTCAAACAAATCACCATTTTTGTTTCAAACATACCAACACTCAAGCAACAATAGATATGCATGTTTCTTTGTCTCTCTCTCTGCTTGGTATTCCCTTAGAACGTGCTCCTTTACTAACAAAATCTGTGGAAATGTGTGTTATATGATTCATACAGATAATCAATCTATCATCTTCATTTCAAATGGATTGCATTTTCAATGAGAGTGAAGTTGAGCACTCTTTACATCTGAAAAATTATTTCCTAAAAGGTATTATCACCGGATTATTGTTTTTTCCAGTTAAACCTACCGGCCTTCAAATCAAACATAACAAACCTATCAGCAGAACCCACAGTTTGAAAAGTCCACGAACGCCACCTCCCCAAAGTCCTGATGATAATCCAATGAATAAATTTGGCACGGTACGTCATATGTCTTCCATCATTGGTCAATCGTTAGCAAATTCTGCAGGACACAATTCGAGGTCTAGGCCTGCTCTGAATGGTAGACCACCTGCACCTCCACCATCGGTAAGTTTTATTCTTATACCTTTTTCTTCATCTTAATATTAGTACTGGTAAAACCTGCAATTTTTCAGTTGTGAAAACAACTATGGTGTAGTCTTCAAACCACAGAAACCTCACAATTAAAACATTGAAATGATAAGCAATTGTAATATGCTATCAATTGGTCTCAAAAAATGAGAAATTATCGACCTATCTCTTCGATGTACTGAGTGCAACCTGTTATCCAAATAAGAGACAAAAGACAAATTGAAAACAAATCACTGAGTACGCCACTCCAAATACTATTGTTTATTTTATTTGTTTCATGAAGTAATCTCATCCCTTGTTTACTATTTTATTGATATGTTCACCTTTTAATTTTCTTTTCCATGCTGATCATTGCATTTATTATCATATTTTTGTGTTTCAGTATTGAACCTTCCAGTTTTTTTTTATAGAACCATAGAAAGAAGTGGTAGGCGTTTCAAATTCAGGGTCTATCGGTTACATTCTTTTATTTTTTTGCTATAATTTTTGAAATTAATTGTGCATTAATTCAATTGTTACTTGCTATAAAGTACAGATTCGTATGTTCGTGCAGTGAGAATGAGTATCGCACTAGAAGAAGTAAAAATCCTCTCATTTTTGCAACTGGCTTTTGTTGACAGTGTTTTTTTCATCCGGAAAATTGTTTCTTCATACTCATCACATGCTATTTTCAAGTTATCTCAGCAAAGCTTTTCAACAAGCAATTAGTCTGTTAGACCTTGTTCCTTATCAGTAACTTTTTATTCTTTTAATCAATTTAAATTATCATCTATGTTTCACTTCTGTTGAACAAAAGTAGCACTATCGAACAAGATTACAGTCATAATTGATATAAAGAAAATTATTTTTAATGGCCTGACAAAATGATTATTCTTAATGTGCATTTATCAGAATTAGAGATAATAAATTAACCACAATCATCTCAGTTATGATTAATTAATTGCACTTTTCCCCTTGAAAATTTAAAACCAAAAATAACTTCGAGTTTCTATTCCACAAGGAAGAAAGTATTTGTGAAAATTATGGGATCACTGCATCATATGGCAATGTCGATAATGGGCAGTTCATGAACTATTTCATTAAATTTACATGTAGGTATTAAATTCATACAGGGTGATAAAGATTGCCAAACACAGTTTCCAACTCTGGTTCACCCTATCATCAAATTGTAGTGGCTTGTTAGAATATCAATATGGAACCTATGTTATGATAAAAAACATGCTTAAGCACATACTAACACTAACCCCTTGGCTTAATTCAAAATTGTAAATGTATTTGTATTTATTAATGACGAATATTCAGGTCGGTTTTTTTAGTTGATCCCATTATTGCTATCTCGGAAAAAGTAAGACCTACATAGTCGGTTTAATTGGACAAAAGTTTCCTAATTTGGGGAACTGGAATTATCTCTTTTCGAATTCGGGAATATCAGTGGTTGTTTTTGAAATATTCGCCAAAAACTAGAATCGTCGAATTTCGTTTTTTGGCTTTACCGCCTTCATTTGGTTTTTTGGCTGTACCATCTTCAGTTCAAATGATATAAAAAAGGTAGAGAAACTTTCAATACTGTTTTATATTGGTTATAATCTGATATAAACCAATTTGCAATGCGACGTTTCGTTCATTAGATACACAATAATAGTTATAGCTATACAATAGCTTCCTCGCGCAGGAATGATTTTTATAATACAATAAACTGTATTGTTATTTCTTAAGTCTAAATTGTTTTAACTGGATCCTATCAAATATGTATCATCAGCATAATTAATGATTTGACAAAAATAACTGTCCTATTATTATAACTTTATGTTCGCTGGATGAAGCTTATTACATGGTGATGAATTATTTGAAAGTGTATTGTTAAATGATGAATTTATAAAAATGTTTTCAAAGTAGAATTAAATTTCTCATCAATTTACTTTTTTAATATTATTCGACCTTCTTCTATTCTAAAGAACATGACTATTCGTGATTTTAAAAACAAGTTTGTCGATAACGTATTCTAAAAACACTTTATTGTGTGATTTTCAGTGTTTCGCCATACAATGGCTTTCTCGGGCGAAACACGTGTTGCGTTTTTGTAAAACTGTCTAGTGAAAATCACACAATAAAGTGTTTTTAGAGTACGTTAGTTATGGATTTTCATCAAGTATCGGCCGATTCCATCATATAAGTTTGTCGATGACACTGTAGTCTTTGAACAAAAAAAAATGTTTCTCCCTATTTCATTCTATTTTAATGTAATTGGCAAACTACTATTTCATTTTAGTCCCTTTTAAAATAGAGTATCGGAAGGAAGTAATATGAAAAGTCACTATCAACCCCATTATAGGTATTGAGTTAATGGATATTCATATAGGCTGACTTGTTTAAGGGGGGCCACTATTAGGATCTCGAGAAACCTCAAAGTTAAAATGTCGGTAAAAAAAAATTGCATATTTCGTAGGTCAGTCAAACGTGCTTTTGAATTTTTTATACTTTAGGTTCTGCGGCGAAAGACAAAAACTATGATTATTCAATAAATGTGGCTGCTCATCGTTTCGAGGTTCAACTCACTACACCTCGAACTTCACTGTTCAAAAACTCTTTCACTTGGAGCACTGCGTTTATGTGAAATGAACTTCCTGAGAACGTTTTTCTAAATGGATATAATCTCTGCTCTTAGAGCGCCTTAAGGATTTTCCTGTAGTGCTTGCGTTTTGTCCTTAAAAAAATGTTATGTGTAATAAACAAAATGAAAGGTCAGTTTTCACAATCCCAAGAAGTATCCACAATCACATTCTCAGGCAGGTCGTTCCAGTAGATGAAAACACAATTGTGCAGAAAGAATTGACGACTCAGTTTTAGGAATCTTCATCGGACTATTTCAAATGGCTGTCGTCTCAGTTTTTTAAATGCTTGAAGCAATTTTCCCTCGTTAAGGGAGGCATTGAATAATTGTGCCATTTGAACGAAATGAAATGTTTGTTAATTATAAAACTAATCTCTTTCGTTTTTGTAGGTACCAACACAACATACACCAAATCATATATCATCTCCTAGTCAACCGCCGCCACCGCCACCTCCAAAAGTGAACACGGTGAAACATCCAAACCAGGCACCCCCTCCACCACCTCCTATATCTACAATACCGCAGGCGCCTAGTCATGCCCCGCCGCCACCCCCGCCTCATAAAACGCAACAGTCCAGGCCACCCCTTTCTGTAAGTACTTACTATTTATTTTTTTCTCTTTTTTATATACTGAACTAGATGCAAACGTTTGCTATGCTGGGTAATGTTTATAGTGTCACCTTTATTTACTTATATCTAATACTGAAAACATGTGTGTTGGAAGTCTTTGTTATATTTTTCAATTAATTTTTTGTTTTCTATTGTCTTGAAAATTTTCAGAACCTTCTCGAAGTTTATAGAATGCTTTAGATCATTTTAGAACCACTAACATAATTTTTAAGCAATTCATGACATCAGAATAAATATTAGAATTTTTCAGAACGTTCTTGATATTTCCCGAACATACATGAAATTTCTGGAACGATCAAGAATACTCCAGAGTGACAACGGTCACATTTTTTAATCGGCCATTTTCAGCATATCTTCAACACCCTAATAACTATTGACTCGCATCCACCATAACAACAACACTATTTCTGTGTGATTTATAATTTTGGTTGCAGAGTGAAATATAGGCACCCACTACATTTTTAGGTAAATGGCGTCACTTAGTTATTTCTGCGGTGAGAAATTAAATTATTTGACTGAAAAACACATTTTTGATAAAAGAAAATAATTCTATTTTTGTTCTCAGGTCCCCCAGGAAAACAACAATATCAACCCGCCCCCACCTCCGCCAAGGCATTCGTCAATGAGAGAAGCTTCCATGAATGTGAGAGTCAATTTAGAGGAAAAATTCAAAACAATGTTTAAACCTCCAAATACTTTCCCACAACCACCCCCATTCAAGAACGTTATCAAGTTATACAACTATAAACCAGGCTTAAAATCTGGTTTTAACTGACCATACATTAGGTACTATGACTTGTTTAAATATTTGTTACATTTACTAATTGATTAATAGAGTTTTCCAAAAGGCAGTTGAGGAAGAATTTAGTTAGTTTATATTCCAAAAAAACATTATAATTATATTAAACTGTAATATTACCAAACAGAGAAAATTTATGAAAGATCAAAATACAGTAATTTTAATAGTTTTATATTAGTTGTGTCAAACCTATGACAGCTTTTTAGCTTTTTGATATAGGGTATCTACTACTTTACTCATGCTTTGTATTGTTTCTAGGGCCATTTCATATGTTTTGTCTACTGGAGTTGCTTCAAAAACTATTAGAACACCTGAAACACAAACAAAAAAGTAAATAAAATGATTTTGTCTTATACATTTTTAGTTTGCCAATATATGTGCATGTGATATGTATTGATGCTTCTAAGGCAAATGCAGATATAATTGGAATCAGAATATGCTTCCCTGTCATGAGAACTATTTCTTGTCTACAAAAAAATCAAATATAACGCAGAAGCGACAAATATGAAAATGTTGCAAAATAAAACCAATAATGAAATAGACAGATAGTTGCCAAACTGATAAAAACCGGGATACAATTAAAATACATTGAGATACGGCAAGGTAGTTGATATTACCAAAAGTGAGTTCCTAGAATAAATGAATTTTTGACTGCTTACAAGGGTGCTGAGTTTAGAATTCAAATTCATAATCTTCAGTTCAAAATATGCCTTATTGAAAATTTTGCAAAAATTAGCGCAAGCCATTGAAACAAATATTTAGCAACAATAACAACTATCAGTATTTTTACCTTCTCCTTGATCCAATATCCCATGAAATTTAGCATCAAGAATCATCTGCGAGAGCTTCTTTTCCACTTGTAACATTGGAAGTTTGATTGTTTTTGCAACATAGTCCACCTGTACTCTGGAATATGGTTCTATAATCCTGCACAGATTTTGTTCCAACATATTATCATACAAAGTTCCTAAATGGGCTCTGACGATAACATCATCCTCTAGTTCATGTTTGAACTGCTTCACCGCTAACTGAAAATCTGCCAAGGATCTCTTGTGAGAAGCTCGTGCAACAGCTTTCATTGCTTCTATGTCTTGACCAGCATATCTATAATAATAAAAACATATATGCTTTATTACCACAAACCATTTTTATCGACAAAGCTATGAAGAATGACAGTATCATACATTAAGAAAAAACAAAAAATCTGGTACATAGTACATATCAAAGTATAAAAAAAATGTTAAAAGGGTGAGTTATATATAAAATAATAATATATACAGTCCTTCCATCCTAATTAATATAAAAAGTGTCATATTTTCTAAAAATTCATTTGATTATTGAGAACTCACCTGATGGCTAATTTCCCGCTTACAATTTGTTGTACATCTTCCGGACNAGGGGGTTGAACCCCGAGGGTTGAAAATATTCATTCAGAGTGTCCCCCTTGCAAATAAAGTTGACCTGTCTGACCATTTTTTCATATTATGTACTGGAAGGGAGATATTGAGGGTGGGAAGTTTTCAAATTGACACACTGTATATAAGGACATTTTCAAACTTATACAATATATAAGTTTGAAAATGTCCTTATAGGACGAAACTGCAGTAATGTTAGTTACAAATAAAAGTGGTAAAAAATATAGAAACTGCAGTTTTGTCCTATAAGGACATTTTCAAACTTATATATTGTCTCTGTGAGTCTCTGTGATCAGCTGTGATGGCGTCATGGCAACAGAATTCAGAGTGGGGACGGAGTGAGAGAGTAATAGATAGAGAAAAAGTGAATAGAGAATAGAGGAATAGAAATTCGGAGAGGGAAATATAGATATCACAAAGCTGCACGCATTAAACTTTATCGACGAATTTTTTTTATTTTGGCTTGAGGAAATCGTCAGATTATATATATTTCGTTATCATTGAATTATTTCCTTCAAAATAAAAAAAAATTAGCTACGCTCGAAAATATCGAAATGACGTTATTTTTTTACAACTTTTCTTTACGTCACTCTCAAATTTTCAGATTACTGGAATATACACTTTTTAGTAGGTGATTAACTAACCCTACCTTAATCTGACGCACTCGAGAATTTCTGATGATCAATTTTTTTTACTAATCTGATCTCTATCCCTCACAGACGGCCTTATATATGGGGCTCATATTTGGTGGAGGTACTTAACCGGGTACAAGGTATCCCCCTGTATATTAAACTGACGTGCTTTAGTAAATCCCCGCTTGGGCTCCCCTATTATAAGTCAAGAATTTTAAATAAAACTCTATATGTTTTCAGACCATTTGATAGAATATAAAATTCTCTTTTCAACGATTTAACACAAGTGATCATTTCTTTTCAAAATAGCGACGTTGAAACCATATGTTGTCAAACTTTTAGTGAAAAATAAAAGATTACCAATAATAATAATATGCCGTTGAGAAAATTCTAAAATACCGAGTGTATCCGGAGATATCTGAAAAAACAGAAATTTCAAATTTTGGTTTTTATTTTTTCTGACTCTATTTGAAAAATATGACAAAATTATTTCAGATTCACATTGCTACTTTTCCTCCTCTTCAAGACAAATTCGAGAGATTTTCATTGCAACATTTTGTGCACTTTTTTTGTATATTTTTTATTTTCTCCGTCTAGTTGTACGTATAAGATCTAAAATACTAAAATTAATAATAAATAAATAGAATGTAAACTTTCACGGTCAGATATAACTGTGTGAAAGCTATTTTCCTGGTTTTTTGGCCGTGTCTGACGTTTCGTTTCCTACTATAAAATCATTATCAAAGGCAATGTGGTAACGGTCACACTATCCGAGTTGGTGTTCGAGTTGTTCCGAACGTAACAGCTACGATGGTTGTATTTGACTCTGGTTTGATGTGATGATATATAAATATACCACATCACCTTTGATAATGTCTACCGCAGTAGTAGACGAAACGTCAGGCAAAAAAGCAATTGCCTTGAGCGCAACAATCCAGGGGCACAAAATCAGTGAAAATAACCCAATTGAAGGCAACAAAATTGGTTTCACAGGAGATTAAATTCAATTATAGAAGGAAGTTAACAGGTTGAGCGCCCACGATTCCAATCGGAGTATATAGGCATCAATCAGCGATACCACCCACTCCTATTGAAGTGTTGTGAATGCCTAACTTGTAAAAATCAGTATTCGTTCGGCGTTGGCTAGAGGAAGTTTTACCTCCACTGATGTCCTGCTAAAAACATTTGTTGAGCACGTGTTAGGTTAGGTTAGGTCCAAAGTGAGTGGGTCTATTCGACCCTCCACCGCAACCCGCAAGGGTTTATTGTGGCTCACACCTATTCTAACTCGGCCAAACAAACCCAGCTTCTTAACGAAGCCGATTAGTTTGTATGGTGAGTGGTCTTTCAGGTCAGATGGTAAGAGTCCGGCTCTGCCGAACTCTAAAGACCTGATTCGGTCCCCAGCGAGGCAGGCACAAAGTATATGCTCTGTTAATGAGGTAGTCCGATAGTCAAGTTGCAAGATTCCCACCTTGATACCCGCGACAACCTTCCCATATGAGGGTTTTTGCACATCAGCTACACCTGACAATGCCTTAGATTCAGCCGTGCAGGGCTTTTTCGCCTCTGGTTTTGGTGAAACCTCACTTGGACGCAAACGTTTACTAAACCTGCTCATGGGGGGTTAGTTCCCCCACCTGAGACAGATTCTGCGTACGCCACAGCTCTCGCTCCTAACTAAGTTTGAGTTGTAAACGACATCCATCTCCTCTGTAGAGTCGCTCCCGAACTAAATTTACAGTGAGGTCCGTTGGGGTCGTAAACTCGACACCCATCTCCTCTGTAGACTCGCTCCTGAACTAAGTTTACAGGAAGGTCAGTTTGAGCACGTGTTATAGTTGATTTTTTGTGTTGTTAAACATGGACGCCAAACCTGGACCTTCTGGATTGCAGAAAAAAGAACGTAATTTTCATGTGTACAGTAGGAAAGCACTCACAGATGAAGAATTATTGCAGTGTTTACAAGATAGTATGGTGACGAATATCCCTCCGAATCAGAAAGTGCACATGGTAATGACCAGTCGTTAGAAAACATTCCAGTTTCGATTGTAAATACCAATTCAGCTTCGACTAATGCGTGAAGGAAATTCAAGTGGACAAAAACAGATATATTGAAACAGTTTACATTCAAAAAAAATCAAGAGCTATTCCGGGAAGAGGCAGACCTATAGATTTTTTCAGACATATAATTGACGATTAAAAAAGGAAATTTATCCATATAATTTATGGGTCTTGTAATATTACTTTCGATGAATAATGCTTTTTTTCTAATGTTTCTATTGGTGGAGCTAAATTGGTTGAAGGTATGCAAATTCGTAAGATTAGCTACTCAGGAATGTTATAGTCATAATACTCTTTATGTTTCGAATTGGTGTCTAGTAATGACGGCAATCACGAAAATCTCTTGCAACGAAAGAGCGTGAGGTCAGTTCTCGTGGTTCGTTCGTTATTGACAAGGAAGAGGAAGATCAAATTGTAGTAGTTTGATCTTTCTCTTGAAGATGATCACTTGGTGATCGAAACACGTGTCGAGGTGTTAAAATAACGGTTTGGTGTTGGGGAAAAAACTCCAGTAATATTTCTCAACTTCTCCAATAGTGATTCAATGATTCTCCATAACAATTTTTTTCATTTTCATCAGTTGTTGATGCGTTGGGTCGTCCTAGGAGAGCGTCGTCACTCACATATTCTCGACCTCCTGAGAAAAGTTTGTACTACTTGTAAACATTTTTCTGACCATAGTATAGCAAGCTTCATACAAGTGTTTCTGAGCACTTAATTCCATTTTTTTACTTAAAATTTGATGCCAATCTTTGAATTCATTTCTTTTGACAACAGAAAATCCAACTCTTATGCCTATCAATGAAGCATGCTAAACAGATGAAACTGACATATGTTCGAGACGATTGTACCAAAATAAAAAATCGCTAATTGAATGTACGTATTCCAAAAAATTTGAACATTCATCTTATTTTTTGAACAGACCTCAAATGTATGTATAAATATGTATGAGGGGCACCGCACTGACAATTCAAATATTTGTTGGACTGTTTTCAAAAAAAGTGTTTGTCTTTTGTGAAGGTAAGATTATCCATTTCCTTTCATTTTATACGGTTGACTGAACTTAAAATCACATCAATTTTCATGTATTTTTGATATGGCAATCACAAATAAAGGCTAATTTTTCTTACTCACAGGATTGCCAGATGTTCTACCCTAATTCGGTGAATTTTCTGCTTTTCCACTTGATTTTTATGATAAATATTCAAAACTATCATGTCCAGTGTAATTTTTGGTATTTTTTTGATTTTAACATGTATTACTTTCAATTTTCACAATATTTTTCCAAAAAAGTTACGATCTTTTTTCAAACATTTTACACTCTCGTGTTGATATTTGTTCCAACAAATTTCAAACCCTGTTTACTATGAGTACTATATTTGCGTCTGAATCCAAACTTGGTTCTGTAAAAAGGCAAGTTGAGCTTAAAGGATAGCAGAGAAACTAGAAACAGATGACCATGTGGAGTATACTCTAGTGATGGACTGCCAGTAGCAAAATGAGAGATTTATGGGAAAAAACTGTCTGATTCAGTTTTTTTGCTAATCTTTTTTCAACGTTGAAATCTACGAGTTCTCAATAAAATTGTTCTTTTTCCATTATTTTGTATTTCTGACATAAGGTATAAGACCCTATTATAGTTCAGAAGAGTTCCGAGGACAGTTGCGTGCTTCAACTGATTCTTAAAGTTTGACCTACGTAAGACATGACATGAATCATATAGTACCTTATAATCATCCGATGACAAAGTTGATTTAAGCTACCAATTAAAATCAATTATTCATTCAGGAGCATGTCTACTTAAGGCATCTGGTGACCCTGACAATATTTCACCAAATTTAATAAGAGATAAGTGAAATACTTATACTTTTGTGTCAGGGACTAAAACACCATATGTGTGTTTTATGATAATGTCCCGTTTTTTGTACGACCATTTCAATACGTTGCGTCCTAGTGAGAAAAGAAAATATTGTGTAATAAGGTAACATAAACTTATTATAAATTCGTTTAATGTCAAGCATTATGCATAAATTACAGCTTCAGAAAATGTAACTCTCAGTACATTCAACTGTCTGCACTTTTTGATATTTAAAATATAAAAAGTGTCATATTTTCTAAAAATTCATTTAATTATTGAGAACTCACCTGATGGCTAATTTCCCGCTTACAATTTGTTGTACATCTTCCGGACTGTTGATCATAATTTTTGAAAGAAGCATATATTTCAAAGCTGTCAACGCTTTTGGTGATTCTACGCTGTCAAACCCTTCAAATGCCTCATAAAAGTATGAATAGGCAGTTTTGAAGTCTTTTTCATCAGCTGCATGCAGAACTCCAGACTGAAGGTCAAGCGCAGCTTGCATCTTAGGAGGGCAATAGATGGAATTGGCTGTTGTACGAGCTGAAGTTAATGCAGCACGAGCCTTGGGCAGGTTACTCAAAGCATGATATGTCTTACTTTCAAGCAACTGTACTTCTACCAGTAAATTTTTGTCATCCAACTTTTTCAATTCTTTCAACAAGGTGGATTCCAGAATCAGAGCCTCGGCATACATACCAGTATCGAAATACAAGGCTATCAATCGCGCTTCCAAAGACTGACGAAGAAAGGTCCTTTTCTCTTCTTTTGCCCACTCTATACATTCTTTACACAGTTGGACTTCTATTCCGATACCTGCTTCCAAATCTAGGAAATAATCGACAAGAGACCTGACCAATTTCGCAGCTTTCGCCTTGCTTATAATGCTGAGAAACGGACGAGTAGCCTTTATCAATTCCGCCAGTTCTTTAGCCTTACCCTCTTTCTTGTACTTTTCGCCGAGGTTGAGGATGTCCTGTTCTTTATTAACGATGTTCTGATCATCGTCATCTTCATTTCTTTTTAAATTTAACAGTTTATCATGTTGAGAAGGTACGGACTGAGCTCTTTCAAACAACATTGCGCCAGCCATATTTTCACTAAAACACTTTATTATTCTCAAAGAGCATTGTCATCGTGAGAATTTCAATGACATGTGACAAGTGATGGCAAAATGACAGAAGACAACATTAACATTTGTGAAAAGCGGTCTTCAGCAAAGAGTACACCAACTACCTGTATTCTTTGGTCTTCAGTGTTTGTATTGCAAGGATGTGTAGAAAAACCACCATACTACACATTTCTTTTATCAATGCGACATTCGAATATTCGGATATAAGCATAAACGAGCTCCACAGAAGCAGACCACAGAACAAATGTCATGGATGATGATGAATGAATGATCAATGCGACATTCGAATATTCGGATATAAGCATAAACGAGCCCAAAAACAGACCACAGAACAAATGCCATGTTGGTAAGCGTAGCAGATTTCAATCAACAACAAAAGTTATTCATTTTTTCATTAAAAAATGCTGCACTATTTAGTTTACTACAAACACTACAGATGTGCATTCTTTACGAAAGCCTCACATCAATGGTGTGCTATTCTGAATATCATTCTACTCATCTCTATTGATGATAATGCTAAGTTTATACGAAGAATGTTTCGAAAATTCATTGTTTCATTTATTTTCTTATACGTATGTATCTTTATTTGATACAGTCTTCAGACATGTTTGATCTCTGTTAGAGTATTGGTACATTGAATGTTTCTTTCCCCCTTGTGGCTTTGTTCACGAAATAGAGCTGTTACTTAGTCAACAATCTTTCTCTAGACAAAAGTTTCATGTATGCAGCCGAGCCCACGTTGAAATTAATCGAGTCCCAGGCACTCTGCTGTCTACGTCGGATCTTTCCTGCACTGATGGAGTGTGGTATTGGCCGGGGAAGTAGTTGTTAACCGGCAGGCATTCACCAGAACCTACTGGGTATGTAGTTGGAAGAGATGAATGTTTTGAAATATTCATTTTCTTGAAATGTTTCAAGACTTTTGGATTCCATCAAGTGAGTGCTATGAAGCATATATTGAGATTGAAAAGAACATTTTTCATTTGGTCATCATTTGTGCAGTTGTTTATTATTTCAATTCTAGCAATAATTTGAGTCTTTATTATAATTTGTCTTTGAATGGTTCTGATTGATTCATATTCAATAATGTCTTGGTGAACATAGCTTCGATACGGTAGTTGTAGGATGACGATTCAACTCCATTTCATCGACATAACCTGAACCTTAAGGTTATGGGTATGTCGATATTTAACTCACTAATCGTATATGCCTCTTTAAGAAACAGTATAACTTTGATCAACGAAGACTTCCTTTTGTTAAGGTGACGTCGTAGTATTTTTCCCAGTTTTTTCTACTGCTGAAAGGCGGATGCGCCATCTGAATTACTTACGTTGCTTTTTTAATTTTTTCATGTTGCTTATTATTGTAATTTTTTAATAATCACCCCTATAAATTTGAGGTTGATAGTTTCGACATTTAATGTTTATGAGGGGATTTTGAGATTTATACCAGAATAAGTAAAAATTTTAGATTTTCTTCGCTGCCTGTAACAAAGATAGGGTCAATAAAAACTTTTTTTTTTCGAGGTCATAGCAAAGTCAAATGTTCATATATCACTAATGCTAATATACCTACATACCTAAGGTGCTTTTTTAACTCTTCCATAGAGAGTGAAATCGAATATATTTCTCTGTTATGGATATGAAACTGAGAGACATCCGATTAATCTTTCGATATGATAGTTTGAAAGGCCTCAAAGGGAGAAAAAAGACGATTTTTTGAATAGTGAACTATTAGAAATATAATAGGAAGTTAAAAAAAAGAAAATCTGAAATTTTCAACTTGAAACTTCAACGATACAAAGCGTTACATAATCTGAAAATGTATTTGAAAAAAAAAGGTTGTGATAAGTTGATGGTGTTCTTATGATGCACTGTTTGGAACCTTTGGTGTAGTAATGAATATTAATCAGCTGTCATGGTAATCGATCACAGTATTTCCAGTATTACCTCAACTAAATATTTAGAATACTAAACGGAAAATGAATACAACGAAAACAGCAAATGAAACTCAAAAATGAACAATACGAGCATCAACTATATATGGTACTGATACTAATGACAAATGAACAGAATAACGAACTTACAAAAATATATGTGCTGCAAACAATAAATGTTGTGGAAACGACTTTAGAAAACTCAGAAATGGACATTCACAAATGACAGTTGACACTAACGAAAAATACGCAGATTAGCCATTATATAAAAACACATGTGTTCCGAATAAAATCCTAACCGATATCATTTTTTAATCATTTCACAAATGTTACTATGATATAGTACTCATAACTGTGAATTTACTCTTTGTAAAAAAGTAATTTTATTGATTTTTGAGCTTTTTTTTTTGTTTTCATACATACAACATTTTTAGACAAATTTTATTGGAACCTTGTGGGGTGGAAGTCATCTTGATTTTATTCAGGTTGGAGCCTGGTTCCCTTACCCTTTGAACTGATAGAACCTTGTGGGATTTACAACTGTTGCTTTTATAGGTTAGTAACACCAAAGGGGTAATTACCAGTGACGTAATAATACGTCTATGAGATTTACTTAGTTTTTGGTAACACTGATTTACAATGACTGCGACAGCGACACTGCGACATCAATATTTGTCTGTATGAAACACTTTAATAGTGAACAATAAAGTTTGAAAACCTAGGAGCAATAAGCGAATATAGCACAGACCAATGGTCTGTGGAATACAGTGATTTGTTGAGTGATTAAGTTTTATTGAAATTTCATTACAGATTTATTGGAGCAATTAAAAAGTTGAATATGCCGAAAATTGGGAAGGATTGTTTAATAAAATCCAGGAGAATGTGTTCTGTTCCCCTGTGTAGGTCATATTGCAGTGGGCATATTTCACTACACAGATTTCCGTTGGAAGAAAAAAAAGCCAAAAAATGGAAAAATATTTTGAAAATAAATGATTCTCTTCAAATTCGGATATATAAAAAATACCTTGAAAATCAATAAATGGGAAAATTTCACGAAAAGCCACATATAGTGAGTTGGGGAGAAGCATTAAAAACCCACATTTGTCAGCTCTTTAAGGAACCAAGATATGCATATAAGAGTTCATATTTTAGATATCCATCAATTGTTTTACTTCTACATGAATAAAAAATATTGATGAAAAAAACATTATATTCCTCTCATATATCATGAATACCTAATTTGACAAAATATCACTTCATCTCACACTTGTTGAAAAGTATGTTGGACAATGTTCATTTGTCTTATTTCCCCCAAAGCTGTATAAATATAATTTCGAAGAATATGCAAGGACTCAATAATTTGTTACTATTGGAAAGGGAATTGAAACTTCATTTTCAGCCATTCGTAATAAAAAGTTGCGGATGTGGTAACTTTTAAATTTTTTGCATTGTTACAAACTCTAAATATATCGAGATCATTTCACATATCCATCTATGCTAATCAACTTATTTAATAAGTTGGACTTGTTCGGCTGTATTTGAATAGGTATGAGCCCCAATGAACCATCGTGATTTAAACAGTCCCATTCACTTTGGACCTACCTACCTACTTCTTTTGAATAAATTCTATTATTATTATTAAAAAAAAGTTATGCTTGTTCATTGAGTTCCAGCTTTTATCACCGATTCATGTTTTTACTGGATTCATAATCAGTTTGATGAACTAAACTGTTCGTCTTTTTATAATATTAAAAAATATTTCAGGGGTCATCTGAAATCTGTAGATAACATGAATGTGGAGAAGACTGATCAAATTACCGAACCTCTACCAAGGAATGTTAAAGCCACTACTAAGTTTTCTCTGAGTAATGATTGTGATAATTCTTCAAGAATTGAAATATCATATGCACCTATTCATCATGGTCTATTGATCAACTTGTTATGTGAAGATAAATCTACACAAACAGACTTCGGTGATATTTTTGAAGTCCCTCAGATGTTCAGATCTGACGAGAACCTGAGTCATTTCACAGGTAATTTTTCAAAATCACTTTTATTAAGGCCCATTTGTATGTTACTCAATACAACAAAAAAAAAAAATGAGATCATTTATATACCATAGATATAGAAAAAAAAGAATAATGAAAAGTAAAAAAACACGACAAACTTGATTGATGTAGCCGTTACTATGTGGTAGGAGATCATCATGAAAAATGAGAAATTGAAAAATTATTTAAACCTTTATGGTCTCTACTGAAATTTCATTCAAGTCAATGCATTTATCATATCGCTTGCAAACATTTTTTATTGTGTTTCGAAATTATTGCAAAGTAAGTGCAGTACAAACTTCCTGAATATTTGTGCACAGTTCCACTCGATTCCGTGATGGAAATTTTGTCGAGTGGAGTTAGGTCAGGCGATCTAGGTGGCCATCCAATTACCCCAATTACCCTATTAAACGATTAAAGTAATTTTGATTCAACCAGCTCTTATCATCATTTATAGAACAATCATCTAACTGCAAACATGAATATCTCTTTTTTCTGCAAGAGGAAGTTTATCAGACAATTTATTCATTAAATATTGTATGAAATTTGCGAAATTGATGTTGCCATCAAGAAAGGACCCATTATCGTTTGACTCTGACAAAATCTTCATCATCAGTAATATCTACTACATTTTTTCTTCAGATCAAAGTAAAAGTTGAAAAAAGTCAATGTACAATTTGGGGAATATTGCATTTCTATCAATTTGTGCATGATTGAAACTTCAAAAATCGATTGATTATTAAAACTTGACTTGAGTGAAAATGTACAACTTTTAGTTTTATCTGAACCAAGCCCATAACTTGAATAACACTTGAACTGTGATTGAACAGCTCGGTCTTAAACATTTATTTGTGATTTCTTTTATAGGTATAAACCACCAGCAGTTGAAAGTATTGGCTGTCCTTTCAAAAAAATTGGCAGTGGAAAAGGGCATTTTGGAGAAAAATATCAAATTGTGGTTAATTCTTGTATTATGCAAATTAAAGACAAATTTAACGTTTGATTGCTTGGGAATACTATTGGGAACAGGTACTTCTTTATGCTCGAAAATGTTCTATTCCATGATAAGTATTCTGGCCAGAAGTGTTAAACCAGGAATTCATTGGCCAACGAGAGAATATGTATTGAAGAATACGCCCAAGTGTTTTAATATGTTTCCTAATACCAGAGTGGTCTTGGATAGCATTGAAGTTGCAGTTCTCAGGTTGAAATGTTTAAACTGTAGAGATGTAACTGATTCGCACTACAAGAGTAAGCACACAATGAAGTTTTTGATAGGCATTACCCCTTCTGGAGTAATAACGTTCGTTAGTAGTGCTTATAGAGGACATATCTCTGAAAAGGATATTTTTCACAATGAGGAGCTTATAAAAAAACTAGAAGCATATGATGCGATTATGGTAGGTGAGGACTTATTAATTGAAAAAGAATGCGAGCAACATTTTGTGGAAGTGTTTCAACCTCCGATCCTTCGAAATAGAAACCAATTATCTAAAGATGAAGAGGAACTCGCTGCTCGAATAGCGAAAGCCAGAGTGTATGTTGACATGGCAGTTGAAGGAATTAAAAATTTTGCAATTCTAAATGAACAGATTGACTGCTACACAGTACCGTACATTGACGACATTATGACTGTGGTTGCTGTACTTGTAAACTTGACCCTTCCCATAATTGCGAGTTGAAGATTCTAACCACATAAAATCCCACAAACCCACAAAGATCAGTGGTTCTCTTTCAGATACTCTTGCCATCAAGTGGATACTTAATATATACGGATATATTTTTCCAACTGATGTTGGAAAATCAGTGTGGACACTTCAAAGAGAATATTGAGAAAAAGGGCAGGTAGATATTATTGAAAAGTGCCTTAATATTAAATATGTATATACTTTCCGAAACCGCAATCAATATTTAATTGAGTTTGTGTTGCAAAAAATGTGATGAGTATGAATAAATTATTTTATGTTATTTTTTAGCAATGAGTATTTCATTATAGTCAATATATTTTCCTTCAATCCCAAGTAATGTTTTTATAAGCAGAGCTTCTTGACAGAAATGCGAATCACAGTCTTATTCGAAACCAAAACATGTAAATATGTAAATTCAGACATGCACGTATTTAAATTTTCAAAAATGTATAAATTCAAATACGATGCAACTTTTCTCGTTTACAAGATTCAAGAGACCCATGAAAGGACACCGAGAGAGCTCAAGGACATACAAAAAAAGTGCATGTCACAACTGCTTCGATGATTGTTTATTATATCTGAGGGAGGCTACTTTGAAGGGGACATAATAGAAATTGATGAATTAATAAGCATTTTTTGAGAAAAATTAAAATTCACCTTATTTTTTGAACAGATCTCGTGTATCTCCTAAAGGGGAAGTAACTTCACAAGAAGCAATTGATGCAATATGCTTGATTGAAATAGTGACAAAGCAAACAAAATGAAAATGAGGAAGTGCAGAGTCAACAGAATATTGCAGAAATAAATCTCTAGCGATGATACAGGCAGAAGGAGCTAGGAATGCTAGGATATCTCACTGAAGAGGCGTAACAGATTGGAAGAAAAAAAAAGATGAGCAAGGCAATTTTCTTATGAAAAAATGTAGCAAACTTCGATCGTCTCACAAATTCAGGAAATGTCTAGCTTTTGGACTGCGGTGAGAACTGTTATCGATTTGTTAATAGAAGATTTTGGTAATCAGTTGTAAAATAAAATAATATTGTATGGCTTAGTTTATGTAGAAACCTACTGTTGATATCGAAAATGGCTTCAAACTTCAGCATCCCATCACTTCTCAATTATACGGTGACGTGAATGCGAATTGGACGACTTTAAACAAGCATCTCACATGTATCCTAATGACTCCATCATGTTTCATATTACTTTACTTTAATAACTTATTACTGACAACTTGATGGTTCTCTTCGACAACATTCAGTCATTAAGTTATTGTATTCTAATTCCGATTTAACATGTTGATGCATATTTGTTATCATTCCTAACAGTTACATGGTTTCTACCTATGATTGGCCGCGGTGGTAGTGCACCCGACTCACGATCAGAAGATCGTGGGTTCGATTCCTGCTTCGACCAGATATTTTTCTCGAGATAATTTATCTGGTTGAAGCTGGGATGATTCTGCAACCGTGTGAGGAATCACATGTTGAAAGGTAATACCTCGTTAGTCGCACAAGTTTCTCAACTTCTGAGAGTTGCCGTTCGTATGGAGGCGACAGCTGATTAACGGAAAAACAGATTTTAAACAGAATTGTTATGTAAGACAGTGGACAACAGGCTTTTTGGAATGGGATTTTTGTTGCTGTTCTTAGATGTTATTCCAAGTTTTTTTAATACCAAGGTGTCTTAAATTTTGTCATTTCTCAAGCATTTCTTACTTACTCTATAGTCGTTCTCTGAGGCATTTAGGCCAGTCACGTTCCCCGAAGCAAAGAAAGACATTACCGGTACATTACGTTAGGGTATTAGACATTTGAAAGTCTAAAAATTGAAAAGTGCATAGCGTCAAAAGTCCAAACAGCCTATTGTTTTACTCTCTTACTTAATATTTACAGGTAGAAAACATGTCAATGTTGGGTATCACAAAAAGGTAGTCATCAAGCATGATATAAATTAGGAATAGAACACAACAAACTAACACTAATAAAAACTACGAATTAATCGAATGGCACTCATTTAATGGCCATCATTATGTAAAGTTATGGTTCATCTGGATGAATATGAAAGCTCTAAAATAAGTGCAAAACATTTAGTTAGTCATATCATTATGATGCTCACTCTATTAGCTTGTCGACAGTCAGCATTTTTTCATGTGTTTCCAATATATTCATTTAACGCCAAAATTTCCAATTATACCTAGCACATATCTGGAATTTGATTTTACGTGGTGTAAGATTTCTATTACTTTCGTTTTCAACGACCAGCCATGAAAGACAGTTAGGGCTGTAGTACTTCTACAAAGAATATGTTGACTTCCTCTCTAGTGTCAAATCCCATAGCATTAACTCTCGCTCTAACAATGAAAGTAAGTGACATTCATTTTTGAATAAGAATTTTTTTTTAATACTAGAATATATGATACAATATACCTACATTAAAGAATCGTTCGAGGTTTTCGGATTTATTACCCGCAGTCTGTAGATTTTTATACATGACGTTTCGTCTGCTACTGCGGCAGACGTCAAAGGTGATACGGTAACGTCGTAGTGATCCATGTTACTACCATTTCGGGAGACATTGGCAGAATCTTCATGTTATGAAGCCGGTATCCATGATTTCTTGATGTTTAAACAAGCCGTGGATACTGACCAATCCACCGGATCAATCAGGTACAAGAGCAGTCGGTTGGTAGTGTCATTATGAGTACAAACACACCAGGACCTTTATCAGTTTGCGCATCATAGCAAGGTAGATCACTTCGACCGATGCCGCATCGCCTCAGTAGTAGACGAAAAGTAAGGTATAAAAATCTGAAGATCACGGCTAATAAACCCGGAATCATCGGACAATTTGTTAGACACCCGCCGTGACGGCCTACAGACCATGATCAATATACATTTATACTTTTATAAACTAAAATTGTGTTCCATTTTCGCTAGAAACATTTAAAGTTTTTCAGATGTGTACCTACATATCCAATATGTCGTACAAAAAGACCAAATAAGTTCATTTTCAAATAATGTGCTAATGGCATATTTTGGACAGATGTCGAAATGATTCAAATCGACATTATTAGTCGACGTTTTCAATGGGCTCATTCAGGCTAATTTAGTTTTTTTATTGAAAATTATATATTATAAAAGTAAATCATCTTCCAAGTATCCCACAAAATTTTCCGTTTATATGTCAATTAACAACTGAGCAAGAGCAATTGAAAATGTGAGATCGCCCGCGGTACATATTGACGTCACACCAGGCAAACGAGCGGTGGCAACCGGGCATGTAGTTGGAGATTATGAATCGCTTCCATCGTCGGATTTTGTTTCATTTGCTGACTGGTTCGAAAATACCACGTGTTACATATTCACGCAGTTGATACCCTGCAGTTAACAACACACAACTTGCTCTCTACGGCTTCAGTACACGTATGTAGGTATTTCGCTTATCCGCCAGCACTCCCTTGTCGCCGAATCGGCTGATGTGACAAGTTTGACCACGCCCCGTTTCGGTGAACGCCACATTCAACTATTAATTTGAAGGGGAAGATAAAGAGTGAAAATTCAGATTTTTTGCAGATGTTCTATTTGAAACATAAACTTTCAAATAATGAAATAAAAAAAATTTGGTAAATGAGCCCATTCTGAAACCTACCTACAGTATCAATGTAACATTACGTTATAAAAAAAAATTTCATATGTCATATGCGATAGTGTACATGATGACAACTGAATGTTTTTTGATGATTCAGTTAAGGTTTATATTTCCGTTTTTAAATTTGCGTTTCGCTCCATTAATTTAAGAATATTGTTACGTTTTTCCCCGTGGGTTTACCAATAATTGACTACACTGAACAATAATCAAATTTAACTTCATTTCACTGGTAATTCAACAAAACACTAACTAAAACTTCAACTATTATTCAAATGGATATCGCCTTATTAGATCGCTCTGCACCTCACTGTCCGCGTAACTTGACTGTACCGACAGGCGAGTGGATCGCGTTTATATTTGGCAATCGAACCCGGTAGAAAATTCATCGGAATTCTATGAAAGCCGGTGGCATTATTCTCGCCACATCTAGATTAGCAGCGAACATTTAACATTTGCGAAACGTCGGTCAGACTGGGCGCGCTCTTAGCCACGTCAATTAGTTTATGGCTATCAGTGGCGACCGGCGTTATTTTCTTCAGGGCATGATTCACAACAATGTGCTCCGTTATCACCGATCCTGCCATCTATCTTTTCCTTAGATATTCAAGATGTTTATTTTTTCTCACATCTAGGGGTCTTGAGGTTCCACCTATGTAAATTTTTCCACACCAACAAGTTATGTTGTAAATATAATCTTTCAACCGTATTTTCGGGATTACTTTGTGTCAGAAGAGATCTCAATGTGTTGGTAGTTCTAAAAGTTGTACTTACATTATATCTATAACCGAAACGTCTCATTTTCTCAGACAAACCGGAAACATATCTAAGGTGTGATGTTAGTTGAAAGGTATGTGTATTGTTGTTGGGTTTGTGTGGTGATTGTGGGATCTGTATATGTTGTGGATTGCTTTTACCAACTTCATTGAGAGCTCCTCCCACAAACTGCTCCAGATATACGTTTTAGTCCAAAACCGTTTCAGTGATAGTTATTTCCTCTTTCATATCATGAACTGAATTGCAAAAACTGTCTTTGCCCTATCATACAAACATTTAACAATACATTTTTGACACTATCGTGTCGGGGATAGCGGAGCATACTCTAAAATCAAATGGTGATAACGCTATAGAATGAAGTAAAACAAAAATCATCACCAAAGAAACTCATGAAAAAATTAGAAAACTCAAAGAATCCGCACATATTATTTCAGCAGGTAACAAGTTTATTTCAAATAACTATGTAGAAATGGATTGCCATTAATAAGAAGAGAGGTTCAAAAAGGAAATATGAACCTTAACTGAATTCTCAAAAAACATCCGGTGTATATATATTCATGTAGACTATTGCATATGACATCTGGACATTTCATTCTTTTAACGTAAGTATGCTAAATATAAATATCTTAAGGATACGTTATATGGAACAACCCTGTAAATTCAGGTCAGTTCACAGCATCCCTCTAAAATCAATATCATCTGATAAGAGACTGAGAAAAGAGGCGCGGTGCAGTCAGCCTCAGTTTTAATCAGATCGCGAAGATGTGGAAGTTATTAATTTATTTTTGTGTTTATTTTGGCTTCAACATGGTTTTGTTGTTGGCGAACCAAAGAGATTGGAATTCGCCAAACCCGACCGAGTTCAACATCGGTGGGGTGCTTAGTAGTAACGAAAGTGAAAGATATTTCAAAGAAACCATTGACGTAAGTATTATATTGAGCTTATTTTTAATACATATAAATATATCGTATCAGGTTGAGTAGGTATATGTAGGTACTACATAAAGTTTTTTTTTTAAACTTTATGTAGCGTATCTTCCAGTCGAAATAGGAGTTTTTTTGTGATTTCATCAGCCTGAAAGGTTGAGGTCTAATGAAATTGCTGTTACGTGTATCATGATCGTGTAAACTGGATTGCTTGGAAAACAAGGGAAATCTTTTGTGAATATCTAATAGGCTTGAGTAAACATACAAAGAAGGCACCGACATAATTTCATGAGTGCAAAATGCATTGGGCATCACTAGAATTTCCCCAAAGTAGAATCCCGTAAGAAATGTGAGACTGTATGAGCGAGCAAAATACTATTTTCAGCGTAGTGAAATTTGTTATTGGTTTCAGCTGTCTAAGTAAAAATAAGGCACTCGATAGCTTACTTTTCAAGCTTGAAATGTGGCTTGACCAATTTAGCCTATTGTCCAGAGTAAAACCCAAAAATTTGACACACTGGAATTCAGGTAATGGCAGAGCCATAGAGGCAATCCTGTTTTGTGATTTTTCCTTATTCATCATGAGTTTGTTGACACTGAACCAGTGCTCCGCTTTTTCTTGTATTTCTATAGACTTATCAACAAGAGCTGAATAATTCATAGAAGAGTATATCAAGGATGTATCGTCAGCAAATAGTACACTGTGACATGGCTTCATATAGTTGTAAAAATCACTGATGTAAATAACGAACAAGAGCGGGCCCAAAAAGGATCCCTGCGGTACACCTAGGTCAATCGGCCTCAGCTCAGAAAATGTATTGTTATAAAAAACTCTCTGGAAACGATTATTCAGGTAAGTTTCAATCAAACCCAAAGGAGTGCCTCTTACACCATAACATGCCAGTTTTTCGAGTAAAATGCTGTGGGAAACAGTCAAAGGTATTTGACAGGTCCAATAGTGTGACCCCCACAACCTTCCCGGTCTCAAGTCCCTCAAATATGCCTCTGACAACACTCATAGTAGCATCGGTGGTAGAGCAGTTTTCGCGAAAACCAAATTGATAACTGCAAAAAAAATTGTTGATTTCGAAATATTTGGTGAGTCTTTCCTCAATTAATTTTTCAATGATTTTTGAAAAGATACTTATAATAGAAATAGGTCTTGTCATCTTTCTTGTGGAGAGGTATCACTTTTGAATATTTAAAGGTGTTGGGAAAATTACCTGATTTAAACATTAGATTTATTAAATTGGTAAATGGGACAAGAATAATATCCTGAGTTTCCATAATAATTCGACTATTTATTCCATTGATATCCGGACAAGCTGAAATAATAGATGTGTTTTTACGTGTAAAAAAGGCAAACTTTTTATTAGGATGTATTGAAAAATTGTTATCACACTATAAAAGCAAACAAAATATTTGTTTACATAATCTTCTCTCAGTTAAACAAGGTCGGTTCGAAAAAAATAAGGCGATTTTTAATTTTTATCAAAAAATATATATATATTTATTCAACAATTTCTATTTGAATCCCTTCAAAGTAGTCCCCTTCAGTTAGAATACACTTGTGCTATCGTTTTTCCAATCCTCGAAGGAGTTTTGATATGCAGTTTTTGGTACGTCCTTGAGCTTTCTCAGCGATTCGGTTTTCACCTCCTTAATCGTCACAAAACGCCGTCTTTTATTAGATCTTTGTTGGGAACTGGAAAAAGTCGTAGGGGATCAAAACAGGTGAATACGGTGTCTGAGGCATGATTTCGGTGTTGTTTTTGACCAAAAAATATGGAATAAGCAATTAGGAGTGAGCCGGTGCATTATTGTGACGCAAAAGCTGGCGCCGAAGAAATCTCTGTCGATGACCAGGAAAACCTACGCTCAACAGTAGGATTTCTGACTGGCCACTGTCAACTAAGGAAACATTTCCATAATATGGAGCTAGTGGACACACCTCTATATTCAGGATGTGTGAACAGGAAGATGCAACTGACAGGCATGTCCAATGCGAGTGTCCGGAGTTATCGTCAATAAGAGAGTGTGTGTTCGATATAAAGGAGATGTCTCCTAATAGTGACCTGTCCACCTTCCTGGAAAGGACAGGATGGACGATGACCTAGGAAGACAACTCCTTGGAAGGATGTACAATGGGTCATATGTGGCCTGAGTGCTCTGGGCCTACACTCACCCTCCCTACTTTACAGATACAGATGCTATGAATTGTTTTTCCACAATACCATACGTTTTCTTCGTATTGCTTCTCGCAAGCGGCGTTTAAGTGCAAGATAATACTCCTTATTGTCCGTACAACCATGTGGCAAGAACTCCCGATGCACTACGCCACGGTAATCGAAGAAAAAAATGGGCATCCCTTGATATCTGATCGAACTTGACGTGCTTTTTATGTCTTGGCTCTCCTGTTGGGACGATTAGATTTTGGTTTCAATGTTATAACCTTATACCCATGATTCTGATTCTGAGCGATGCTAATGCAACAGTTTTCTGGATGGAAATTCAGTAATTTTGGAACGAATGACTTTGCTGCCGAACTCTTCATGCCCAAAAGTTTGACTTTTTTGACGTAGTCGACAGTCATCCTGATTCCAAATAGGTTGGAGCCTGGCTCCCTTACCCTTTCAACTGGCGTTTGTTAGAAGGACAAATGGGTCGTTAGTAATAATGGGATGGCGGCATGAATGTCCTCAGACATCAGTACCACTCTTGATGGTGTACGGTGTACACCATGTTGCTGTTGGTCTTCTTTACAATAGGGCATGACAATAGTATGCAATAACTTTTTTCCAAAAAGAATTCTATGAAACATGTTTACATTGGAAGGATATCTATGTTAAAATTATTAGACTTGGCTACCTGGCTGGGGTGAGATGGATGAAAAAAAATTGTTCATCTGTTAACGGGGGACATAAGGGCCTCATTCGACGTCTATAGCTTTCCTAACTAACCTTTTTGACGTAAAATTTCACACTGAATTTTATACTATAAGTTATTTTTTGTTGCTATGGTGACGCAATACTTTATTAATCCAAGGAACCGCTTCAGGCTCACTAGATATACATCCTCCTAAGCTGTTGGTCTCCTTTGCCAGTGGCGTACGTAACGGCCAGGGCGTTACAATAGGGCGTGACAATAGTATGTAATAACTTTTTTCCAAAAATAATTCTATGAAACATGTTTATATTGGAAGGATATCTATGTTAAAATTATTAGACTTGACTTTTTATTGTTACTATAACAAGTTCATGTTTTAAGTAGTTTTCGTATTTTATTATGATTATCAGATTATCGTCTTACAATTATGTAAGACCAGCTGTCGCCCTCGAACTAACGTGAACCCTGAGAAGTCGAAAGTTATGCGAGCTAAGGATTAACGAGGTCTTTCCATTCAATGTACAATTCTAGTCATAGTAAAATATATTCATGTACTTAAGTGTTTTTGTTTAAACGAAACATTTGAAAATCGTACCTAAGTACTACAGAGTTGTTTTAAATATATATCACAGCGAATTTTCATTCTCTATGATCTCTTAAAACCAATATTTATCATATTTTGAATCTTTCAGCATTTGAATTTCGATTCGCAATATGTTCCAAAGGGTGTGACATATTACCACACCGCCATATTGATGGATCCGAACCCAATTCGAACCGCACTCAATGTTTGTAAGCACTTGATTTCGAGTAAGGTGGGTCTAAATCATGATGTGTATGTGTTGAGTATTATTTTGATTACTAAACTGTCTTCAGGTCTACGCGGTTGTTGTTTCACATCCTTTAATAGGCGATTTGTCGCCGGCAGCAGTTTCATATACGAGTGGTTTCTATCATATTCCCGTTATTGGGATATCATCCAGGGATTCTGCATTCTCCGATAAGGTAAGTTGATATAAGCGCTGCCTATATTATTTTATACTTTTTCACAGTGATTCTTGGAAACAATGTTGAATTGAAAGGGATATATTTTTAGAAGAGATTAATTTAAGTCCGGCCGTACACGGACCACATATTTGCAGTTGAGACAACCACAACATTGGCCAAGTTGACCGCACTTCGCGGTTGACCCAACCACATTTTTGTGGTCGACTTGCGGTCATATAAACCGCACTCGCAGTTGAGGCAACTGACATCTATATTTTGTGGTGTCAGAGTTTACTGCCAGTTTCAATATGGATTTCGAAGAAGAAGCACTACTACTTCTTATTTTGAGGAGAAGGAGAAGACGAAGGAATTTACGATCGTTTTGGGTACATCCACTTCTGGTTGCGCGACAACAGGAAGGACATTTTTATATTTCGTTTGAAGGTGGTTGACAATGTTTCTTGGTGCATTTCATCAGTTCGGACTTCCATTGTCTAATATGATATAAATTGATTTGAAATCCCTGAAAGAATCAAAATGAAATAATAAATAAAATGTTTATTGATCCCTTAAGCTAGTATATAAACAAGATGGGACATTTGAAAATGAATGAGAGTGATGTAAAAGTACCAACCCAAGTAAAATACATTGAGTATATAAAATAGGCATACAATATCAATTACAATTACATCGTCACCTTACTTACAGTCGATTAAATACGTCTCGAATTCATCGAGTGAATAAAAAGCTAAAGAGCTAAAGAACTAAGAGTTCTTTCAGGTGAGATTTAAAAAGTGTTGGGGAACTCGCTTTTTTTATATTGTCTGGTAGGCCATTGAAGAAACGGCAGCCACCATTATTCGGTGACTTTTTATAAAACGAATGTTTGTGTTTGGTTAATTTACATCTAGTATTATGGGAGTGAGAGTCACTGTTTAGAGGATACAGATGCTTATTCTTGAATATGTAACACATAATTTTAAATAGGTAAATAGATACGACAGTTAGGATTTGGTATTTTTTGAAAATATCCCTACAAGAGTTGCGACTTTTTATGCCAAATATTATTCTGAGTATACGCTTTTGAGCAGCAAACACTCTAGTGATCTCAGATGCCTGTTCCCACGCTATAATATTATAAGATATAGCTGAATATACCAATGCGTAGTATATTTTAAGAAGTGAGTAAATGTTTAGCATATTCTTTAGATTAACAAGTATATAAAACCTTTTATTCAATTTCTTACAAACGAAATTTATTTGTTCTTCCCCTGAGAGGTTGCAGTCAATGTATATGCTTAGGAGTTGTGACGATATAGAGGTTTTCAAAGCAATATCTTTAAATTCATATACGTAGTTTATTGGAGGTCTATTCTTTGTGTGATATTCTATTACTACAGTTTTGCTGTGATTAATGATCAACATATTTTTCATGCAGTAATTTGAGAAATTATTCAGATCTGCTTCTGATTTCATTTTATGTGCGTCAACTCCGGAGACCACAATGGTGGTGTCGACCGCATACATAAATGTGCTCAGGATGGTCATTCACATATGTTAAAAAAATTAAGGGACCTAGAACACTTCCTTGGGGAGTTCCAAGTTCAGGGGAATATTCTTCTGATTTTATGTTATCAATTTTGACGATAATTTTTCTATTCTCCAGGTAGGACGTTATCCAGCTATTTATTGGACCACGTAATCCAAGTTTATCGATTTTTTCTGATACGAATCTTCGATCCACTGTATCAAACGCGATACAGTGGATCGCGTGGAACGCGAATCTGTAAAGAAATCAAAAAGATTAGCTGAAAAAACAATTTAATTGAGCAAAAAACAGAAATTATAATGAAATAACATACAAGCAACAACCGGTAAACTCCGGCAAGACGAAAATTTTTTTTTAATTAGATTGTCCATTAGTTCTTTTGTGAATTAATTAGAATTTTGAAATCAAAAATTGAACGCTGTGAGACCAATATGAGAAAAAGTACACGACGATGTACGCGGTTGGGTACGACTGCAAGTGTGTGGTTAGTGCACGGAGGATGCCGCGATGACATCTCGGCGGAGATCAGCAGCAATTTGACTGCAGACGCCCGTTTTGACTTTTGTGAACGTCGTGTACGTGTAGTACATTATTTCTTATGAGCGGCTTGAGTTCGCTGGAACGCGACTGCAATTGTGTGGTCGATCCGACCGCAAAATGTGGCTCGTGTACGGGCTCTCTAAGGAAAATAAATATTTTTGGCTTTCTATCTTCTCCATCTTTATGTAAAAAATGCAGGAAAAACTTCCGAAGGAAGGAAGAAAGCAATTAGGTTCAAAATAAAGTCTTCACAAAGATGTATAGATCAAAGATGTGTAGATTTTACTCTTCCGTGACATAAAGCCGTAATGTCATAAATGAATTGTGTGCTTCATCTTGTAATGTTACCCAGAACGGTGCTGATGAGGTAATAAAACAAGTGTTCTTTTCCGAAACTTCGAAGTCCGTCATTGAGGATGATAGTGTGCCATGTGAGTAAAATTTTACATCGCAACTCTTTCTTATAATGTATTATATGTCATGGAATCGGCCGATGAAAATCCACAATGTATTCAAGAAACATACTTTACTGTGAAACTTTCACTAAAAAATATGCTATTGTATAGCGAGTGCCCGGAGTTATGGTCAATAAGAGAGTGTGTGTTCGGCGAGTCTTGGCCTACACCTGCCGATATAAAGGAGATGTCTCCCAGTGACCTGTCCACCTTCCTGGAAAGGACAGGATGGACGATGACCTAGGAGGACAACTCCTCGGGAGGATGTAAAATGGGTCACATGTGGCCTAAGTGCGTGGGCTTACACTCCCCCTTCCTACTCTACAGATACAGATACAGAAGCTATGGTATAGCGAAACACGTGTGTTGCATTTTTGTAAAACTGTTTAGTGAAAATCTCACAATAAACAAATAAATTAAGTGTTTAGCGTTGCTGTGAATAATATCTGATTCACTAAATGGAAAAAAGGTTTTTTTCCTATAATTATGTTCAATTCAAAGTGGTTATTTTGAAAGTACCTACTCTTTCTTTCGTGGTGTAATTTAATGTTCATGTTGAAGTAGTTGTTTCTGTAGACCTTTTTCTTCCAATTTGTATCTGAACGTAGCTTCTATGTATAATCTACACATCTTTGTGAAAAGTTTATTTTGAACTTAGTTTCCTTCTTCCTCCCTTCGGAAATTTCCCACGTTTTTACATGAAGATGGAGAAAAAGAAAGCCAAAAACCTTTCTTTCCCAGCATATAGTGGTTCAATGAAAATGTGTTTCTAAGAATCCGTTTCCTGATTTATTTGAAATATTAGTTAAAATAAATTACTTGTACAAATCTGTACACCGTTGAACGGTGCCGTTGACGACGTGGCGTCCTTGGACAAGTATATACTAATAGTAATAACGAGTGTGATAACAATGCAGACTTTCTCCAGTGTAGTGATTCCAATAGCGATGGTGAACAATGCGAAAAAGAGATACAATTGAATAAGATTCGGATGCATTTGAATATTGAAACACAGAGAGTATGTTTCAATGTATATAAGAATCTACATTTCGAGGGATACAAACGATTACAAGCAACATCAGATTTGACCGAACTTCCTTTCTCAACTGTACGTAAAATAATCAAAAACAAACCTTATGAACGCAAGACGCGATGTGATACAGGATTACCAAAACCTTTAGATGTTCATCTAATAAAATCATTGAAAAAAACAATATACGACTGTTACAAAATCAATAAGATTCCTACAACTGAAATCATAAGGAAGAAATTGAATACTTCTGGCTATAACGTGAGCTGCTGTGACAAAACCCTTCAGAATTGGTTAAGGAAACTAGGATTTAGATTCAAAATAGTAAACAAACGTCAAGCAGTTATGGAAAGCAGAAGAATAGTGGAATTGCGTAACAAATACTCGGAACAAATAACTAAATATAGACAAGAACAACGGTAAATTTTCTATTTGGACGAAACTTAGTATGGCACTCACGACACAGTTACGAAAGGGTGGACTGATGGTTCGAGAATGTATATGCCTAATATGCCTGCAAACAAAGGATCGCGACTAATCATTGTGCATTGCGGAGGGAGTAAAGGATGGGTTCCGAATTCTTTGAAATAATGTTGAAAAAAACTTGAGGACTGCAATGTTGACTATCATAAACTGTATTTCCTTCATCTGCAGAGATCTTGGAAATATAATTGAACTCAATCAATAGTAAAGTTCCTGATACTTAATCCTTTCGTAATTTGATGACCATTGAATACATATTTTTTATTGCGGCACTGATTATCGTACAGTGTTCAATCGGAAGTTGATCAGTATTAAGGAATTCGAGTTGAGCGAGAAAAATAAGCTGGTATTAACCTCAAACTGAAAAAACACCATCACCCATAATTCAAAGAAGTGTTGAAAGTAGTGCCATTTTCCAGAAACCAATTGTACATTTTTAACTCATCTCCGGAACCAAAAAAGCTGGAATCAATAAATAGACAAATTCACAGGTGACAGAATTTGGAAAAAATCGGAGGGTATCATTTCGCAAACCAGTTGTTCCAATCTGTGTCCAAAATTAACATTTTGAAAACATAACATCCAATGAAATCATTACAAAATATCCCTTTACAAACATTTTATGTTTCAGAATATTCATGTATCTTTTTTGAGGACTGTTCCTCCATACTCTCACCAGGCAGACGTTTGGGTAGAAATGCTGAAGTATTTCAATTACAAAAAGGTTATTTTCATACATAGCTCTGATTCAGATGGAAGAGCCCTTCTAGGGAGATTCCAGACGACTTCACAAAGTCTTGAAGACGACGTTGACATTAAAGTTCAGGTAAGTTTTTTGTCACCTCACTACAACTACGTGCAGAAACAATATTTTTTTTACTTCCATAAACAAAGATATTACTTTAAAATCATTGTAAGTAAAAAGGATAATTTCTTCACTACTTTATTCTTTATCACGACGATCGCGGGTTCATTTGTACTCTCCGAAATTTTTACTTCGGTTTTAATTTTTGGTGATCAAAAAATATTACTCAAAACGTACCAATACAATCAAGAACAGTATCAGTTAGTTTTCGTATGGATTGTCATCAAGGCAGTTTCATTCAACAAAAAAATAACTCGTGTTGCCGTTTTTTCAGGTAGAATCAGTTATAGAGTTCGAAGCAGGATTTGATAGCTTCAAAGAACAATTGTTGGAAATGAAAAATGCTCAAGCTCGAGTTTACTTGATGTATGCGAGGTAATTAGTAATTTTCTGTACCAGTTCACATTTATTTCACGATTTTGAATATGAATCTATCAATTTCAGCAAAATCGATGCAAAAGTGATCTTTCGAGATGCTGCGGCTTTGAACATGACCGATGCTGGTTATGCTTGGATTGTAACAGAACAAGCTTTGGAGGCGGATAATGTTCCCGAAGGTATTATAGGTTTGAAGCTCGTGAATGCAACAAATGAAAAGGCCCATATTAGAGACAGCATGTAAGTTGATTGTTCTCAGTTAACTAAATAATACAATTGATAAAATAATCTCAAGCTCAAGCTCTGGTATTGATTTCAATGTACTAATAATCAGAACAAAATACCTATTATAAACTACTAAATATTTTGATGAATTTTATATAATCTTTAGATATGTTCTGGCATCAGCTCTGAGGGATATGAATCAATCGAAAGAAATAACAGAAGCACCTAAAGATTGTGATAATTCTGGGTCCATTTGGGAGACAGGAAAAGACTTATTCAATTTCATTAGGAAACAAGTTCTCATAAATGGTGAAACAGGGAAAGTTGCATTTGATGATCAAGGAGATAGAATTAACGCTGAATACAACATTGTGAACATACAAAGAAAGAAAAAGAAGGTGGTCGTTGGTAAATACTTTTTCAACAAGGTGAGCCATCACAATACGACGGTAATAAGTATGGGCATAAATATCTGAAATGAGTATGACTAGGTCGAATAGTAATACTATAGTTGGTCAAGATATATTTTGGTTATGGGTTCCACTTTCTAAATGTCAGATAACATAAACAAGAAATCACAGAATACAATATTTATTCTGATCTCACCATAAACATCACACCGTCAGCGGCCATGGAGATCCTTCTAGATCTACCTCCTGTCCACATTTTTCTGGAGAGAGAGGCTAGATGGACTACATACAGACTTGTGTACATTGCCAATTGCAATGCCTCCAACTGTCAACTACGAACTGCCTTATAAAGTACTGGATCTTCCGGGAGAAGGTGCAGGTGTTTTTAGTCGCAGACCCAGGACAGAGATATCTACCTGCCTAGGAACCTATGCGACTGTATTTCAAGCGGAAATTCACGCTATTGAATTGTGTGCAAAGAGATTGGAAGAATCCAACCTCATACACAAGTCAATAAAAATATTCTCGGACAGTGATGCGGCGGTGGACGCTCTTGGCTCTTACCGAGCAACGTCTAAATTGGTAGAAAATTGCCAAAAGCGACTCTCCTCTATAGGAGGAGATTCCTGGCCATACTGCCCTGGAAGGCAATGAGGCTGCTGACTCCCTTGCTGCAAGCAGCTTCATCGGACCAGAACCTGTCATTGGCATCACTTTAGGTTTTTCCAAACAAACCAGAAAGACCAGAAAGACCACTCACCATACAAACTAATCGGCTTCGTTGAGAATCTCGGTTTATTTGGTAGAGTGTGAATATGTGTGAGCCACAATAAACCCTTGCTGGTTGCGGTGGAGGGTCGAATATACTCCACTTTGAACCTAACCTAACCTAAGCATACACATCAATACGTGTGTACTTCAATATTGCCTCTGACTGCCCTCATTTAACCGATCCAGGGTTATTCGTCATCTGAACATTAGTCGTCTCCTACATAAAAATACTTTATTTCTTTGGTTTAAGACGTTGCGTATACGAACAACTGAAAATACGTTGATGACAAATAATAAGCTAACAGAGCGGGAACAATTTCATGATTAGCCTAATAGTATCTTTGACTGGAACCATTGTATATACAATTGAGATTAGATATTTTGGTACTGTTTCGAAAACTGTTTGTCAAAATGATATTTAGCTGGGATAATGCCTGTGAGATACAACGTCAATGCTGAGAATTTTCATCTCCAGAATCTTTATGTATCCTGTTTCGTGTTTGTTGTGTGATAAATATGTGTTTTATTTAATAATTTAGATGTATCAGTATGTATAATACAAAGAAGTGTATTATTTCAGGAAAGTAATAAAATGCATCTAAACGTCGATGAAAAGAGCATTTTATGGCCTGGTCGACAAAATACAAAACCAGAAGGATTTATGATACCGACGCATCTAAAAGTTTTAACGATAGAGGAAAAACCATTTGTGTACGTGAGAAAATTGATTGATATTCAACAGGAAGGTTGTTCCGCAGAAGAAATACAATGCCCTCATTTCAATACATCGGATGATTGTAAGTTCGATTTAAAAAAACATACATTTTTTTGTCTTTGAACAACTTCTGTTTCGTCTTTTTTTTTCCGCTTGTGATATAATACAGGCCGTCGCGTACGAGACTTTGGTACTAATCACTTCACCTTATTTCTGTCTTTTTCTCATATCATCCCCTGTCCATATGGTCCAAAGAAATACGTTATCATATTCATGGCATGTATCAGCAGTTGAATTTATTTTTTCTTTAGTGTTGGATGTTCCACCACACGGACTTCGTCATCGTTCGGGCGCCGCCGCCGGTTGAGTTTGCCTTCTCTCAAATGTAGACGATCTGTTCATTTTCTGGGTTGCTGTGCTTTTCATAAGAGCATTCTGTTCTTCCACTGCAATTGGTGATCAAGCTTGGTTGTTTCCAATGTGTAGATGCTCTATTTTTTCGCACTTTCAAAACTTTCTCCTTCAACGTTGGTTTTTCGGGGAAGATTATGAATTTTACTTTCATTTTCATTCTTTGCAGCACCGTATTCACGTTAAGATGTCGTCCTAACCTCAAAATTTGCACCATCCAGAGCTTCTACGATTTTTTGAAATATGCTGACCTCGTCGCCATAAAACTAGTGCAATAGTGATACTTTCTCTAGAGATCAACTGTTTCCTCAAATCCACTGTTGGAGACTACAGAGACTCACCTTGTGTTCACCTTATTGCCGCTAGTGAGACTTCCCTCATTGGCCATGTCGCTGTGACCAAGTTGGTCTTTCGATTTGTTCACCTATTCACTCAATTCCCTATCCACTTCTTCTATAACCCGTTCATTGATATGGCCAAACTCATTTCCTACTCATATGACACTGAACGAATGTTTTTATTCCTGAACTAGTTGGACCCTATCTCACTATCTGATGCATAGTTATTTCTTTCTTTTTTGTATTCGTAGGCTTCGTTAGTTTTACCAAATAGCTCATGCTTTTTTGTTACTCTCATCGTTTCACCAATTGTTTCAGCAACGTTTTCTATTCTTTTCCTGCGCCTCCAGATTCTCTTTTCTCTTTCGTGTTTTTCAGTTTCTGCTTGTATTTTCCTTTATGTGTCTTCATTCTCTTCTTTTTATTTCTTCTCTTATTCTTCTTATTTTTTCTTTTATTGATTTTGAAATCTCGTCATTTTGTCATCGTATCTGTTGTTGTAGTCATTTGCTCAAGCATTCATCATACACAACTGAATCCACTTCAGTATTCTTTCCTTTATGTTTCTTATACGAAGCTGCCGCCAACAAGTACACACTCTTATATATTACTTGAAATACAACTAAAAGTACTTAAATTTTAATATCAATTTACACTTATTGTTTACTAATTACTTTCGTAACTTGTATTGAACTGACTTTGTACGTGCATCTCTCCCATTTTTACTCCTTATACAATAATCTAAGACTCGAGAACATTCTTCTGAATGTTCTATCTGTAGCTGAATCACTAATCGTCGCGTGTAGTACAGTATTCCTTCCAGCATGTACGATTAATTCCCACACAGCGATTCATAGCTTATTTATAAGGTTTCGTCTCGGTGGGAGATCCGTTTCGTTGAGGGCGGTTCCTTCATTTGCCGCATTCACAAGACAATGAACCGAAATCAAGATGTTTCACAAAAACAAACGGTTTTCCCAATCACCAGACGTGCGTTTCACAAAACAAGTTGACGTCTTCAGCACAGTAAAAAAATACATCCAGTAGGTTCTCTTACCATGTGATCCACCCGAGTTGCCGGGGACCTTCAACCGCTGTTAGGATGAGATTCTCATCCAAGGCGTTCAGTGCTGTAGTATCGATGGATTCGAAGGTACCACGGGCATCGGATCAGTTATAATATACGGTCGGAAATTGATATTGTGTCTAGTTTATTCGCTGTTATTATTGTTTTTAGTTTTTGTAGTTGGGCGCACGCTTATGGTAAATGAACGAAATTGGCTCCGCACTTCGTTTCGAGGTCACCGAGAACTTTGTGAATTTATGAATGAAAGTAGTGGGAGTGGACTTACTGGTTGATTTTTACTATGTTTTCAGGATATGAAGAAAAACTGTATTGCATTACTGGTGATTGGAGAAGTGTTTTTCTAAATTTATTCTACATTGGAGATTCCAGTTTTACCTTCTATTCAAGATGTTTCTGTTTATTCAAATATTTACACAATTTTCCTTTGTGAAATATAGCCTTATTTCAAGTAATGTGTTGAAAAAAATCACTAATTATATTTCGATGATCTTTCAGTGAATGACGTCTACTGTTGCAAAGGATATTGCATAGATCTACTCAAGGAATTGTCTAAAAAAATCAATTTCACGTACAGTTTATCGCTATCACCAGATGGCCAGTTTGGTAATTACCTGATCAGAAACACTTCCGGAAGCGCTAAAAAAGAATGGACAGGTTTAATCGGAGAATTGGTTGGAGAGAGAGCGGATATGATAGTGGCTCCGTTGACGATCAATCCGGAGAGAGCAGAGTTCATAGAGTTCAGTAAACCTTTCAAATATCAAGGAATAACCATTTTAGAAAAGAAGGTAAATTTTGAATATTGACGAATGGTAACTTTTTCATTGCGTGAAGCATGTTCACTTTTAAATTTTCAAATCCCAAATGACGTAATAACTAGATGAGGATCGGACTTGAATTTTGTTTTCATGACGACAAGTATACAATGAAGCCGAAGAGAGTTTAGAAAAACTACAAATATGGCTAAATGACAATCTACTTAACCTCAATATCTCAAAATCAAAATTCATAGCATTTTCTTTACAAAGTAACCAACAACCCGATATGCAAATGATTCACATTCATAAACCTACTTGCTCAAAAACATCATGTAGCTGCCCAAGTATTGAAAAGGTTAAGAACACTAAATATCTTGGACTGGTCTTGGACCAGCACATGAGATGGGATGAACACGTTTCTCATATGATCAAAAGACTCAGGCAATTAACATATAACATATAAAATGTATAATCCAAGATGTATTTTAACAAAACAAAACTTAGTAATAATATATAATTCACTGATTGAACCAGTCATTAGATACTGTATCACAGTATGTGGGAGGAGCATTCGAGAATGTATTGCATAATATTCAAATCATTCAAAATTCTTTGATTAAAATAATTTTTTTAAAATCTAGACGTTTCGATACAAAACAGTTGTGTACCGAAACCAAATTACTTGACGTTAAAAGTCTATATGCATACCATTGTCTCGTTTGGATATTTTCTAATAAATCAAACTATTGCCCGACAAGATCAAAAGATACTAGATACGCACAAAATTTATCACTACCCCGATTCAAGAAATGCCATACACAAAGAACAATATATTATTTTGCACCGAAATTGTATAATATAATGCCAAAAGAAATGATGGAAATTTCAAACTTCAAAATTTATAAAGCAAATATAAAAAATGTATCACTACAAATGATACATTCATTATGAGTCTACTGAAAAACGCATCACTATAAGAAATGGTAGGTTTATGATATCTAATAGCTGTAAATTACAAAGTAACTATGCACCTTGGTTTTATCATCCTACTATATTTGTCTGATCACATTACGTATCCATGTTAATTTTTTTTAACCGAAAGTTCTGATATTCAAGACAATTGTGTAGTAGAATTGGGTAATCGGGCACCTTATTCCATATTTACCATAATTTGTATGCCGACAGAAAAATCTGAAATTATGTTTTCGTACATTCATCAATGATCACGATAGGCAAAGGGCATTCGCAATAACATCTGTATGAAAAGGCACCGAAGTAAGGAAGGGATATTTTCAATTGAATAAGCTATATTGAAGAAAGTTGTAATGGTGTAAAAATTTAAAGAATTAACTGTTTTAAACAAATGTATTTCCAAAAATATTTCATTATCACATACTAATTTATTTACAACACTTAGCAACTGACGCTTAATTTATTTCCACTATTTCAATTCCTTGTTTAACCAATCGATTCACTTTCTGAACTCAACTGCCCTCTTGGAACGAGAAGCCGGCCTTATATATGGGTAACGATCGTTCTAGAATTCTGTAGTTGTTTCGGTACTAAACTAGAGTTTAACCGGCGGTTACCGACTGCATTGCTTTTAATCGTTGATGTCATGTGTTTGTTCGCTGGTCAGGGGCGGCTTCAGATTCGTTACGTAGACTTTGGTCTGAATGAATTACGAAAAACTTTCGAAGCATCATTTCCTTAGAATGCGAATGAACTGACTAGCACCGTCCATGAACGTAGCGTGTGTGACGTCACATAGAGCTGGTTTTGTGAATTGAATGCGAAAGTACGCGGAGACGAATGGAAGGTCTTATGAAATGACCTCGATCAATCTCGAGAAGTTTGTAGGAAGTTACAGGTGCATTTGAATGGGGTATATAATACGTCGCGTAGAGATCAGTCTGTTTCAATCACGCGGATTGTTTAGAACAAGCGACTGTGAAAAAAGTGTGATACCTACAAAGTGCAAGCTAACTAGTACAATTGTATACTTTGTTATTGAATAAAGTTATGAAATTTGATTAAGCTTTTCATTACTCTAAGAACCTAGACATAGACGGATTTTGGTAGCAACGGATAGTTCGTAACTGACCACGCCACAAAAGGCAAAACAAGGACTCCAAGAATGAAGTTTGTTGCAAACCATAGTAATGCAGCAAATTCTACACTGGAAATACATGAATCAGCACCAAGCAAGAAAAACAAGATATCGATGTGATCAATTCAACAAGTACCAATATTATATTCGTTTTGAATCATAGACCAGTTTATTCATCCATATATTATAATTATCACTTTCAACCAAACAGAGTATTATAATACAACGTGGCAGAAAGAACTAGGCAGGTACATATACAAAGTTGGTTTTTTCATCCTTACATATACTCGTAACATATGCAAGTTGGATTTATTTTACATTACGAGTAAACTTCTGCAGAAACCCGCTCGTTGACCACAGCAGTGATGAGACATTTATAGTACCACCTTCAAACAAACATTTATAGTAACTACACATTCATGCTTAACTTCAATTCTACTTACTACTCTACCTCTTGGATGTGAACATCACTATCATCATTAATTTTTCAGCCTTCCAGGTCTTCGACTCTGGTTTCCTTTCTGCAGCCATTTAGTAATACATTGTGGATATTGGTTATGGTATCAGTTCACGTCGTGGCCCTGGTTCTATATTTGCTAGATCGATTTTCTCCATTTGGAAGATTCAAACTGGCCAACACTGATGGAACCGAAGAAGACGCGCTAAACTTATCAAGTGCCATTTGGTTTGCATGGGGAGTTTTACTTAATAGCGGCATCGGAGAAGGTATGACATCAAATTCCAAACCCTTATCGGAATTTCTCATAACTAGAACATCCAAGAATGGTGACTCCTCGTTATTTTCAATTTCGTACGTCAACTTCATATTTGTTGTTGAGATAAGTCACAGGATCCTCTACATTACTTCTAATCGTGTCGAAGCAAATACCGACTTAAGTCAATATTTTCTCCAAATCTTCAGTTAGATAATAAAAACTTCTTGATGTCGGCGATGACCTTCATTAGCAGCTGATATTTAGACATCTAAATGGAAAGAGACAGAAATAGGTTGGGTCTTTCCGTTAATCTGCTGTCATTCTCACACAAACAGTAACCCTCAGAAATCAAAAGTTGTGCGAGCTAAGGAGTAACTCAAGACTCATTGTCGGTTCATCCTGCATTACATACTTGCCTTAGAGCAAGCGTTATATGTGTTATTATATATTAAGTCCACAGACAAATCGAGATATAAAATCGTTGGTTGCAGGCCAGCTGGATTTGAATCGATGACGAAGGAGTGTGTATTAAAAGGCTAGACCATCAAACGTGTAACTTTCCAGAGCTCTCCATGTACAATTGAAAACAGGTTGGAGACAAAATGCGTTCTTGTGGTGCCCTAGCGTTAATAATAATGATATTCGAGAAATACTCGATGCTGTTAATGGATTACTTCTCCAAATGGTCTGTATGGCTGTTTCTACCCAAGAAGTAAAAGGTTTTGGTATATCGGTTCAGCTGATCATGGCCACAAGCAAGACAATGATTATCTTCCTATATATTAGAGATCGAACAATGCTCTCCTGAAGTAGTTATCCCAGTTTCAAGTAGATGAGTTTTTTGGAATTGAAGGACCATGTTTACCAAACAACACTATTCACAATGATAATGTGAATATTTGACTCTTGTTCTAAGTTATGGCGTAGTCTATTCAGGTTGTGTTGAAAAGTTTTTGGCAGCATATAAAAACTTTCGCCTTCGCCAAAGATTCTTTGGTTTGAATTCACAAAGAGTAGGCGTAATATATTTTATGTGGTGTCTAAAATAATATCAACTTTGAGGTGGAATTTCACTTCATTTCGACTTCCTGTTTTTAAGTACAAAAAAATTGAAAGTGACTTTTAATTATAATGTTACCAATTTTACAAAATCACAAAATATCAACATTCATGTTAGAAATAAGACTTAAAAACTATGAACTCTACTAAGCTATGTGATGTGGCTTACATTTTATTTAAATTTACCATCTCAAGAATTTAAAACATCTCAAAACAAAATTTAAATGTGACAAAATGGTGAAATGCAAATTTCGAGACACAAGTCAGATTTTTAATTTTTTTGTCTCTCTGCTCTCGTTATAAATAGTAATATTACAGAATAACGTGAATTTTCATCAGGAACTCCTAGAAGTTTTTCGGCCAGAGTCCTGGGAATGGTTTGGGCTGGATTTGCAATGATAATTGTAGCTTCATATACTGCCAACCTGGCTGCTTTTCTTGTATTGGAGAGGCCAAAAACCAAATTAACTGGGATAAATGACGCCAGGGTAGGTAATATAGTTTCAGATAATAATAAAATATCCCTTTATTCTATAGTTGTTCTTTACAGTAGTATATGGGCAACCCAAGTTTCGACATCGACCATCACACGAAATTCTTCGTTTTCTGTTTTTCCTGTGATCTTCACTGCAAGGCAACCACTTGATACTCGAGCCCAGATCACTAGATACTTTTTTTTCGACCCTCCCATCATTGTTGCTGACTTATCTCTCTACGAATCAATATCAAAGATATCTTTGTCTTCTTAAAGGGAGATGTCATCGCCTTCTTTCAGTCAGGCTCATCTTTTGAGGACAATTGAGTCTGGCAATTCATTCGCGGTTCAGTCTACGTACGATTACCTACACTTTGTTTTATGTTCAGTATCAACTACCTTCTCATTGTATCATTTGAGAATAATTCAATTAACAATAACATAAGGAAAGAAGAGAAAGTGTACGTTATGGATTTTCACCAAGTAACGGCCGATTCCATTACATATCTATCTATTATACCCTATTTGAATTTGGCTTATTTCACCTCTCTATAACCCAAACAAGTTACTCCTATGAAACTACACCTTTGTTCGGTTTTGAAAATTCAGTAGTTTGGTAGGTATTTGAAAAATACCTACCAAACTACTACTACTACTAAATTCCTACCTTAATCCCTCGTACAGTGAGATTCACTATTCAATATTTTCAGCTTCGAAATACGATGGAAAACTTAACGTGCGCCACTGTGAAAGGATCCGCAGTAGATATGTATTTCAGAAGGCAAGTGGAACTATCGAATATGTACAGAACCATGGAATCAAACAACTACGATACTGCGGAATCGGCAATCAATGACGTTAAACAAGGGTAGGTTAGAGGAAAACAAAACAATTACGGTTACCTACATTCACTTCTGTCAAATATGAAAACTTCGATCTGTGAAATCAGCATTACTAACTGAAGTGGCAAACTTCGTACCACATTAAAATTAATACATGTGATAAATTATTAGCTGAGTTATATTAACTTTTTTTATATCGAGCTTGTGAAGCACGAAGTCAAACTGTAGTGACATGGACAGTGTTGCCGGTTTTTTTCATGCATGGCAGAAGATGGCGGTTAGAATGCATCTCTGATGAGACCTTTATCCTTTATGACAGGTTCAAAAAGCGCTCTCTGATTTTGGATCATGAATGTTTTGCTTAAGCACTCTGATTTCATCTAACACAAATATCTGTTTGCTACTTTAATCACTCTGCTAGGAAGTGAATTTTCAATAAACAAATTTCATATCAGTTCTCTACATACTTACCCAAATATAAAATTCCCAAACTGAACTTAATGGCGTTAGGAAATAAAATATGTAGAACAAACTTCATGTATTATGAAATCTCATCAATTTTCAGGAAGTTAATGGCATTCATCTGGGACAGCTCTCGTTTAGAATTTGAGGCTGCTCAAGATTGTGAACTTGTAACTGCTGGAGAACTATTTGGTCGCTCTGGTTATGGTATTGGTTTACAAAAAGGATCGCCTTGGTCTGATGACATAACCTTGGCTATACTTGATTTTCATGAAAGTAAGTAATTTGTTACTTCCGTTATCACCCCATTTTAACCCCCAACAAACTTATCGAAGCAGAAAGCGGAATCCGGTTCGGAGACATTTATCTTCTGGTGAAAATCGATGCCTGGGTTTTTGTGGCATTGAATTGAACCTGGTTACGCTCACTCTAATTCGAAATCACTTCTAGATCCTCATTAAGATATGCAACTTCCTACTGCCGGTGAAGATGTGCCTCCGTAGCTAATGTCCTGGAACCCAAATGGAATGACGAGACAAATGTGCAGTAAAGCAATATATTGGATTCTTGTTTTTTTTTTCAATAAGTCGTTGATTATAGAATTCGAGTAACAAAACAATTTGTTAATGGAACAGGTAACAGAAAATCACGTAGGCTATTTTCGCAAATGAGAAAGTCTATTCAAATTTAAATCTATGCATAGGAATCTCATGGACATTACAAGATAAAAAATAGGTTCAAATCTGATGAAGTTGTATAATTTTGGGTACTATTAAATGATATCAAAAATCTTTTATAAATTTTTTGGTTCGGAAGATATACAGAAAAAATTGGAAAATTCCAAATTTTACTTTCGGTTGTTCTCTTCATTCACGAAGATATTGTAAGTCTAATCATCCTTTGTCACAAAAACTTTCAATGGGCTATTAGGATATGTTTATAAAACTTTTTTTAAGGGTGTAATTCACCTCAAGCCAGCGTCAACGTTAAAATTTTAAATACAGAAAATCGATGGAAGCCAGTTCAAACTACTTTTTTCATCAAAATACATATATTTTCAATTTCTTCAACGCATTTTACTAATTTCAGGTGGCTTTATGGAAAGTTTGGATAATAAATGGATATTTCAAGGAAATTTCCAACAATGTGAACAATTCGAAAAAACCCCGAATACACTGGGGTTGAAAAATATGGCAGGTGTATTCATCTTGGTCGGAGCTGGTATTGTTGGAGGAATTGGACTGATCGTTATAGAGATGGCATATAAGAAGCATCAAATTAAAAAGCAAAAAAGAATGGAATTAGCCAGACACGCCGCAGACAAATGGAGAGGATGTGTTGAGGTAAGTATCCACGCATGATTTTCTATAACTAGCACGAATGATTTTAAAGTAGAAATAATAACTATTATTCAACACCTCGTATTATCTGGAGTTTCTCTCAATCTTTTTTTTTCAGAAGAGAAAATCTCTAAGAGCGTCCTCCACAGCCCAACGTAGAATAAAATCCAACGGTGTGAATGAAGCAGTAACAATTTCTCACGTTTTCGATAAATTTCAACGTATAGGTCAGTTCTACGGCCCAGAAAGAACTTGGCCTGGGGACTCTGACATCAGACAGAGAAGAATTGATGATGTGGGAGGAGGAGTTCAACCTGTTCCTAGATACTTACCAGCATATACTCAAGATGTTTCCCATCTTATTGTTTAAATTCAATCGTATTCTTGGTGCATTTTCCATATCCTTGGACGATATGAAAGTTTATCTGTTATTAATTATAATATCTTTCCAACAGTCGATGAAATAATCGTTACTTTGAGGGTGTCAGAAAAAAATTACTTGGAAATGACTACACGAAGATCCTTAAAATGTGATAAGAGCGGTGCTTGTGCGATTTGAATCGGTGTAGGTTATATTTATTTCGAAAAACATAAAAGATATAGGATATAAAGTTAGGAATCACCATGTTAGGAATCACACGTTACAAGTCCCCAATTTTCCTTCGATGTTCGAGGCTATCAAGGTTACTTGTGACGTTTGTCTCAAATAAGTTTCTTCGAAAGCACTGTAAGTGCAAAGCAATGCAAAAAGTACACCAAATGTACACCAAAACCACAACTTTATTCTCGACCCGCGTTTCACCAGCAAAGTTGGCGTCTTCAGGAGATGAAATATAGAGTTCCTAACTCTAAACCTGACCTATATTTATATCTAACACAATGATTTCGGGTAGAAATTCGCGGAAAATTTTCTCGTGAAAGTTCCCGCTAATTCTGATAGAGCGATTCATATGAAGGAAAACAATATACTTTTTGGAATGGGACCTTTGTCAAAGTTCATAGTTCTCATGCTGTACTTTGATATTTCCAGACATCCGAAAGTATGCAAAAATCTGGTGTCATACACCGATCTCAACAATTTCAGGCAGCTTTTATTCAATCAGTGTCCGTTCTTCCAAGTGTATTTCGGCGACATTAGATTTTTTCACAGTTCTCACAGCTTAGGTACTTCATATCCCCGTTTTTTCTGTTGCCAAGATATTGTCTTTAGGACCACCTGACAAATGTTGACGTGTGCAAGAAGTCTTGAAGGGGCTATATTTACACATTCAACTTCTTGAAAATGCGATCTAATCCGTTAGTGTATTTGAAGGATGCCCCTTGCTTTCAGCTATGCCCCTGATAACATTTTTCTCAATATCATAGCTTTCTTTACTGAAAGAGAACGTAACAAGCATATGGACAAGAAAGTTTAGTCCTATCATTGTGTGTTGAGCTGTCAGGAATAAATCTAAAATCAATAGTTTTCTTTCATGACATCAAATTCTAAAGCCTGGTTACTTCTAATAACTGTGACATCCAACAATGGTAACTACTCGTTGTTTTTAATTTCAATTGTTTTTCAGCATTAGATATTCGGATATCTGTTTTTAGGAGTCGAAACTCAACTCTTTTTTAATTACAATACTATAGTAATGCATAATTAATTCTGCTACATCACGTCTGACGGGGTTCTAATAATAACCGTACTGTCACCCAGATTCCCAGATGGCGATGGTATTTAGTAAGATACACAGAACACAAAGAAAATGACAAGAGACGCTAATGCCATTGAATACTACGAACGTGCAAATTCTACATAAGTTCACATAGTACATGAAAAAAAAAAACACAAATCCAAAATGAAAGTCAAAATAGTAAAATACAAGGATAATATCACCTACATAAGGATATTCTATAGAAGTACTATTACTTAATTATTAAACACTCATAATTACTATCCTACGTATATTTCCAACATTAAGCTCTCCAGAAATACTTTTTTGATGAGGCCAACAAGGAACTGACTTTAAAAATTGTATGTATCATAACATAACTTTTTTTAAGCGATATATCAAAAACCTAGTGTTTTTAAACGCGACTCATATGTGTACCTAATATCTCGATGTATATTGATGTTTTTTTGAAGCGATATTCCTCTTCTTGATGTTATTAATAATAAGTTGTTTTCTTTGAATAAAATGAAAATATATAGATTGTTTGATTTTCGAGTGTTTCATTTTGAATGTATTCTAGAAGTTTTACATTAATCTATTTCGATTTTTAAAAGAAAATTATGTGTAATCATTTGTTGGTCAATCAAATTTTGACTTCGCAACACACCGCTATTTTTGCCGATTCGTAGATGACTTCCTCGAAGGAAAAAACTCTATTGTATTACATTTTCTGTTTTTCTTTTAGATAATTTCATCAACTGAGGAACACATTTCTTATATGGCCTTTTGAGGTTCCTTATTTTCTATCAATATAAAAACTACAATTTGTTGCAAAAGCGGCTTTAGTTACTGGTCAATGTGATTTTTCTTCTCATATTATATATGTGTATATATATTTTTTTATATCTCGATTTTGGATAACTGTTGTAGACTGAGACTGACAATCACATTCCAAGAGTGCAAACTTAGAAATTGTGATTCAAGACCACTTGTTTCTTCACCAACAGTATTACTTTTGCGAATTTCATGGTGACTGCAGTTAGATCTTGCGCCATAAAGCATGGATGCAGCCAAAAGCCAATTGGGAGGACGAATTACATATAAACAATTCGTTCAGAGATGTATGTGATGTAATATTTCTATTCACCGGCAAGTACAAAAGTTATCAATATTTCATATGCACCATATGCAACTTAAAAAAATCTATCGAAAATGTGCCTATACGTAAATAATTAACAAATAGGTACTAATAGAATCATGTTGAAAGAAGTAGATTGACTACTGAAGTCCTAGAGAATCGATTAGAGATTGTACTTTGGCCACATAAAGTTCCTTGGCTTTATCCTGAGCCAATCCTTTTCTTCCATTCCAGGCATCCCACTTTGCTTTCCCCTTTAGATCTAATAATCCAGGACGATCTGAAAAATTAAAAAAAAATGTATATGAGAATGGAGCTTCCTATATATATAACGGGTTATTTTTGCTTACATGAGAATTTGAAAAAACACAAAGAAGTTTTTTTAGTATTTGTAAAAGGAAACAAATACAGTTATTGGGTAATTTGCGGTAGTCGTTCAGGAAATTATAATTGAAAATTACATTTTCAAGTTATTCGTTTTTACAGAGAACAGTAAAAATATTGTAACTATTCGGTTTTTTATTTGCAATCTGTTCATCACTAAAGAAATAAAAATAGGTTATCAATGTCCAAACTATATTAGGTATATAAAAATTGTAGGATATTTTTAGTAGAATTATTTGAGAAAGTAAAAATCAGAACTGGCATATGAAACCTAAGTCAAGACAGAAAATAGTGTTGAAAAAAACCTGAATTCCACTGGCCCAAAACCCGATGCATGTCCGGCTTCAGCTCGTGGCCCGTATACGCTGTTAAAGGGCTACCAAATCGTTTGCTGAATGAAGTTAAAACTTTCGTCAAATAGAGGCAGAGCCCATTGAAAAATGCTACTTATTCAAATAATGAGGAAGTTTGAAAATTCTACGAGGCAAATTATTCAAGAAAATTAGCAAATGGGAATCGTACTTCTATGGCTGACAAAATATCCAAAATCACATTCATTTATTTAATCGTTTTACGGTAGATATGAAATTTTTTTTGAAGTTCCATTAAAAAATGGAAGGTAGGTAATTATTATCATGGATACTGTTATTTATTTGCATCAAGTAACGAGTATTCGAAAAATACCCCATATTAAAATTTAGGTTTCAGTGTGAGAACTCAATTTTCTCAGCAGAGATAAGGTTCACCTAGTAAATGTCGAGTCATCTTTAATCCTTAGCTACATAAGTTTTGTCTTTGATGATTGTCATTTGTAGGATGGCAGTTTCCCTTCAATTCTCACTGACATGCTCTATAACTCGAAGAATCTGACACAAGATATTTACAGCAAATCTTTCAAAATAGGATATTATGTCTTCGACTGAAACAAATTATCAATTCATATTTGAAATTATCACATAAAACATGAATCGTTTTTATCCGAATCTACTCAAAATGTTATCAGTATGATCATACCAAAAACACTCGAAAAAATATAAAATACACCTGCGATTTGACGGAATTTTCCAGCAGAAAGTAATATCATGAAAGATAAAACTAAGACACATAACATTATCAGTAGTAGTAGTCCAAGGACATATTTATTATCTATAATAATTGCGAATTCTCCATCTCTCTTGTTTTTGTCACTAAAATAAATTTTTATAGAATATAATCTTATGAATCTTATATAATCATATAAATTTATAGAAGGTATGTTTAAGCACCGAAAGTTTAAAACCATAACTCTTTTTGTTTGCTCTTCAGAATCATTTATGAATACGATATGAGTGCATTCAGCAGTAGAATTACTCAATAGTCTACTTGAAACACATTTTATAAACACTGGTTGACCATAAAAGGGCATTAAACATTTCTGAATAAACTTAGTTAAAGTATACACGTCATTAAAGGTTCGTTAACTACACCTCATAAACATGGTTCAAAAACTATATTCTATTAAAGTTGATGATTTTCATCCAGGCGTTCGATACAAATACATCGAAATTTTATCTGTTATCAAAAAACCTAGTAACCCGAGAAGAGTTTTGATTTTTTTCATGTCGTTTCCATATAAGAAATCCATCCTTCAATCATCCTCTATCTGGAGGTTACTTCAAGCCCAACTGTAGGATTTTGGAATTCAACTGCGTACCGCCCGACCGTGCTAAGAATTGTATGTTGAAAGGTAGGAGCTCGTTAACCCTTAGCTCGCACCAGTTTACACTTCTGAGAGTTGTCTTTCGTACGGGACAACAGCTAGCTAACGGGAAAACAGATTTTTAACAGATTTTTCAACAGATCATGAAAATAGTAATACGACATTCCGTGAAAACAATCTGAAAAAATTTGACTCTCCTTTGCCAAAACCAGTAAGCAATATCTCTGATTCCGACATCTCAAGCCAGTCTCGGATATACCTCTACACCTGGCTTGAACATTTAAAGTTAATTTCTTTAGATTTGTATACTGCCAGTCTTCAAGCATAGCCCACTGACTAATAAGAAAGTTTTTCTTCCTTATTCAGAGGAATCGGGCAAATTACGGATATGCAGTTGGTTAGTACCTCGTCCACTAGATGGAGTGACACTTTTGTTGTTCGTTCTAACTTAAGACGATGAATTAAATACTCTGAAAGAATTTCGATTTTCAATTATGGAATATCATTGACTTTAGGTCGATGACGGTCACTATCTTGCACTGGCGAGTGGCAAATGAACCCGAAACCGATCTGCAAGTGTCCCGTTCCAAAATTGAGAGTCGACTATTTCAGTTGTATTGCCAATTGCACGTGCAGGAAATTTTCTGTGAAGATTCCTGCACTGACGCCTGTCGGATATAATCCAACGCCGTTCGTGATATTAGCCAGTGGAGTAGTTGTTTTCTGATAGGCGTCAGTCCATTTAACCTACTCTGTAGGTATATCCGAGACTGGGTTGAACAGTTAAAGTTCATTTTTTAGATATATGAAAGCGTTTTCAGAGGGCATTAGTAAAGTGTTCAATTGAAAGAAACCTTCCTAGATCTGGAGAATTGACTACCATAGAAATTTCAGTCATATATCACAAACAAAATTGCTAAATTTGCAACAAGATTAACAATGGTACTAGTGTCCAAAGTAAAACAATGCATCACTTGGTGCTAGAACGGCTCCATTTCATTTTTAACACCATACAATATAATATTTGGACATCAGTGTCAATTTTGCGAATCGTATACTGCATCACTCACCGTATCACATAAACGATAATGATTAAACGGTTCCCTCTACCCTCCCAAATGACCGTTAGTTTTCAGCTGTGGCTACCTATTTGATGACCCTTTTCTTCATATGAAGTAATTTTTTATAAACGATATTTCAGTACTTTCAATGTGTTTCTCAAGAATGAACTATCATCTCGAAGGATCCAAAAATGCAATATTACCTATTTCGAAGGATCGAGTCCCAGAAGTACCCAGCCTGACCTAGAGATGGCGGTAGTTGATTGAAGAATATCATCGTATTAGAAAGTACACAATCTATAAAGCATATCTCTTAAGTTTGAAGACGCTGCGTTGTTTAGTATTTGTTTGGCAGCCATCAGTAGTGAAAGTTTTATTTGAAAGGCCTCAAGCCCAAACAATATGAAAGCCGAACTGGATTCTACTCTGGGTGATTCTGCTCCTTCGTTTACAACAGTAAAATATTGGGTAGCAGAATTTAAATGAGTCCGTACGAGCTTCCAAGACGAGCATCGCAGTGGTCGACCAAATTAGGTGACGACTCCAGAAACAGTGAAGATAATCCACAAATCGGTACTGGATGATTGTCGACTGAAAGTGCGCGAGCTAGCAGACTCAGTAGGCATTTCAAAAAGAGCGGTACATCGTATATTTTCTGTAAATTTGTTCCAAGTGAGTGTTCATCGAAGTTTCACAGCAACAAAGCAGAATTCTTACGTCGTTTCATAACCATGAATGAAACATGGGTCCATCATTTTACACCCGAGACAAAAGAAACTACAATACAATAAACTAAAAAAGTTTACTGTATAAGTTTGAAAATGTCCGTGTAGGACGAAACTGCAGTAACGTTAGTTACAAATAAAAGTGTAAAAACATAGAAATTTTCATTTCTCTTTTCATAACGAATTAAACTTTGAATTGCTACTTCATTCACCCTATTCGCTACATTTAGCCTCCATAGATTTTTTTATGTTCCCAAACTTGAAAAAATTGCTCAGTGGGCAAAGATTTTCCAACGATGAAGAAGTAATGTCGGCAGTTTTTGGCTATATTGAGGTGCAAGACAGTTCTTATAAAAACGGTATCGAACTCATTGAACGTCGTTGGGAAAAGTGTATAGAGCTGCAAGCAGATTATGTTGAGAAATAAATACATTTTTTTCAAAACTTTAGTGTTTTCTTTTTTGTTCTGGGTACTTCTGGGACTACCCTCGTAAATGAGTTGAATGTAACAGACAAGTCAATAGATGTATCTGTCGACAAGCAGAGTTTTAATTTGAATACTTAAATAAAAACAAAATCAATTAGTACACTCTAATCCATTGAAGTAAATACATTGAGAAAAAAAAATAATCAGGAAATAAAATACGTTACTGTACCTATACATTTTTATTGTCCTATAGCAGTTGATCATTCTTTTAATGTACAGGATTCTTATTGTTGGGAATATTCATACAATTGTTTTGATATTCTTTTTTACTCTCCTTACACGAATTTGTTTTATAAGTAGTTCATTTTGTCAAGTTCGACAAAAAACAGTCTATTTATTAACGTAAAATTCATACATATGCATCTGAATTACAACAGTTCTCACCTGTATTCACGTCTCCAACGGTAGCTTGCTTAAATAGTCCATAGATTTCCAATAAATCTTGATCAGAGGGTTTCGACTTCAACTTTTTTATATCTTCTACTGCCTTTTGAAATTTCTGAAAACAAGATTGATACAATGATAAATGAAGAGCTTTCAGTGATAGGCAAGTATATATATACAGTGTGTCAATTTGAAAACTTCCCACCCTCAATATCTCCCTTCCAGTACATAATATGAAAAAATGGTCAGACAGGTCAACTTTATTTGCAAGGGGGACACTCTGAATGAATATTATCCACATCTCAATAAATATTTATTTTACTGTGTCGTATGGTCAGAAAGCTCGAAAAATGGATGCCCCACGATTTAAACGATCGACAGAAATTGTCACGTTTCTTCTTTGGTTTTGCGCAACCAAAACGATCTTTTTTTGGATCGGATCATCACGTGTGATGAAAAGTGGATCATATACGACAACAGGAGACGTTCTGTTACTGCAACTGTATGGTGGTGATTCGTTATAACTTTCTGCAAGCGGGATAAACCATCACAGCAGAGTCTTATTGTGATTGAATCGACGACATATACATAAAAATGAGTTAGCAGCAGCCGGCACTGGTCAACAGAAAAGGTCCGATCCTGCTCCACGACATCGCCCGTCCCCACGTTTCACAAATCACTGTCCGAAAATTAAACGAACTGAGAGCCGAAGTTCTGTCTCACCCACCATACTCCCCAGACTTCTAGCCAACTAACTACCATCTTTTCAAGCACTTCGATCATTTTCTCAGCGGTAGAACCTTCGTCAATCAGAACTAGGCAAAAACGCCCATCGTCGACTTCTTCGAATCCCAAGCACGCAATTTTTATGCTCACGGAATTAATCGACTTGTGTTACGTGATTCAAATGGAGCGTATTTCGATTATTAAATTGAATAAGTATTCACTGAAATATTACAGTTTGAAGTAGACTCATAAAAACGGACAAAACTTCTGAAACAACCTAATATATCTCCAAAATAATAAAAAATGGAGTTGGTAGTTTATATCAGATTTTCAACACGAAATATTTTTATTGTGATAATCTTTTTGAACCGGTCCAAGCAATTTTTTTCCAATTCCATTGATTCGAGAATGAATAGCCACGATTAGAACGTTCAGAGTTGATCGAAACAGTATTATCCACACTAAGTAAACCGGTTTTGTAATGAATCAAAGATACATGAAATCTTTTTACTGTTAGAAAATCTAGGAAAACCCAGGAACTGAAGTCCACGCTAACAAACTTTTGGGCAACAGTTGGTTCCAAATGAAAATGACATCGGATATATTTCAGTGGCATAAATTATGTGTGAAGCTACACTTTACGTTTCCATCATTGAAGTTGAAGCTAATTACAAAGCCAAAAAGCTGATCTATCCTAAAAAGATTCCCCTTTCAATTCAAATGGGATTTCTATGTCTCTTCCGGTGACATAAAGTCGTTATGGAAAAAATGAGTGATTCTTCTTGTGATATGATGTATCCAAAACGGTGCTGTTGAATTGATAAGACAAGTGTCTTGTCCCTAAACTTTGAAGTACACCATTGAGAATGATAGTGTATCATGTATGTGAGACAATGTTTCCTTTTGTGTATGCTTTACATGTCTTTCAAGATAGTTTTTATTGTAGTTATTTTTTATCTGCCTTTCTTTGGGAGTTTCCCATATTTATTATTCAATGATGGAGAAGCAGAAAGTCAAACACCTTGTTTTCCCAAAAAACTGATCTCTCATAAAAATATTATCTTTTCAATTCACTGTAACGGGTGATTTTTTAGAGGTATAGGATTTGATTTTCAAAACAACACAAAAAATTTTAAAGAAACTGATGAAATCTTTATTGGAATCGAAAGAACGATCCATATAATTCAATGTTTGAAGATGATTTCATGCAAATGTTGTCCGCGGCTCCGCTTTAGATGGCCCATGCGTAAGGTCCAATTTCGGCACACTTTCTCTAACATATCAACCGGTATTTCACGTATAAATGCTTCAATATTGCCTTCCAGGGCGTCAGGGGTTGCTGGTTTAGCCCTGAAGATATGAGCCCTAACATGACCCCACAAGAAATAATCCAAAGGCGTTAAATCACACGATATAGGCGGCCAATTGACGGGCCCCAAACGTGAGATAAACTGCTCACCGAAGGCGGGTCTTAATTGGACCAATGTTTCGCGTGCGTGTGGCATGTGGCACCGTCTTGTTGAAACCACATGTCAGACATGTCCAATTCTTCCATTTAGGGCAACAATAAGTCGTCAATCATCACACGGGAGCGATCGCCATGCACAGTAACGTTCCGGCCATTGTCATCTTTGAACAAGTACGGCCCGATGATGCCACCGACCCATAATCCATACCAAACAGTGACTTTTTCGGGATGCATCGGTAGCTCTTACAATGCTTGTCGCTGGTCTTTGCTCCAGATGCGGCAATTTTGCTTGTTAAAGTATCCATTCAACTAGAAATGAGCCTCGTCGCTGAACACAATTTTTCGATAAAAATGTGGCTCTTCCTTCAACTTTGCCAGCGCCCATTCACCAAATGTAAGACGTTGTGGGAGGTCGTGTGGCTTCAATTTTTGCACCAGCTGTATCTTATCAGCTACACCCAGATCCTTTCGCAAAATTTTCCACGTAGTGGAGTAACAGAGGCCAAATTGCTGCGAACGGCGGCGAATCGACATTTCACGGTCATCACGAACACTGGCGGATGCAGCCGCAATATTTTCTTCGGTCCTCACTCTACGTACGCGTGTTGGTGGTTTAATGTCCAATAATGTAAACTGGGTTCGAAATTTAGTCACAAGCTTCCAAATAGCTCTCTCCGTAGGCCGACGAAACTGCCCATAAATTGGAAGGAGTGCACGATGCACTTTCTTCACAGAGCATGACTTTTGACAATGAAATTCGATAATTTGCAAGCGTTGTTCATTCGTAAGTCGATTCATGGTTAAATTATAGACCAAACTGAACAAGTTTGACAAAGACCCAAGACACGATTCACGCATGATCTGTCAAAAACAGTGTTGCCAAAAAGATACCAGCAAAAAAATCACTCATTATATCATGTATTCACTTTTCATTGTCAGCTTGCATTGAAAAACATTGTTGATTGAAGCTCCGGGAAAAAAAAAAGAATAAAATAATTCTAATTCGTTGGATATAATTTACAAGAACAGTTTAGAGCTCGGAATATTACGTATTCATGTAGGTATGCAGGTAAGTAATAATTATTAGATTGATGCATAAAAAAGTAAAATTGGATCGAAAAAAGAATTGTTTGAAGCTAATTAAAAAGGGTTATATCATTTCATAGTTCTCATTTATGATTTACCAGAAAATATCAAATTTCGAAAAAATTAATTTAAAGAAATATTGTGTCGCACCACATCCAGATTCTTGCCCGATTTCAACGGAATTGAATATCTTTATACAGATCATTATTATAAATAATCTCTAGGATTACAAATGGGAAATCATTTTACATCGCGACGAAAATGTTGTATTTCTAGTCTTTTTACTTGAAAAAATACTAGAATGAAAATAAGTTAGTTTGATGTTAAAAATATTACACAATAAATTTCAATGCATATAGTTTTCTACTATAGATTACCCTTCAAACTGCCAATTCCCTATCATAGTAAATTACTATGCCTATCGAAAAACAATGGGTTTATGGAAGTTGTCAACAGTTTTACGTGTACAAATGGAACATTTCTTACTAGCATTTATGTTTGAAACTTTGTTCTGTATTATTATGTAGATACATCCATTGTTATTCGATACAGTCTGATTCAGGCGGTGAATTTAAAGAAGGAGAAATCGGAAGAATACTTACCTCTTCCAACGACATCTTTATCTGAAAATAAAAACAGATTAATTTAGTTAAATTGTATTACGAGTCGGTGAAAATTATGACATTTTACATTCGTTGATGAAAAATATGCTCCTCTCTGTACTCCAGAGAACCAGAACCATAAAAATTGTGAAATTATACACAGAGTGACACGAAACTATCTGTGTAGCTTTTCAAAGTGAATTTAAGACATTGTAAGCAAAAAAACGAACTGTTTGAAAACGAGTTGCAAGAAAAATATCAAAATTATTTCTTTAACGAAATGAAGTTTGCGTTGATCTGTTTTATAACCACATATGGCTAATATTGCTTTTTTGCAGTTCAGCGGAATATTTTTTGCACTTCTTTATGTTGGACGTAAAATGATTTTCAAATTGGTAAATTTTCGTTATGTGGACACCCGGCGATTTTGAAAAAATTTTTGACTGTACTTGCGTATTTTGATGCGTAGATTACGAATCCGAAAGAAAAAAGCGGCGCTCTCCCTTATTCAAAAAGTTACGGCCCTTCAAAGTTCAGAAAAGGGCAACTTTTCAGCCTTCTTTTTCACTAAATAAACTATTTAAAAACACAAGCATTTATTCACTAGGTCACCTTTACACCTCATTCCTCCTTCTTTAACACTTTTCACTTCAATAATCAACATGTTTCTTATAAAAAACTTAATTTAAAAACGAATGCTTCTCCTGGTGACATTATTCTATTTTTAGGTTAGTTACTAGTGACATTTCAGAAAAAAGCGGTTGGTATTTGCCGTCGCCTACTATTTCAAATTCGTAATACACCACCAAAAACCAATTTACGATCTAAAGAATGAAGGTAAAAAACATTTGAATTACTTCAGGAATATGGACTGCATCAGTCGTACCAACCATATCATTAACCTTAAAAACGTAAAATACAGTGGATAATGTCACCAGGAGAAGCATTCGTTTTTAAATTAAGTTTTTTATAAGAAACATGTTGATTATTGAAGTGAAAAGTGTTAAAGAAGGAGGAATGAGGTGTAAAGGTGACCTAGTGAATAAATGCTTGTGTTTTTAAATAGTTTATTTAGTGAAAAAGAAGGCTGAAAAGTTGCCCTTTTCTGAACTTTGAAGGGCAGTAACTCTTTAAATAAGGGAGAGCGCCGCTTTTTTCTTTCGGATTCGTAATCTACGCATCAAAATACGTAAGTACAGTTAAAAATTTTTTCAAAATCGCCGGGTGTCCACATAACGAAAATTTACCGTGATTTTTCGTACTTCAGGAAAAAGGTTCATTGAAAATGTAATTTTCATTGAAACTTAACGATACGGTCAACATTGCTGTGTTTCCATAACAAACTAAAGTTCCTAGTAGATAGGCGATGAAAGTTAATTTCAGTACAGATTTGTTTATTACATTCATGTACAATTAATGTATGTTGTGTCTATTTTGATATTATACAAGGTTCTTCTAATTATTCCTTGACTTGTAAATAAAAAATTTATTTCAATGTTTTGTTTCTTTTGTTTATTCATGTTATCAGTTCTGCAACTACAGTTTCGGCCGACATTTGTGTAACAATAAACGTGATTTTTACAGAAAATCAACTATTATTGTTAGCGATAATTGCTCCAAGTTGTTGGCTACTATTCTGATTTCATATCAGCACTCAAGCCTTCAATTTCACAGCCAGGCAATTCACATTCAATAGAAAATGAAAAATAAAAGGGAAAACTGGGACATCTATCGTAGAATAAATCCAAAACCAACACAGAACTGCATTACTCTTCTCGACACGCTTGTCACCAACCAAGTTAGTGTCTTCGAGATGTGAAGGAAACTGATGATGAATATTGCAGATCTGGACTAAAAAAGAACCTTAAAAATGATCAAAATTCTGAAAAATATAATCCATTATTCCTCATTGATTAAGTAATAGATAACAATTATATTTCTGATGATATTTTATTTCAATTCTGTTTGGTGCTGATTTCTGAATATTAAATATATATTTTTTAATGGAAATTGTCAAAAAAAATTGAACCATCAAAAACCAGCCCTGTGAAATACTTCACATTTTCTCTCTCGATATTACGTTCAATGAAAGCAAAAAAGAAGTATTAACAATATTAGAACTTTAACAAGTTATTAACAAAAATGGGCGATTTAAAAATAAATAAATGAAAGGGCAATATTCCAAATTTCTTAAAAAGTTGTCTGTTGAAACAATAAAGGTTCAAAATGAACCTGGTAATACGTTATCAATTGAGGTAAACAGAAAATCAAAGAAATCATGAAAAAGCACATTATAAACAAAATGATTCAGTTAACTAATCGTCTGCAGGTGCCGGTGTTGTTAACTTTTATAGCAAATTATTTCAGTAAAATGAAAAACAGTTGCTAAAGAACCAATAATAATCATATATTACCATCTTCAAAATAACATATTAGATAAGCAAATTACAAATAGACTTGGTAAGTCTTCCAATAAAACTATTCCAAATTTGAATTAATATGCTAATTTGCAACGTTGTCTAGACACGTTTTGATTGGTCTAATATTCAAATTTGCCGGTGAATTTCGAAATGAAAAGCCTAATCTACTACTGATACTGTAATATTTCGTAAGATAATACTGATTCAATATTTACGACCGCTCCAATGTCAATAGATAACCTCAAAATAAAACCTGTCGGAAACGATATTGAAAGTTGTTAACATCATTGTTATCATTATCGCAATATCTTTAATGAAAAGCTGGTAGGAGAATGAGCGGATCAACTGAATCAGTTTTTTGATATATGAGGTGATTATGTCACTAATAAATGCTTATATATTCCCTGGAATACGGGAGTTTTGACTTCTACAGTTCTCATTCTAATGTTCTCATGAATATTTCAGGAGTTTTTGGTGGTAGGATCAATAAATTTATACAATATTTTTTTCGTACGTGGTCAAATGTTTGATTTATCCAAACCTCCCAGAATAATTTTGTTTTTGATTTTATTATACGTACTTTTTTCTAAGACTAAACCGGTAATTTCCACAATATAAACATTTCTTCAGATATCTTTACACACTGTTGATGTGTAGATTTATATATTTATTAGCCTTGCAATTTAATAAGCATAGCAAATACATTATTACGTAAACTCATTTTAATAAATACTGTAAAAACTCAACGGCTTCGAAGATCATTGAAGGTTAACGTCGTTTAGAAAAATACTGAATATGCGGTACACCGAGAAATTAGAGAAAATAAACTAGACTAAACTTTACATAACACAATCTTTGTATTTTTATGTGAATAACATTTCCTCAGCTCCACTCATCAATATCGTGATGTGAAAACTAATAAAATGGTTTGAAAAGATCCAATTTCAGTTAGAAATTCTTGTTGAGTGATCATCAAAAGCTAACTTCGATTCTCCCGCAAATATACATATGTTTTTTTAATATAGACACTGGTAATTGTGCTTTATGACACCGTCAAAACCCCAATTTCCCTGGTAATTTTGCTGCCCTCTCAATTTATAATCATAACACCTTTATTTTGACTGTACAGTTAGGTTAGGTTCTGGAAGCCAAAATGGCGCCAAGAAAATAACTTTCTGGGCGTCATTTTGGGGGTGAATAAATAAAAAAAATCCATGTCCCTTTTCTAAGGTCGTAAAAGGTCGACGAATAAAATCCACTAATATAAACCTTCTCTAGGATGCCTTTAGAATTCCAATAAATGCTCGTTGGTCTGATGATGACTCAAATGACAGTGATCTGTAAGAAGGCCTCTTAGATATCGTAGCTCATCTCTACTGTAGTACAACAACTGTTTGGTATCAAGCTTCGAAGGGTGAATAAGCGCCTTGGAGTGAGCCAATTCTGAAAGTTTCTGCCAGAAGTCCAATAATATTCTTGCCATCTAGGTGTTCAATGTTTGTTTGGCAAAGCCTAAAGCGATGCCAATGAAGCTGCTTGCAGCACCCTCCTGTGCAAGGGAGGCAGCAGCAGCAGGCCAGTATGGCCAGGAATCCAGACCAGAGACAATCTGTTTTGTTTTCCTATCAAGGATTGCCGTTTTTGGCAATTTTCTACCAATTTGAAATGCTGTCGCATAGGTTCCTGGGCAGGTTGATATGTCTGTCCTGGGTCTGCGACTGATAATACCTGCACCAGAGCCGAAAGGTGTTTTTCATCCATCTGTGAACAAACAACTATCTGCTCTTAATATTTCCTTTTCCCGGAGGATCCAGTCCTCTTTACTCGGGAACAGTACTTCATGAGGCAGTTCGTAGTTAATAGTTGGAGGCATAAAGTCAGAGGTCATTTCCAGAATGCTGTGACTTCCAGTGTGAACCAATAGTCTGGTGCACTATGCATTAAATTGATTTGTGTAATTGGCAATGTAGTCCATCTAGCCTCTCTCTCCAGGAAAATTTGGAGAGGAGGAAGATCTAGAAGGATCTCCATGGCCGCTGACGGTGTGGTACTGATGGCACCACCGATGACCAGACAAGCCTGTCTCTGTAAGCCAGAGAGCTTCGCCTGGGCCGGTTTCTGCAAAGCCTTCGGCCACCAGTCAATTGCACCATAAGTGATCATTGGTCTGACAATCATCACATAAATCCAATAGATTTGTTTGGGACCTAAACCCCAAGTTTTACCACAAATTCTTCGACATGTCCGTAGGGACAGTCTGGCTTTGTGTGAAACTTTTTCCAGTGAGCTTTCCAGATGAGTTTTTCACCAAGGACAATGCCAAGATATTTCACCTCCGTTCCCTCAGGCACCAACTGTGAAAACAACGTCCAACGTGCTTTGGAAGATATTACAAGCTACCCTTCCCGACGTGGAACTTGCCAAGATGACATGGTCATCTGCATAAGCTTGCAGATCTACTTTTCTTCTGAATCAAATATTTCGTTTATATATTTCACAACTATTTTATTAATTTTGTTTTTGATTTTATTATACTTTTTTCTGAGACTGAACCGGTAATTTCCATAGTATAAAAATTTCTTCAGATATCCTTAGACACTGTTGACGTGTATATATTCATTAGCCATGCAATTTGATAAGCATAGCAAATACATTATTGCGTAAACTCATTTTAATAAATACTGTAAAAACTCAACGGATTCGAAGATCACTTGAAGGTTAAGGTCGTTTAGAAAAATACTGAATATGGGGTACACCAATCAATTAGAGAAAATAAACTAGACTAAACTTTACATAACACAACCTTTGTATTTTTATGTGAATAACATTTCCTCAGCTCCACTCATCAATATCGTGATGTGAAAACTAATAAAATGATTTGAAAAGATCCAATTTCAGTTAGAAATTCTTGTTGAGTGATCATCAAAAGCTAACCTCGATTCTCCCGCAAATATACATATGTTTTTTTAATATAGGCACTGGTAATTGTGCTTTATGACACCGTCGAAACCCCAATTTCCCTGGTAATTTTGCTGCCCTCTCAATTTATAATCATAAACACCTTTATTTTGACTGTACATTTAGGTTAGGTTCTGGAAGCCAAAAAGGCGCCAAGGAAATAACTTTCTGGGCGCCATTTTGGGGGTGAATAAATAAAAAAAATCCATGTCCCTTTTCTGAGGTCGTAAAAGATCGACGAATAAAATCCACTGATATAAACCTTCTCTAGGATGCCTTTAGAATTCCAATTTATGCTCGTTATTTTTTTTAAAGTAAAGTGCACTTGAAGACTTACGAGTTTAGCCCTATAGTTCTGGTCGGATTCAGATTTATGACTGCAAAATGACCAATTCAAAAAAGTCTACCAAACCTGATATTTTGGCAAGGCTATCTACAAAGAAACTGAATCTGCATTGTAAACACTGTTTTTTTTCATCAGTTCGGACTTCCATTGTCTATATAACAATCGAAGTCCGAACTGATGAAATACAACATTGTCAACCACAAAGTTCGTAAGTATTCCAAGTACCGCTTTTTTAAAATAATTGTTTCCTTCAAAGCGATAAAATTATATAAAAGTCTCACAGCGCTTTCAGAGCGGTGCCTGTGCGAAAGTAGCGATTCACATTGGATTTGAATCGCTGGAGATTAAATCCATTTGGAAAAATGTTCTCAGGAAGTTTATCCACATGAACGCCGTTCTCCAAATGAAAGAGTTCTTAAACAGAGAAGTTCGGGGTGTACTTCCCGTGAAAGTATCTATAGAAGAGAGACAAATCTATTTCCTTACATCCTTGATACATTTTGAGGTCCTGTGGTATTACTTTCAAAAAAGTGCCTGTATTGGTCTTAGCTTTGAACTAGTCTAATAGTGTTGCCAGTTTGATATTTCCAATTCTAAACAAGTTACACAGTGGTATGGAAATAATGAAATCAGATTTTGGTTTACATTGAATAATAACTACTCGCAATTCAGCTCGACAAGAAAATGATTCAAAGATCAAACATTCCTATCATATATCAACACTTTATGTGCATTATCAGAATCCCAATAGATTGGAGGTTACTTCAAATATTGTGTTGACACTAATCGCACTGTGATTCAAATACGAGAAAATCAATAAAACCTTTTTGAAATGGTACAACAGGTAGCTATTTAGTTTGCGGTTAACAGTTACAAGTCATGGCCGGCTATATTCAGATCAAAGAGAGATTCTCCGTAGTGAGGTTTATGGTAAGCTATGTCCATAAAAAAACGTACGTATTTCGATCAGCTTGAAATATCCCATTAAGTAATTTCTTATTTCTTCCATTTTGACCATGAAAATGTTACCAATCCAATTTCATCTTTAATGAAATCATGGTACCAACTTTCAGCAGTAACTTTCAGTTTATTAAGGGCTTGAAATTCAATACTATTTTCATCCCACCCATAGCACTCAGCATGCTCTTCAATAATAGTTAATCACTCGGAAATATTTTCCTTGCTAGGGTCAAAATCTGGTATTACTTTTGCTAGGACGTTACTGGTATTCCTTTCACGTAAATAATGATGTGCAGTATTCACCCCGAATTCAACCAATTGTTTTTCAGATAGTCTTACTCTTTTGGATCTCCTCGAATGTCTCGACTTTCTGGAGCCTCGGGATGATTTCTTTGCAGTTTTTCCTCCACGACTTCTTTGGCGATTTTCTCTAGATTTGGAGCTTCGTTTCCGTTTGTTTTTCAGCATGATCACACACTTAACAAATTTACTCGATAATGCAAAAACCGTGTACGCGATGTTTAACCCCACTTCTGAGTTGTTGGAAAACTAATAATTGAAACACAATTCACTTCCCAAAAATATATATTTCACTTCCGTACGTTACAAATGGTATCGATAGAATGAACAACTTTCTCTCCTTTTGTCGTGCCTATGACTCAACTTCCTGATTCCTCTACCCTACCACATAAAAACTGTAATAAATATGAAAACGAATATATACATCTATTGAGTGGTCGCTTATCATGGGATTTCTAACACTTGTGAAAAGTGCCTATTTCATTTATTATCAATGTAGCTCACATTATTTTTAAACCTTCCAATGACTAGAATCTTCAAATTCCATAGATGAGTAATTGAAATCAGGTCGGAATATCCCTGATACAAAATGGATGTCCATAAGATACCTGTCAATGGACTTGAAAGGGACGACCAATAGACCGATCCCCGTTATTGTTGAAATAAAATAGTTCGGTTCCGCAAAATTTATCACATTGAAATTTCCGTAATTAGCACAGTATCGAATTTATGCAACCAAAATGCCACACACTGAATATCTGGCTTCTCTACCTCTAGACACAGAATATCTAATATACTAATATGTACTTCATATTTCAGAGCAATAATTTGTTCTGCGCTCCCGATGATTCACTGCTTCAGATGGCAGGTTTGAATCGCACAATAAAAACACCGGTCACTTGTTCAATACATAGGTAGTATGTGCACCCATTTGAAATTAATGTCATTTTTATGTTGAGGTTTTTCAAATGCCCATTTGAATATTTATTTCTGACCGGGATATTATAAGCTTATATCGTCATAGTTACGCTATCAATAAAGAGGGTCATAACTCCCTTGGGACATTATAGATTTTATAATTCCCTCTACCTTTCACAAGTAAAAATAAATAGAAATGAAAACTGAACCATATTTTATTTATTCACGTCATTACAAATAATAAATGTACAATTTTGAAATGTTCCCTGAAAATTACTTCCNTAATCATATTGATCCTGTTTGAAACATTTGATTTTGTCAGTTTCGAAACAAACATTTCCTCACATTATCAACAAATGTAATTTCTTGTAGAGGAAATAAAAATTACAGAATCATACAGTGTTTTTTCTGGTTCGTTTTATTTTCAAACGTAGGTACTAGATAGGTGTCAAAGGGGGTTTTTCTAATACAACAAGTTACCGAAAAGTAGAACATTTTTTTTTGTGAAAATTACTTTGAATTTACGCAGGAACTTTTGCCTTTCTACAATTGTTTGAAGTTTCCCATTACAATTTTCATATTTTTCAGAATGTGGAAGGTGAAAATACCCAAAGAAGGTCGATAAAATATATATAATGAGTCAAAATATGAACGGACTTCCCCTAAAACGCTATCTAACATAACTGTCTGACTGTATTAACCGCGTGATCCAAGTTGTCCTCAAACTTGACAAATCCTTCCAGGAAGGAAAAAGCACTGCTGATCAATAGTTTTTTTCTGCAGCAAATTTATAGCACTATTATTTCAGGAGAGGCATAAGCAGTGGTATTCTGTGATTTTAGCAAAAACTTTTGATTATGTACATCACATAATAGTGCTGGAAAAACTCTACCACAAACAATATGTGACGTCCACAGTTGTTTTTGAATTTACACTTATTAAGTGTAAATTTACTGTTACAACTGTGAATTTTCAAAATCACAGTTGTAAGTGTAAATGAGGACGAAGCAGTCTCATCACATCTCAACTTTGCACTCTACAATCTGGCACATGTACCCTCATCTAGCAAAAAATATATAAATTTAAATACGTGATATGGTTTTGAAGTTCCAGTTGCATTAGTTGAATCTAACTTCTGTTAGATTGGTTTTGTTTACAGGTTAATTTTTGTTTCATTAAAAATTATTTACCAAATAAATTTGCAATGAATGTAACGTCCTGACATCTATTGTATCAAGTACAAAGCGTATTCGCAAGGAATTTGATGTCTAAAGACGCTGATCATATTTACAATCATAAAACTGGACTTTGTACTACTAAAGTTCAATGAGTTATTATAATCGTAAATCGTAACTTTATCAACACTTGTTAGTGTGAAGTGTAAAGAAATAATATACATTTTTGTGGCCTTCTACGCTTTCGTTCCTATATGCACATAAAGCACAGAACATAAAGTTTATGGAATCTGTCAGTACTCAGTTATTCTGCGGCATAAATACATTTTTGGTGTCGATATTCCTGTTTGCCGTTTTATAACGAGTTCTGTGAATGTTTTTTGACATGTTTACGGAATTATTTTCCTAGTTGGTGTTTTTTTGTCGTGTAGCTAACAGGAGTTCAGTGAATTTATGACTTATGCTAGGTAGGTGGTGAGAGTAGGGACAGTTATTATATCTTGTGAACAATAACATTTAAAACTTTTGTGATATACTGATTTTGGATTTTAGTGATTTGTGCTTCTGTTTGGAATCACTCATTATATGATAATGTTATGGCAGTGCTATGAATGGAAACATTGACAATTGAAAAATATTAATGTGTTGTAACTCCACCAGTAGCGTAACGTTTTTTTTCGGATAACTTTCATTCCATTACAGGTGAGTGAAGTTGCAATTGAGTGCTATTTGTTCCATCGTTTCTCAAACTTCAAATCTGGACGGTATCTTTCAAAATTACAAGTGGGCAATTTAAATTCCAATATCAATTAAACACATGTTTTGATCCATACTTATAGATAAAATATAGGTACGTTCTTATGTGAAGCTTTCTAAAATGAAATTTACTCTTCAGGCTTTGTATATTTCACTAGGTTCATGAAAATCAATGACCCGACCTTGAATTGATATAGTGGGTTCGTTCCTGAACTCCCGTTGAAAACTGGCTACAGTATACTATGTTTTTTCTACCTACACCTAATATTAAAATAACGTTGGAAAGTGGGTACTCGTAAGTGGGCGTGAGATTTTTATTTTATGTTCTAATATATAAAATTTTGCTTGAATGCATTTATCAAAAATGTTGAATTAGATTTTTAAAATTTCGTTTGCAAAAACAGTTCTGATTTATAATTCCAAAATGATTTACCAATATAAAACTGAGCAGAAACTACAGTTCATGAACTAGGTGGGTATGTTGTTATTTATTGTTAGACCTGTGAATCATTTAGTAGTAAGGCACCAGCTTGATCAATATTTAATTGATTTATATTAGTTTATTGTGGTTTCAGGGACACATTGTTCTCAATATTTGCTCAACATGAATTCAATTTAAATGATACCCAACCTATTGTTAATGAAGGAAATTCACATAATTAGATTGATTTAATACATCCATTTGGCACCTGTTGAGTCAGTTATTTGAAAACTATATGCTGTTTTAGATTTCGTATTGCTGTGTAAATTTTATCTTTAGAAATTTCTATTGAAATGTCTAATGTCACATTTAATTGAAGAAGTATTGTTGCATACCCTCATCGTTCAATATTCCAACAAGTTCTCAACCTGTGTCACTAAATGATAATTTATTGATGACAGTAATTGAAGTCAATCATCAGTAGACAAATATTTACTGATCTGTCATCAACAAAGTGCAAGCTCAAGAACACAAAATTCTTCCTATATACATCAGTATTTTAATATTTTTATTTTCGCAGGGCTCTCCTTCAAAGCTGGGTTATAAAGATCCATCAGGTGGCACCAAAATGGACTATTACAGAGTCCTTGACGTGCCCAAAACTGCAACTACAGCTGAAATTAAAAAAGCGTGAGTATAAATGATTGCTTTCAAATCTTGATGGTGAATATTTCTAATAAGGCGGTCTTTTTGTTGAGTTTTGTTCAATATGAAAATTTTCAAAGAGTTGTCATGATGATATCCTAAAATATTGAACTGGAAATCCCACTTTTTACGAAAAGTGTTCGCTTCAAAAATAAAAATGAAGTTAAACTGTATAATGTAATGGTTTTTTAAAGAAAATTTACTTGATTTTCAGTAATTTGAACTATTCATAATTTACTTTCTCATGAAAGTTGCTCATTTATTTTCTGTTACTGAACAGAAATATGTGAAACCATAATGCAGACTCTACAATTCTTGTTTATCTATTATTGGTATTAAATTATAATTTCATGAAATGCTCCCTTGAGCTGATTATAATATGTGTGTAGAAACTTCAGTTTGTGCTTAGTAATTTTATGTAAAGTAAATACTTTTCCCACAAAGTAGTACTCTTTCCGAGTTTCCTTAAATCACAAAGTCCTTCTTCATCTTTTGATTATGGCAATTTGGTTTGGGTTCCCGTAGTTCTTCTACTTATTGTTCACCAGAATTTCCAATTCTGCAAGTAGGACTATTGATTTTTTTTATTCATAATAAGTTTCTTTGACACCAGTTATCCATTTTTATGCTTTAGTGATTTTTGTCATGACTTTCCCAACAGAGAGTATTGTTTTATATCTGCTGTTGTACCGGGGTGAGTGGAATTTGAGTCGATGCAGGAGATCTCAAAATTGGTGAGAGTTACAGAAAGGGTTGATTAGAGTCAACTTTGCCGCCTTTTATTCGTCTCTGTAACATTTACCATTTTTGAGATACCCGTGCATCAATTTGAATCTCACTCACCCGGTATAGCTGCCATTTATAAAAATTGAAAATTCAATTACAAATAAAAAGCTTTTTAGGATTCTTTTACATGTTTTTTTAGTTTTCTTCAAGACAGATATTACTTGAATATTTCTAGAACATGGCCTCCTGTAACTCAGTAACTGAGCTTTTTTAATATAAATTCATTTATTTATATATTTACAGCATTGCCTATTTTTTACAAAATAATTAACAAATGCAAACATATGTAAGTATTGTAACCATAATATATAACTATCAGGTAGATGTAAGGAAGAAATATTAAAAAAAAGAAAGGCAAAAATAAACCAATCAATTACAATCTATTCGGTCTTTTTAAATGATTCCAAAGGAGAATTGAAAAGTTCTAAATCTAAACTATATCCATCCAACAAAAAAAGCAACCTAAATAATAATAGATGTGTGATCAAAGCATGATCACCACGCACATTTGTATCTATTGGGTGAAATCAACAAGCCTGCTTACGCTAGCCAATTAGATTCAACTGCAATCGACTGGAGGAATTCATGGTTACAGTGTCGGAGTGGTCAGTTACGTTTTAATGCCTGTGGTGTTTACATCTATGGTATTTTGAAGTTTGAAATTTTTTAAATGTTATGTACAGTTACGGTCGAAGAAACTGCTAGTTTGTGTCCCTACATTCCACCTATCAAAGTATTCCTATACCCAGCCACATATTATAAAAAAAATATGTACAAGCAGCCTTGCCTGGGAGATTACTTGCACTATAGATGATAATATTTTGGAGAACTGTTGCTAGGTTGGACAGAGAATACATCGTATGTGTTTACAAGTCTCAAAATTATAGACTTATTCTGGCCATAGTTGGTATGGTAAAAAAGTATTTGTGGATTTCTGTCATTCTTATTCTCTTTGGATCCACATTTAAAGTTACTCGTATAAGGGGAATTGATCTGATTCCAATCTTCTACGAGCCAGAGTCTTCAAATTAAGAATGTCCAATAATTTTATGGTTATATTCACCAATGTGATATCCCAGTTTATATGTAGAGTACCTCAAAAACTTATTTTGAATCAATATTCACATTATACGAAGAACACCAAATTGTGTGAACTTATTCGATTATTCAGATGAAGGTTTCCAAAAGTAAATCAAAATAAATGATGCCAGTACTTATTTGTTTTTCACAAAACCACATTTTTTTTAATATTGAAGTGTTTATATTATTGAATTCTGTGAGGTAATGAAAATACCATTTGAATCAGTTTTATGAATCCTAGTTATATTTGAATATTTTTCGAAGTAGTCATCCGTTTTATTTTTTGCCACTTCAGAGACATGTTTTTCAGTCTCTATTAAATACTTCATTATTATTTACTATTGAGAAGTCATTAAATTTTAGCATAATTTTCACTTTATATGAACTCATCAGACACTTCCCATATTTGTCTGATATGAGTGGAAGCTAAATTTATATTATTAGTAATATTGTATTGTCTTTATTATCCCAAGAAACATTTAATGTTTATGAATATTAATTAACTAAATTAAGTAAAGATACAAATCCAACAAAATAATGAAATATTGAACAAGAAAACACGAAGTAAAATAATAATATGAATAAACAGTCAAGTGTGAAATTATTCAGATATAATATAAAAATATTCAGATCATTCTGGCTATATGAAAAATAATTTTTTATTTAATTTATTGAATAATTCTTCAGTTGATTTTTAAATTTTGGAGCAGTTTTAGTTTTTTTATTTCTTCAGGAATTCTCGATAAATTGATTACTATTCAAAATTAGATTTGAAATTACTAACTGAAAACTATTTTGGTTGAATTTTGTATACACTATTCTTTTTTTTTGTTCTTATTTATATTCAGTTTTTTATAATGCTCATAGTTTATAAGCTACTTCCATGAATGCATTTTTCGTAAATTAGTTTTGATTTGCCAGAATTCTAGTGTGTTTTAAATTATGCACAATAAATGACTTTCAACAAACTATGATTCCTTGATTAATGGTCATTATTTTTCCCAATTAGCGATTTCGAAAGTTTTGGAATATATATTGAAAACTCTCCTTTACAAGGAAATTTAGTTCTCAAAATCATGATTGCTGGAACTACTATCAAAAATCACGAGAAAAAAAAACAGTTTATGTTGTAGTAAACTGATACTTTGATGTGATCGCCAACTAAACTACCTCACACAAAAACTTTCTTCAATAGAAAAAACAAGCAGAAACGAATGTGCACATAATATGCTTCACTTACTGGCTGCAAGTACCAGGCTTATAAAGGAAAGTAGTGCTCATGCTTAAGCGAAGCTTTTGGGAAGTTTTCTCCTGTAACACTAATGTATGTCTAAACATATATTACTTGTGCAAATAAAATATGCCTGTCAGTCTTCCTTGCCAGTGCAACTTTCACATACTTCAAGGTTTAGATTTTCAATTCCAATGTTTGTAAGTTGTGCTATGATTATGCTTGGGATCTGGTAGATATGCTTTTGATAATCTGTCTGATGTATAATTAGTTGTAGCATCACATGCAATGCTGTTCTTTTATACATCTCGATTTTCAAGATGACTTCTATCAATTAGCCTTGGTGATAATGATGAAATTGTTCTTTGCCGTTTGTAGGTGTGTGTATGTTTTGACTTCGGAATATTCTCCCACTTTCATGTTTTGTGGTAAGTCTTATGTCTGCTCCGTTGCCTTTTTTTCTCTGGTAATATTTTTTATTTCTGATCCAAAGCAGTTTTTTTGCTAAGCAGAAACCTAAATTTTGACTGCTAGGTGATGTATTTATTATATAGGTTCTTGCTTTGTTAGTGTGTGTGATACATGGATTTCTTTTGATAATTAGATTTAGGAAGGGAAGTTGTCTCTTTTCTTCTATTTCAGAGGTAAATTGAATGCAAGCTGTTCATATTTTATGAAAAATGGTTCATACTAGTTATTGCTAACAACTTCATTCATGTGGACTTCAGTTTTTGGGTTCCCCAGATTTTCATCGTTTCAGGAAAAGTAAATATAGGTTAAGTGACACTTACCATGATACATTAGCAAAAACCGTATCAGAATTGGTTAAGCCATTTATTTATGCTCAAAAGCACAGATGAACAGACAAAAAACTACAAATCATTATTTTAGAGTTTTATTGTATTAATAATGATCCCCAATAATAGTTTTTCTCAAATATCTTCCATGTACAGCCGATAATCAGTTATACTTTTATTATATGAATTGATGAACTTATGCCCTAATTTGTTATTCGAAAAATAAGATATTAAAATTTTTGTTATAAAATAAATGAATAGAAGATTTGAATTGTTAAATGCATCCTTTTTTTGTGATTAATTCACTATCGGTATTATTTCAAGAATTTCATCTCAAGTGTTGAATTTAATAATCAATGTTAACTCGATTATTCCAAGAAAATATAATACAACTTGCTGAAAAGTTTATTACACCTAGATTTGGATTTCTTGATAAGAATTTCTTAGTTCCCCCACTGCAATCAATTTACACTAAATATCAAGAAAATTAAAACCCTGGTTGTCACAAAGGGATAAATATAAATAGACTGATGAACATTCGATAACGTTTAATATTTACTTACACATAGAAATAATAAAATCCTGAACCTGAAGAATTTGTTTTATGCCATATAGTGAAACTAATGTCAACCTGTAGAATTATTATGAACTTATACTGTTGACAAATTGAATGAAGCTTTAAATTTGAGTGGCAATCATTCAATTGAATAATTATTTCTTATGATTTTGGTGACATGTGCAAATATTATTTTTCTCTCTATCTGAAATTATATTAATCTCTGCATTATTTTTTCTCTGTAAATATTTTGTCGCAGTCTTGTATGTATCTACTGTAATATTAGTGCTACCTATTAATATCATTGCTAGTCATTCTAGGCATATCTAGAACTTCCAAACAGATTTCAGAATTTTTCTAGCTATTCAACTTAAAGCTATTTTTCACAGAATGTTATTTGTGGGCCACTCATTTATAACTTTATTAAAAATGAAATTATACACATGGTACACCAATACTGACTTATTCTAAAAAATATTGATAATAATTTCTATTTTCTGATCAGAATTGTTTGTAAAAGCATTGTACATCAACT